CCCCTGTGGGTCCTCCTTTCATGTAAGACAACACAAAAAGGATCTGGGAGAGGGCGGTGGGGAATTCAGCTGTGTGAATGTGGAAGTAAATCCCACACTCATGTCAGGGGACGACTCCTGGGTCCCCATGACCCTCCCCTATGGTCCACAGCCTGTGGTGTAACCAGCCCTATCCAGGGAACAACCTACTCTGGGTAAGAAGATGAGAAGGAAGCTAACTTCTCATCTTCCCACAGTGGCCACCATATCAGGAAAACTTCCAGGGATACCCGGAAGTCACATGAAGGAGTAGGGACTGGGCCCAGAGCATGCGGCACACGGAGCATGTGGCACGTGGAGCATGTGCACATGCGGGAAGTGCGGCAGGTGGATGCAGGTCCGGATGCGGGTCCGGGTCCAGGCTAGTCAGGGTGTGCCCTGACAACTCGGCCTTAAAACGGTTGAGGTCCTTGCTGGCTCCTGAGAAGGGAGTGGGGGGGGGGCGACCTTGGGTGGTTTGGGTCTGGGCACAGGTGCAGGTGCAGGTGCTGGGGTTGGTGCAGGTGCTGGTGCTGGTGCAGGTGCAGGTGGGGGATGGTTGCAGGCCTGGCTCTCCACAATGGCTTGGAGCTCTTGGAAGCAAGCCAGCAGCTTGTCATACTGCTCTTCTGACACCATGGCTGGGGAGGCAGGGGAGATGAGGTTGAAACCTTCTTCTGTTGTCAGGGATGCATCTGGGTAGAGGGGGCCTGGATGTAGTGCCCAGCAGAAGGACCCTCTCAGGGTGCGAAGCAGGCATGCATGCTGGTGGGCCCGATGCAGGACTGCAGTCCCTGGCCATTTAGACTGAAGTGGAAAATGTGAATTGTTATTAAAGGGGAGAACTACACTACTTACCTGAAGTGGAAAATGTGAGAAGAAGGTTACTTCTTCAGTTCCCACTTCAGGTACATTTATGTACATGCAGCTTGGGTCACATGATGGGTGCCACGTCATCCTCAGAGAGAGCCACAGCCATCCAGGTGTCCCTGTGGGGGATCCTGAGAGTGTCTGCTGCAGGCATGCATGCTGGGCGTAGCAGGAAGCCATCTGGGGTGTCTGGGCCAGTGTTAGACACTGATCCAGAGTCGGCACCGAAGGTCGCCGATGCGGGCCGCTATTGGCCGCAATGGCCGCGATGCCTCAGACAAGGCCCGGGGGTAGGGCATTTGGCCTCAGCAACTCTAAAGGGAGTGCTGTGCCCCCTAGCTGTCTCTTGGCCCTCATTTCGGACTCACTGGGGTTGCCTTGTTGGGGTCAGGACTTAGGGGTCGTGGTCACATCGATATTAGAGCTAAGGTACAATAAAGTATCATACAGGATATATATAGGAAGAAGAAATGAATGGAAGCGGACCCAGGCCGGAGGCCGAAGGGTCCGGAAGCAAACAAGAAGAAGGAGCGGGGTTGGCCGCATAGCGGCCGGCAATGACCGAGGGTCAAAACAAACAATAACAGATAAATAAAGGAAAGAGCATAGGGCCGCGATAGCGGCGATGGTATCGTAGCGGCGCTGGACTCAGAGTTGGGCCGGAGTTGGGCGCGGGGATGATAGCGGCCCTGTAGGGGCCAAGTGGGCGGGGTAGGGGAGTCACGCTGGGCACGGTGCCGGAGGCGGACTCGGGGTGGGAAGGTTGGTGCAGCAGTGGGGGAGTCGGCCAAGCATAGGGGAGCTTAGGGGCAAGTGGGGAAGTGAGCAGGGAGTCCTCAGGGAGGATAGGGCTGAGGTTGAGGCTCGCACTCATGCTCACATAGCAGGAACGGGCTCGGGCAGCATCGGGACAGGCAGGGAATGGGCCGGAATGCACGGCCGTGACAGCCAGACAGGTTAACAGTACAATGATACAAGGGAAAGTGGTCCATTTAAATAGAAGGAATAAACAGAAAGGGAGAATGAAATAAAGGAGAAGGAAGAAAGAGAGAAAGGGAAGAAAGGGGAAAAAGAGGAGGAGAAGAGGGAGGAAGGAGGGAGGAGAAGGATGGGTAACGGGGGAGTGGGTGAGGTGGGCCCAGGTGGGCCCAGGTGGACCTGGGTCAGGCAGGTGTGCCCTGACACATCCATTATGGACACATGGCTCCACATGTAGAGAACTGGAGCAAAGGGTCTGGGCCAAGCCAACATGTATGGAATCTGCATGAACCATGCTCTCACTGCTGATCACCACTAGAACTACAGAATGCAAGACAAGATGTGTCTCAGGAAGCATGAGTGGAATGATTCCAAGGTGAAGTGTATCTTCTTTCTGTGTTATTGCCCACCATGCCCCTGACCATGCCAATGGATGTGTAGAAATCCATATGAGAGTACATCAAAGCACTCATTGGCTTCCAGAGGGCAAAAAACACGTGCTAGAAGGATATCACCCATGATGAATGAAACAAAATTATCAATTGTGTAAGTTGTTTTAGCACTTGTCTCAATGCTCCTTGAAGTAGTTAACAATGTTGCCCTGAATTTCCCATTCTAACATGGTCTCCAAGCTTACCTCCATGCACTGTTGACCATGGGAAAGTGGAAATAGACTATGGTGTGTCATTACCCAAAACAAACCATCCAACTTCCAACACTCGTGCTACACTACATCACCAGTCCTAGGTAGTATTCAGAAATAAATAAATAATCCATCTATCGTATCCCAGTACAATGTTTGTCCAAAGTAAGGAACCAAGGGCTGCACAGTATGATACAGTGGTTCACATAAGTAAAACACCACTTTGCCACAAAGTACATCAGCAAAAGTCCGTTATGCTCCAGAGCATCAAGAGTGGCTGGAGCATGTGGAAGACAAAACAGCAGATTGGGCACTCCTGGAGCCAATAGTGTTCTCCTGGGAGGGGGTTCAGGAGCAGCTGGGAGTGGTGAGGAGTATGTAATGTGCCAGGAGCAGTGGGAGGAAAATTTTGGTCTCTAAAAAGTTGAAAAAAAAATTTTAGGGAAAAATCAAAAAAAAATTCAGGAACTATAGTGCCTTTAAAGTGCTTTCAGGACATATAATTATTTGCAAAATTGAGGAAGAAATGATGGAGAAAAATGGAAAATACTTTCGGAGACCCAAGAAATAATGAGAACTGAATTGATGGGAAAGTCTGAAAATTGAATAGGAAAGTGAGGGGAAGCCTTGTAAGCATTGTTATTTTCTGCTGTTCTGATTTTTCCTGATTGTTCTTGGTCTCACTCCCAGCTGCTCCTGGACCCTCCCAGGAGCTTTCAGGAGCTTCCTGGAGTATTGAGGAGCAGCTGGGAATGAGACCAAGAAGAATTGGGAAAAATCAGAACAGCAGAAAATAACAATGCTACAAGGCTTCCCCTCACTTTCCTATTCAATTTTCAGACTTTCCCATCAATTCAGTTCTTGGGTCTCCAAAAGTATTTTCCATTAGCTGCTCCTGGACCCTCCCAGGAGCTTCCAGGAGTATCCAGGAGTATCCCATAGCAGCTGGGAGTGAGACCAAGAACAATCAGGAAAAATTAGAACAGCAGAAAATAACAATGCTACAAGGCTTCCCCTCACTTCCCTATTCAATTTTCAGACTTTCCCATCAATTCAGTTCTCATTATTTCTCGGGTCTCCGAAAGTATTTTCCATTTTTCTCCATCATTTCTTCCTCAATTTTGCAAATAATTATATATCCTGAAAGCACTTCAAAGGCACTACAGTTCCTGAATTTTTTTGATTTTTTCCCTAATTATTTTTTTCAACTTTTTAGAAGTCCCTATTTTTCAAATTTTCCTCATTTCCCTCTATATCCCCCCCTCATTCCCCCCTCATTCTCCCCTCATTCTCCCCCTCATTCTCCCCTCATTCTCCCCCTCATTTCCCCCTCATTTCCCCCTCATTTCCCCCCTCATTCTCCCCCATTTCCCCCTCCCCCATATTCTGCCAGCCTGAAAGTGATTAAGTTGCCAGATTAATCATATATCAGGCCATAAATTTTGATTGTGTATTGGTGAGTCTCAGTGTCCTTGATATATAGTATAGTGTTTGATCTAAATGTTAAGCAGTGTCTTGTTGTGTTAGTCTTGTGGTAGGAGGTATTCATGGGGGGTCTTCCCTCTTTTTTTTCCTTTTCATTTTCAAATGCTCCAGGAGCTCCCAGAAGCTTCTCACCCCTATACACTTTGAAGCATTTAAATTGTATTTACTGGATATGTTTGTGCACAAAGCAATGCTCCAGGCCCTCCTGGGAGTGCCCTGGAGTACCTAGCCAACTCCGGAGGAAATGGGCTGTTCCTGGACCAGCCAATCTCCTCCTGATTCTCCCAGTGCTCTCAATACTCCGGAGCACTCAGGAGCATAACAATTTTTTGCTGATGTACAAAACATGCATCAGTACTTGGGTATCCCATCATAAATTACTTGGAGAAGAACATGCAACAACACCTGGTGCATCCTTAGTACGATACTTTGGGACCACAAGTAAATCATCAACTGATCGCGTCTGGGGAACCCAGGTATTTGGTCAAATTTACTAAGGGACCTCTGAGTTTTAAACGGCCCACACCTTCCAGGTATTTTCCCTGGGGCCTCAGGTATTTTACTAGGGTATTCCACCATAAGATACTCCGATCTTCACCTGGGTTTCCCGATGTTGTTTACTGTGATTTACTTCCCAGTGCAAAATCAAATTCTTTCTGCCCTCATTACGGTTCTTGGCTGTCTGCAAACGAGATACACAATGTTTGCACTCACAATACTGCTATCTACATCCTTTCTGGCTTGGCGTTTCATTGATCGACTATCCCTTTTTTTCCCACAGTCTTGGTCCTGACCACTGGCACCAGTGTTGCACAAGACCAAGTCAGACTCGTGGTCATGGGGACTCTGAGTCAGATTGGGTCCAGACTGGGTGTCTTGGTCTGTCAGGTCTGAACTAACAGAGTTATAATGGACTAACGGATTTAGCTACAAGCGCTTGATGTGTCACCAGAAACATTCCACCCTGCCACCGTCTCTAAGCTCCCATCTAGGTCTAAGTTCCTCTCTCATGTTAAGAGGTCTTCCATCTCCGTTTCTAGCCCTCAGTTCCGCTCACCCTGGATCCACATTGAATCTCGCATCAAGTTGAAAATATCTCGTACCCTTTTCCCCTGCAAACTTACACCCTAATGGCAAGCTGTAAATAGATACTTTGGGAGGAATGGAAAATAGAACTTACTTGGGGGGATCTTGATGGTAGACTCCATGCAAAATTCATTTCAGATTGTTCTGCATCGTAGTCACTGGTGAGGTCCTGGGCATGGAAAGGATGGTAGCCATGGTTTATGTCATCAGGAATGCAGGAGGGATGTCCATGCTCGAGCTCCAAACGGCCCCCAGAGGGGTCATGGTCGCTAGCGAAAGGAGCAAGTCCAAATGAATGACGGATTCTCTTCCCATGTGAACCATCGACTGCATGTTGGTGGTTGAGGTCTGGTTTGATAGATGAGATTTTCACCATCTTCTCAACAGATAGTCGATTGCATGCGGGGTTCTTTGTGTCCCCAGTGATAGAGAAGAAGTTATATGGACATGAGGCATCGGACTTGTTGAATGCTGGTCTAACCATGCTTGTCCTTCAGCACACCCCTCTACGGAAGCGTGTGTGCATTTCACAAGATGACAAGCCAGCTTTTCTACTGTTCCTTGAATATCAGATGCAAGTGCAAGAGCTTATGTTTGCCATTTGATGAATACCTCTCAAACCAAATTGATGAGATATACAATGCATACCAGCTTCATGTAGTTCATCCACTGAGCGTCATTGTGTAATGCTTCCAGTTGAGATGCCCTTGGAATCCTTTGCCTCCAGTGTCCTTGTGTGCCAAGCCACGCATCCCTTGCACTTGGCAACACGGTGGCTTTTATTATTTCCATAAAACCTTTCAAGTTGGTGGAAGTATCCCCACATAGGACTAGAAACGCCCATGGTGAGCTAGAGGAGGATGGGGGGGTGGGATTGTGTGGGATTGTGTGAAGTTTTCGAAAATCCTAACATGAAACATGGCAAATCAGGTGGCAAAGTCACAGTTGTGTAACTCAAGCTGTAGTAGAATCATGCTCAGCATCTCTTGCATGCTAGCAAACAGTCATTACAACATCTAATCCATAACAAACAAAACATATCCTATGAAGAATGGTTGCGGACAGGTCTGAATATCGGGATCCCCCGATGAAAAGTCCGACTTACACTGACCGTGGGAGAGACTTGTGACCATCCAGTCCGGACTTCGGTCTTTGTGACCATTTGTGACCAGGTCTGTACAACACTGGCTGGCACCACCAACAGGCCCATATTTTGCTGGTTCTGTGGCACAACGATGCAAACTTGAATATCCCTACCACCTACTGAGGAAGTGAGACTAGCGTTCCTTGTATGCTTCTCGTGTTTGGTGCCTGCATGACTATCAGGAAATTGTTGCGGTCAACTTTGGACACTTCTGATGATCCTGTTGCTTCTAATACAATGAAACTGGCCGAATTGACCAATTTCCCAAAGCATTTTAGTAAAGGTGTCACGTTTCAATTCAGTTCAGAAGTGAACTCAATTGTTTTCAAACCATTTGAAGTGAAACCCTGAGGACCTTTTGCTGATGGATTCATAATGTAAATACCTATCTCGCGCTTGCGGATGGCATCGATGACAGGATTACCACCATTGCTGGACCGTCAAGGTATGTTGACATGCCACTTCACTGTTCTTTAGTCCTGCATTGAATTTCCCAGTCTGGAGGTGGTGGTTCAACTGGCCCAGTCTTCCCAACAAATACGGTATGTATCTTCAGTCTACCTTTCCCTTGAACGCTGCTCCAATGGTTCGATTTTCTGGGTTCTCCTTGTCATAGTTCCTGGTACCCACCCATTTCCACAGCCCCTTCCAACAGTTAGTGATGCTGCTCGTCGCATAAACCCACCGTTTGACTGAGATTTGGCCCGCTTCATTAGCCGAGAGAGACATATACGAATACATTTTCCGGTACTTTTGCCTTCCGACAGATACGGATTCGGTTATCTTCTTACTCGTTCCCGACTGATACCAGTTACTTAAGCCCTCTCCTCTGCGGACAAGCACCATTCGTTATCCTTCTCCACCAATTCACCCACCAGTTGACCTACTAACACCGGGTTGTCCAAGCGCCGCGGTCGTTGGGGGAGGAGTGGTTTGGCCTGGTCCTCATCGCCGGACTCACGAAACAACAGCAGCTCGATAACGAGGGTCTCATTGACCAGCCCACAGGTCCAGGAATGCTCGGTCCACCGCAGATGTGCCAAACGCTTGGAATCACGGCACCACTTCGATAGATGCCAACAGCTTCAATCAGAGATGTAACCCTCAGGATAGTCTGTCTGAGACACAGACGATGTATGCTCAGCCCCAGCAGCCTCAGTAGCCCCAGCACTACGGCGGCGACATTCCCTTCCCAAACCTGTGCAAGTGTTTCTTTTTGTCGTCACCATCCCATAGGCATCTTGCCTATATAATGTCCTATCAATAAATGATTTCTCCTGGATTTTTCTATCTTGTTTCATTACATGCTTGCTTGTTGACTAGTTCTTCTAGCTTTTTTTTAAACATATACTAACAGCTGGGAGCGAGTTGTGATCGAAGCGATCCCACTGGTCCGCCCCAGATTCTCGCTCTCTCATTGGCTCACTGCGCTTTCTCTTTACGCCTCTTCACTAGCCTTCTTTTCATCCAAGCTGATATTTACTAGTTCTTTGCTGCGTCGCCACTTCTTGTCACTTGTTCACAATAATAAAAGCATTTTATTCTATGTATCCTTCCGATGTCAACGTTAACGTCTTGACATCGGCTTTCTCCTTTCTCGTTTTCTTGGTCAAAAATGGCTCCCATACTCTTTGAACCATTAGCGCGTGAGCGGCGGTAGTTGGTTGCTTACTTGTGTGAGTGTGGTACGTGCTCAGCTTAGACTTGAGGAGCCGCGAAGGCGGATGAATGTAAGTGGATGTGAAGGAAATGGAGTCCTATTTCTAATAAGGGCTAGTATCCCTGCACGTAAATAGACCAGCCACATAAGTGGCATTGGGTCAGGGACATGGCAAGAGTCGTCCGAGGCATCAGGGGCAAACTCCAAAGCAAAGCAGTCTTTGATCACATTTCGCCTCTCACCACGAATTCCTGGCTGCAGTTGACAGGCCAATATGTCAAGGCGGAACAATGACGTTCTTCACGCAGCAGAACCAGAACTCGTCAACGGTTCTGTCGGCTCTCCCTGCTCCGCGCAAAGCGGCGGACGATCACTCTGGTTGATTAGGTGAGAAGAAGGACAGGGGACATTGCACACTGAGTGAAGTTAAACATCGGTCTTGTGGATTCATTTTTGAGCTAAGATGATATGAGAAAAGGGATTGCTACGTGAAAAGGTTTCGTGGTATATATAACATGCTGGGCGCATTGACGCCTTGGTCCTTAGTCCACGAATTTGGCAGGAGGTCGTATCCACGCTGGCTCGTCGTATCTGACACCTCTAATGTGCAAGCAATGCAGGAATATGACAGTCAAAGCCCATAGACACAGGCATCAAAGCACCGATGATAAAACTAGGATAACTACCCTTCTACATAAGCGCTAGCATGGCAAGGAGCGATGAATAATGGGCGCCAAAGAGAAACGGATTGTTTGATGGAAGGCAGGACTCTAGGAGGATGATCAATGCCACATAATAAGCTACTGTGACCGCAGATTGATCACGTCACCCTGGGCAGGAGTTTGTTCGAGTGTGAGGGGCCGAGTTGAGGTGCAGAATGTCGGGTGAATGGCAGCCAAACACACACTCTTGCATCGCCAGGGGTGCCTCGGAGTTTTGTCCAAGATTGGCGAGTGGTATGTCAAGACTCCGGAGCGCTCGACGAAATGTATGATGTTGATGTATTCGCGCTAGAGCTTATTCTGGGGGAATTCGACAGAGGTTGCAATGCGAAAGCGAAATCAGATGCGTTTGATGTCGGTTAAATGATATAGGATAGAAGCGAACCCCCCCAATGAAGAGCTACTGTGGTAAATGTAGCGTAGATGTACCGGATGAATGGCAACTGCTAATGGAAGAGTTTGTGCCTTTCCTCATTGACAAGGAGGGCCTCAGAATTGTGACCAAGTTTGTTGAGCGATTGTTCAAATCTCCAGAGAGCTCGAGCAAAATCCAAGGTGTATGAGGTTGGGTAGATGGCGACCAGCTCATGCCAGAGTTTAACACCTTCTTTGTGCACCGGGAGCGCCTCGGAATGCTTTCCAAGGTTGGTGAGTGAGATGTCAAGATTCCCGAGCGCTCGAGCCAAATCAGGGGTGTATGAGGTCGGATGGACGGTAACGAGTTCACGCCAGAGTTTGACACTTTCTTCGATCACTGGGAGTGACTCGGAATACCGTCCGAGATTGTCGAGTGATGAGTTAAGGTTCCGCAGCGCGCGGGCCAAATTAGAGCTATATGAGGTCGGGCGGACGGTAACCAACTCGCGCCAGAGTTTCACGCTGTCTTCAATTACCGGGAGCGCCTCGGAGTACCGTCCGAGCTCGAGCAATGACCAGTTGAGATTGTGAAGAGCTCGAGCCAAATCCGGAGTGTATGAGGTCGGATGGACGGCAACTAGCCCACGCCAGAGTTTGACACTTTCTTCAATCACCAGGAGCGCTTCGGAGTACTGTCCAAGCTCAAGCAATGACCAGTTAAGACTGTGAAGCGCTCGAGCCAAATCCGGGGTGTATGAGGTCGGATGGACAACAACTAGCTCACGCCAGAGTTTGACACTTTCTTCAATCACCGGGAGCGCTTCAGAATGCCGCCCGAGACAGTTGAGGGATGCTTCAAGACTCTGGAGCGCTCGAGCCAAATCAGGGGTGTATGAGGTTGGATGGACGGCAACCAGCTCACGCCAGAGTATGATGCTTTCTTCGATTACTGGGAGCGCCTCAGAGTGCCGTCCAAGATTGGAGAATGATATTCTAAGATTCAAGAGCGCTCGAGCCAAATCAGGGGTGTATGAGGTTGGATGGACAGCAACCAGCTCACGCCAGAGTTTGATGCTTTCTTCAATCACTAGGAGTGCCTCCGAATACCGTCCAAGGTTGGTGAGTGATGCTTCAAGGTTCCGGAGCGCTCGAGCCAAATCAGGGGTGTATGAGGTCGGATGGACAGCAATGAGCTTGCGCCACAATTTGATGCTTTCCCCAATCACCGAGAGCGCCTCGGAGTACCGTCCAAGCTCAAGCAATGACCAGTTAAGATCGTGAAGTGCTCGAGCCAAATCAGGGGTGTATGAGGTCGGATGGACGGCAACTAGCGCACGCCAGAGTTTGACGCTTTCCTCAATCACCGGAAGCGCCTGGGAGTACTGTCTGAGCTCGAGCAATGACCAGTTAAGATCGTAGAGCGCTCGAGCCAAATCAGGGGTGTATAAGACTGGATGGACGGCAACTAGCTCGCGCCAGAGTTTGACACTTTCTTTGATCACCGGGAGCGCTACGGAATGCCGTCCAAGATAGTTGAGTGATATTTCAAGACTATTAAGTGCTCGAGCCAAGTCAGGGGTGTATGGGGTCGGATGGACAGCAACTAGCCCACGCCAGAGTGTGATGCTTTCTTCGATCACTGGGAGCGCCTCAGAATGCCATCCGAGATTGGAGAGTGATATTTTAAGACTCAGGAGCGCTCGAGCCAAATCAGGGGTGTATGAAGTCGGATCGATGGCAACTACCTTGCGGAAGAGTTCAACACTTTCTTTATTCACAGAGAGTGACTCGGAATGCCGTCCAAGGTTGGCAAGTGATGCACCTAGATATCCAAGTGACCGAGCCAAATCAGCAGTGTAGGAATCAGGGTCCGCGGACACAAGGCAACGACAGAGCTCAACAGCGTCATTTGCCAACTCATACGCCTCCTGCAATCTCGAAAAGAATGCAAGATTACTATGCACATTCCCAAATACTTTGACCAGCATTTGAATGACTTCTTTTGAAGTTTGATCTACACTCAACTGAAGGAACATGCGACTGAATAAAAATGAGTTATGAATGCTGTTATAATGCATACCTTGGCCCACTCAGGGAATAATGATATACTAATATACCCTCCCGTCCTCACACAGACTTCCACCCAGCGCACTAATTGCTGATCGAGGAATGCATGGACCGACCCACTGAGCACCTCCAGTAGCTCCTGAGCTTGATGAAGGTGGTGCACGGTGTACCGGCATGCATAGTATAGCTGTTCCGGTAGCGTCCCTTTCGTAATAGGTGGCAGCTCGGCCTCTTTCGACAAATCATCGATCAACCCCAAACCTTCCACAGAAGGAAGATCCTTGTTCAGGATTTCGACACAGCGTAGAGCCACTTTGGCGTTCTCCCTCCTCACATCCACTGCAAATCGATGAATTGTTGTTGATTGTGGACCGACTCGCTCTGTGAGAAAATCGCGAAAGGATTGATGTAACACACGAATCGGTACGTGAGAATCCCCAACTCCCGAAACGAGCGGAGAGAGCTCTTCTAACGTATAGCGGACAGGAGACTTCAGGTGTGGTGACAGGATGGCATCCCAAGCCGCTACAGACAGTGGCTGTTGCGCAATTAGGATCGCTCCCATCACAATCGGATAGTCGTTCATAAAATCGTCGTTCCCCCAGTCGCACTTCTTCAAAACTCTTGTATACAGCCTATCCATCTCACCCTCAGCGGGAGCCTTCGATCGATTCGCACCAGTATCGAGAAGCTCCTCCAGCATCCTCATAGGAGGACGACGGGTGTTCTGCATATAGCGGAACACAGTACTGATCCAAATAAACAACCCGCCTGCTCGGACCAATATGTCTCGAACCAATTTATCCTCGTCATTGAGTTCGTCTTTCAAATGGGGATGCATATTCTTCATCTCACGTAGCTGCTTACGGATGTAGATATCGCAGTCCCGAACGTTGGCATCGTCCGAGAGATTAATGCTGAGCCGATCAATGACGGAATAGTTCGAGAGACAGGGACCAAGAAGGCCAAATTGCCTTGAGGTGACAAGGAATTTGATGTTTGAGGGTAACTTGGGAACCTGTTCCCAAAGTATTTTGGCAAGGTACTTGAATGCTTCTTCATCGCATTCATCCAAGGCATCAATAATGACCATCCCAGGGCTGCCGGAAGACGGTGCCTTCAGACGGAAAGGCTCCGCCACTAATTTCTCGAATTGCATCGGGAAGGAGGCAGTTGCGAGAGTCGGGTCTTTCTGGATAGTGGATATGAGATAGGAACGATACGTTGAGTCATGCGTTGCAAGGGATCGGGCCATTCCGCTGAACAAATGATCTGGGCGTGATTGCTCTCCGGCTTTGAAGAAGAAACTGAGCAGCAACATCCCTCCTTTGCTGCACTCCTCAGCGATCGAGTGAGCAAGAGATGTCTTGCCGGCGCCGGCCACGGCTGTCACCAGTAGGACACGCTTCTCGCTATTCCCCGTGTTACGACACCAGTTCATAATGTCCTCGATCAAGCCAGTCCTCGTGCCTTCCAAACATGCCTGAGTTAAATCGTGATGAGCGACAGCAGGGTATCGGAGTTTGTCTAGAACTAAGGAATTCTCGATTTCACGATTTAATCGATCTTGATTATTTCCTAGTTCCAAGTTCGTCCCCAGCTGCGCGGTTAGGATAATGAGATCAAAGTAGTAACATAACCGTGAGGGCCCAGCGTAATTACCTGAAATAATGCTAAGGCTTCGTCAAGATTTCGCTTCAAATCGTCAATTCTGCCAGGCTTCTTCATATGAGAGAAGAAATTGCGGATGCCTGACCGCCTCTCCACGTTTTCACTCAGCCTGCCAATTTCGGTTTGAATGCTCTGCAGCGCCCTTTGAAACAAAAAAGAAAAAGAAACACCTATGCTATACGACGGCGAAACCTGAGAGCAAATGCTACTTACTGATCTAGCTTTCTGATGTTCCCCACCCACGCTCCTTCGCTCGATGCATCATATGAGTCAAGGGCCGCCATCACACGGGCCGTGGTGTCGGTGACGTATCTCCCAAAAAGCTCCCAGTCCTCTTTATTCTCCTTAAACTTCTACACATTGAAAACTTTCAACTTCCGCCCCAAATCAGTGTAAATCGCTACTAACTTTGACCTCATTGAGGATAGCGAGTGCGGCGCCAGCGGCAGCCTGCAAAGGAGGGAGCACTCCTGACGCAGCGTGGACAGCAGTGAGAACTGGAACCGCGACGTTACCTCCCGCCTCAATGATGCCATGGAGCTTTTGCTTCAGCGACATAGCGGATAACGGACGAATCGATGGACGCGGAAGAGATCGGACGGTGACGGCGGTCAAGCGAACACCGCATAGATCACAGCCGCAATTTGTCCCATTATGGGAAGTACTCCTGCGGCAGATTCTGTCGATCCTCGCAGAACTGGCTGTTCGCAACCATCTATTCCACTACCATGTTATAGTAGTAATAGGGACATCAGCCATCCAGCTTCGAGTTCGTGAAGACCAGTCTTCGGTTATCCGCTTACATGCGATTGCAATGGCCAAGCGTGACCAGCTGCATCAGTGCCAGTTGGTACTATCAGTCGTGCGGGGGGCTGAAGATTCCTCATTGGCGTATGGCTCCTGGCAAGCCGCGTGCCGGCGGTAGAACGTTGGCTTGAATGTCAATACTACAGATACATGGTCATCGACCCCTTCGGTGACAGCGCTTTACCTGTAACGTCACCAGTGTCGGTACCGCCTACCCATGCCACCGACCATTTCTCTACGGGTAGTCAGGTACTCCGTATGTGCCAATACTTGACGCTCAGAAACTTCACTTTGCGGAGTCTCTGGATTTGCTGGTTCGTTCTTCATGTTGGATTGGCCTGCCTTGATGGATTGAAATCCATATGTGTCTTCCTTGGCTCTTTGCCAACACAGCCCGAAACCTGAATCGTGTTCTTATTTCTCAATGGGCACGAATACATCGCTTGAGTTCACTTGGGGTTTTAGCCCTCCAGGCTAGACGTAAACATCTGATGTATGGAATGCGCGTGTGGTGATCTGTGAGTGCTAATGACGTGGTGCTAATAACGGGAGCAAACGTGGGGGGCAGCGGATGGTGAGATTCGGCACTTGCTACCACGACCAACTTACTTGGACATCTCTCCGTGACCCGAACCAAGTAGCCAAGAAGGTTAGGAATGGCGCCTCGAGATCGGTGAATGAATTTAGGTGCGTGCTCTTTGGTCAAGGCTCCAATATAGGCTGCGAACAAGTCAGTTGCAAGTATGAGGCGACAAGGGACATTCGAGAGAGCGGGACCGGCCAAATAATCGAATTGAATCGGTCAATGCTCTGGACTCCCCGTTCGCTTCAACTCTGTTTGGCATTGCCCTGCATTCGAATCGAATCTTGGCGTCGTCCAAGGATCTCATCCCTCTCTAAATGCCCCCTCATACCTTGATGTTTAACATGGAATTGCAATGGCCAAGCATGACCTGTAATCTCACTCCGCTCAACCGCGAACTGAAGTCGACAACTTATAGTTTGTTTCAATTTCAGTGGTTTGCTCCGGTTTTTTCGCATGGACTTTCATTAGAATCTCCCTGATCTCCTGGCTATTGCTTTCGGGAAATGAGTGTATCCTACTACCGTAAAATCGAAAGACCGACCCCCCTTGGGAGATGCCATCTGAGGTGAGGCAGCACTAGAGAGAATATATCAAGACTGAATTGATCCAATGGCAATTGTTCCAATGCGCATCGGCACGAACCCTCTTCAAAACTCAGTTGTCTGCAAGGTGCAATGATGTTTGTGACGTTGACACTGCATTAGAACCTGACAACGCATCTCCTCTCCCTGTTATACTCAAAGCGGCGGACGACTGACGATTCTCTGTTGGCCTGCTGGTAGTGCCTTCCGTACGTCTCAGAAGAATGGCGGGAACATGCATGTCAGGATGAAGTGGGGATTGGTCCCGTGGGATTTCAATGGACTAGCCTCTCGTATCTTCCGCGACAACCGGCCAATGCGAACGATAAGGGTAGTCAAGACTAGGTATTCGGAACAGCGGCAGCATGAAAGCCAGGTAAAGGCGCACCAAGCGCATACAGTGTCCAGGGCTGACAAAGGTTCCGGAGAAAGCTCCGGAGCGACCATGAATGGCAACTTATTTCACTGAATTGATTGTGGCACTCCGAAATGAATGTAAGTGACTTCAAGAACGGCTAAGCTTTCTCCGTTTTGTAATAAAGATCTCTATTCCGTGTATTCTTCCTACGCCAACGTCTTGATATCGTCGTCTCCTTGTTTTCCTGGGCAAAAGGTCTCTGTCGCGTCACTACATACGATTTGAATCGTTGGAGTGCGTGCCTGGCCTTGGAATGTTACTTGGCCCGTCAGGTGTGAGTGCCTAGGCTCAGCTAGCGAAGTTGGAACCGCGTACGTGAATGTAGTTAGATATGAAGGAAACAAAGCGAATTATATTTTTATCCAGTAAGTAAATAGGCCAGCCACATGAGTGGCGTTGAATCGGGGGGTCATGGCTTGGCTACGAGTGTACATGGGGGATTAGGGTAATAAACTCCCAAAGCGGTCTTGGCTCCGGATGATTAGCGGGCCAATATAGTACTAAGAACCATTAATGGTGCGAAACCTGGTGTGAATAACGTCGGGTGAGCGTTGACTAGTGTACCGGCGCGGGAGTGTTGGAGCTATCGACCCAAATCGGGGGCAAATGAATGACAACCAGCTGGCGCCACAATCCGAAGACCCCGTCACAGAAGCCGCACACCAGCAACTATATTATGTATTGACGATCCCCTCACGTATGCCATGGTGTAATCGGGATATTAGCCGCACTTGCCACGACATATCGAGGCTGCGGGGTAACAAGTTTGAACTACCACCAACCAGAGCCTGAGACTTTCTTCATCTATGAGCGCCAAAAAGAATCCCAGCCAGATCTGGGGCGCATGATATTAAAGCCAGCTCACAGAACAGTGTTCTGTCGGAACATCTGAATCCCATGCCACTAGCGGGGTTGGCCGAATTCATCACACAGCCTCAGAGTCAATTAATTCTGGGCGGAGCGTCTAAGTAGAGCATCTACATAGTGCGTGTTGCACACGAAGCCGTTTGAATGAGATACCGCGTCTCGTTTAAATGCGCATGCCCGCATCCGAATTCATTCTCATTCCGAATTTGCTCCGTAACGAACAGCCTGGAGGCACCTTATGAGATCTCACTTCGCTTCATTGATTCATCTGCCCGCCGAAAGAATCAGCTCTGTTCCTCGCTCAAAAGCAGTTCCGGTCTATTGAACTTGTTACCTGTACGTTTTAATCGGGAGAGTTGGTCCAGTTTGGGACTCGTTTGTCAGACAGACTCCTTAGTACAATGAGACTGCCTCAACCAATTGTAGTGTCCGAGAACGGGCTGAATATGATCGAATCTGATTTCTTGGGACTCCTTAAGAACGTTCTTCAATGCGGACGCTTCTCTCCGTATTCGGCGAGGCGCTGTGCTCTCTAGCTATTGCTGCCTGTCCTTTATTTTCTCCTCCCGACCTCCATAACCTCCTCTCTCTCTCTCTCTCTTGCTGGCTCTATCACTGTGCCTGACATAGGCGAAGGTAAACACAGCGATGCCAAGGCTCTTATCTTTTCCCTGGGCGCAAAGTGCCCTTCTTTTCTTGCTCTGTGCTCGGATTAGTTTGGCGTGTACTATGGACGTCCCGATGGAGATTACGAGTGGAGTCCCGTTCCAAGTGTCTTGGGCGGCTTGTGAGGTAGGCTCTATGTATTGATCCCAGATCCCCCAGCTAGGGGTCAAGTTCAACTGACCCCCAACTCAAACCATTATGTACTTTTTGTATGGGCGCAATTTGCTACCTCTCGAACTGGTGGCGGTGGCCGGACAAAACACACGACTATGCTCTTTTTGGTTTGGTTTGGTTGCAGACACCCGTCACGGTCAAAGTTTGGGATCAGAATAACAATCTCTTGAAGAGTGCTACACTCTCCGAGTCCAGTTTCACATAGTACGCCGATCGTCGCTCCCCCCCGTTGCCTTTTCCGTCCGCCCAGTAGTGGCCTCGCAACCAAAAAACGTCCTAACTCACATTGCTTTCGCGTCCGCACTTGCGCACTTGCGCAGCACTGTCACTACCAGTGCGGTGTCCTTCTCCGTAACAGATGCTACTGGGCTCGAAGTGACAACTGTCCCACTTGTAGTCAACGTTCGTAAGCTTTACATACTCCTTCCTGTTTTCCCAACGCCACTCCACTCACAACTGTTGCCTCCAAACCTTTATGCGTGTACAATAGCCGAATCCAAGCTCATCACTAACGTCACACTCGGTTAGCTCGGTTAGCATTTAAAACTTTTGGCGAAGAGTTTCGATGGAGTTTACATCGTTAGACTTTTTCTTTTCACTTTCAAATAGTCTGTGAGCAGTCATACGACGTCATCGGATGACACGACAACGACGACAACGACGGCGAGCACAAGCTCATCGCCTACATCCACAAACTCTCTTCCTTCCAGCACTGGCTCTTCAACGACTTCCGATGATTTCCCCACTCCCTTCCTTCGCCCCCACTCTCACCCTCGGCCTCCCCCTATTCCCATAGGACTTATGGTGGTTGCTATTGCCATGGGGGTCGTTGGCGTACTCGTGGTGGTAATCCTCTTTCCCCTTCTTATTAATTTGTGGCTTACAGGTCGTGGGCCGAGAGGGGGACCTAAATATGACAAGGTGAAAGGGGATGAGGAGCAAGCGCCGGGGGAAATACGAGAGGAAGCGCGAGGGGAAGTGCAGGATAGAGCGCAGGACAGAACGCAAGAGGGTGGGCAAGAGGATGTACAAAAGGGAGGGGAAAGAGAAGCGCAAGAGGGAACGCAAGAGGGAGGCCTATTGGGAGGGCAAGAAGGAACGCAAGAAGGAACGCAAGAGGGGGGGCAAGCGGGAGGGCAAGAGGGAACGCAGGAGGGAATACAACAGGAGCGTGGGAGGGAAGGGCACGTAGATTAACAGAGGGATAAGGAAATGATGTACCTGTGTGTTGGAGGGGAGGGAAGGCTTATTCATCTGTTTGCTTGGGCGATCCAATGTTTACCTACTTCTTCCGGGGATTGGTATTTTGGACCTTTTATTTTTTTTTGCTTTCCTAGCTACAACTACAGCATGTACAAACGAATTACGAAGAAACAATTGTCAAATAAAACGCTTTGATGAGATCAAAATTCAAACCAACTTGCCTTATTTTCCGCGAAACCGTGGGGGGGGGGGGGGGGGGTGATTAATTTGACCCGTATTTGAAGTGTGGACCAGTGTGGCTAGTCAAAAGTGTGCAAAGTTGGCCAAGTGCTAGTCAGATCCTGCTGGAGGAGCCCCTGTAGTGTTTGGGATATCTGTCCATATCAGTCAAGGTGCACATTGACACCACGCGCGCTGTAAGTCGATCGCAATGGTCTTATCAATCACTAGCTAGATCCGACGCGACTGGGAAAATATTCCCCCAAGGATCAACAATAGCCCCGCAATTAATAAAGAAGAAGAGGTTTGCGTGAACATCTGATCCCACGCATCTCTTCGATCTATTGTCATATATTGAGGGTGGGGGACCCTTCGATCGCAGAGAAGAACGTAGCTACTATCGCCGCTGCGCAAGTTGTGGCCCAAATGAACGTGTTTGCCATTCAAATCCCTTCACCATTGGGTAGCCTAAACTTTTTACCAACTCTCATATCCCGATCATACTATGTACCGGCGTGCACAATTCTACAAACAATTTGCGCATCGCTAGCTGTGCCGACTCCAACTGCGTTTTTGCTGCCATCACAGCTAGCTCTCTTTCTAAGCTTGCGCGCAACTTTAAAGAGCGCAGAACCATTAAAAATCATGTTGGGTAATTCGGTTCCAAGATTTCAATGAAGCCACAAGGGATTTCGATTCTCCTGGCTTGTATCAGTGATGTGCCTGAGTGACGAAGTCCCAAAAGCGCCTAGAGAACGAGGGTGATGTTGTCAATGCAAAGGACATCCCAGATAATCGAGTTTTGTTCCACGTTGTACACTGGGTGTGTGCCAATCATGATGTTTTCCTGCCCGCTGCGCTGTACGTCTGCTTCGAGCTATTCTCAATCTCCTTGTATGTTTTTTTCCCGTCGAGCGATTTGCCTTTTTGTCGCTTTGTTCTCAGCAGTGTCATACCATATTAATTTACTTCATCCTTGAGGTAATCTCTTGGCCCCAGGTCGACCCTATCAATACGGTCGAAGTGTATGTGATGAATGGCAGGGGATATTCTCCCAAGGCTATTAGCGATCTCGACACAAATGGCGAACTTGGAGTCGAGTTAAGGTAGACGCCTGGTTCATTGTAAAAAAAAGCACTTACGAGGACTATAACGCCCACAGCAATCACTCCGTTCGAGAAGCGGGACGCGACATAGATATAGAACCCTACGATGAATAAGTAAAACCCGCTAAGCAGAGGTCAGAATATGAATAAATTCACACAGCCCAAGCTATATCACTTACCAAACAACTAGGGTGAAGCAGCGGCTAAATGAAAAGGCTTTGATATAGTCGAACACATTTGGCTTAGCTGCGACGGTAACTTCGACTGGGGAAGGGACATCAACACGGACATCACCCGTAAGGTATAAATATCGATGTATGACCAGTCGAAGTGCGTCGCGGTGCGCAAAGCTGGTAAGATGATGTTCAGATCCTGCTGTAGGAGCTGAATTTTCGAGGACATGCACGTACGTCAGCCAGTGTGCACGCCGGCAAGCTGTAAGCAAGACGATACTATCGATCGCTAGACCGGACACCGAGTTAGAGGGATAATACCGTTTAGGCACGCCACTGTAGATAACAGCATAGCAGCCATTATTGGTGCATTGAACAGGCTGTAGATGGCAGAATTTTTTCTATCATCAGCGAGCGTGATCGCTAATACTTGAGCCTCGACTGCAGTGAGGAGCGTGGCTATTAGCGCCACTGTGTTACTATCTGGGACAAAAATAAACAACAAAGGATGGTTCGCAACGCAACTACTAACCGTCGTAGAGTCTCCTCCACACCTCTTCAAACCTGTCATCGATAATCTCCCTGATCGAGCGAGGAGGAGAGATGGGGTTCGATTCATCAATAATTGGCGTTTGAGACATTCAAGTGAGGGAAAAGGAATACGGTTGACTTTGGCTGCTGAGTTCATATATGAGATTCTGCTAATCCCGAGTGTATACTGTGTGTCCAGTGTTCGAGTGATTACTTAAACACACCAGAATTGTTGGAACGTTGCGTACTATATGGACGTACCATAAATTAAACTGCTCGCGTTGCTTCGCCTAATACTAATAGCATGGAACTTTTTGATTCTGTTACGTGGCCGGAGTTTCCATCAGAACGACGGGAAAAACAGAAGACATGAAATGGCGGATAAAAACATATGAACGAAGCTCAATACTCAAATCCAGGGACCGCAAGAACCCGAGAGTAGTAATGAACCGATAATATCACTTCCTACAAACTTCAAACCAGAGTACGCAGCTAGGACAGGACAACACTGAAGCATCGAGAAGAATGGACAGAGAGGAGGGGGGGTTGTGATCATCCGAGGGAAGGCGCGGTCAGCGATTTCCTTCAATTTCTGAATTCCGACAACTCCTCGCCGAGCTTAGAAGGGAGGTTCCAAAAGGGACAATATTTTGGACGCAACCGTACCTGGACAGCATGCGTAATGGTTTTTTGGTCCAGTCTTGACTAGAAGGATGAGGGGAAAGAACTCTTAATTATCCTCTGGAGCCGCCTGAGATATCAGAATACTGGTTCGCGCAGTGCAGTCGTTCTATTAAGGAATAGACAGTAATGCTACCGTGTAGGTGGGACGCAGGGTCTTTCAGCGCAGGTCTTATTCCATCCACCCAGTTGAGCGAAACGACGTGAGTAAGAGCTTTCGAAATTAGCGTGAAGACTATCCCGGACTTGGAGCTGCGAAGGAGGTTTATCCTTGACGTGGGTTCCCAGCATCCCAGAGCGCTGGCTTAAGTGAGAACAAACGAGCATCAGGAGATTCGCTAGTGAAAACTCAACCGTCAAGATCTAGAGCGTGTTGATATTATTCTTGTTCCACACGTATCAAGAGTAAGTGAGGTTTACGATTAATGCACGGGGATTCAAGAGATCATGAAGGTCCTCCCATACAGGGAAATCGACGAGTCACCACATGTCTCAATCGTCACTAAACCTAATAACCCCCCTTAGTAGAACGGACAAGGGTCACGTGCACAACTACGTAAATGAGGAAATATATTTTAAAACCAACTAGAGATACATGTCGTGAATATCATATAACTGATGGACGCCGCCTGAAGCGGCAATACCCGCTACTCCCACATCGACGCAGCGTCGCAGCCCACTTAGAAGTCACTCTGGAGCCGTCTTTGCGCGCCGTGGTACTAGGTGGTACTACAAATGTAAAATATCGTTAAGTTTTAAATCAGGACCGCACCCCCAGTCTGCATATACAACCCCACTGACATTATGAACCTGAATTGAATGCAACAGCAGTATAACACTCCAAGACTGGCAAAGGAGTTTATGTGATATTATTTGGTTTCGGTGAGTAAATACAAGCAAAATGTCACGACAGTGTTCGAGAGAGGGAGGTGATTGGTTTGTCAACAGCAAGGAGAGTGAAAGGTATCTTACTAGTTTGGGGACGGTAACGTTCCGTTCCCCTGTTCGCCTCAGGCCTCAGAAGTCCGTCTAAGTATACGCTTGATTTGGCTGTATATTAACAGGGTAGAAGTAAAGGCTGATCCACCTTTTACAGCTACCGCTGGTCTCTTACACATCCCCAACTGCTGGTGACAAAGTCTCTCGTCGACACGAGCACTTTCATTCATATCCCACCAATCAACACTGGGCGCCTGCTGGTTATGTGTGATTGGGTGCTAAATTATGGCTACGAGTATGGCCCACTCTTTGTTGACTTTCCTAACGATCTCTCCGAAATGGACATTCCGACCGCGATCGGGAAGGGCCACACGAACTTACATACGATAGTTGTGTCCGTCGTTCCATGAGTGCTCTTGATGTTATCACTCAAAGGGTCAGCAGCCATAGCTTGGCTCTCTAAACCTGTTAGAGAACGCATACTCAGACTCGTAAACGAGAACCGAGGAAATGGAGAGTAAACGAACTTGCATAGATTCTTATCCAGCGCAACACTACTATCGGTCAAGCCTAAGTCGGTAACAAACTTTCATCAATCAAACAGAAATAAGGTAAAGGGGTGTGGGGCAGTAGTCGAATCGTAGAAAGGTAGCAGCACCATCACATTAATTATTAGCGTTACCGTTGAATTTCCAACAGTAAATTGAGTCGCGATTCTTGGACTTCGGAAGTCATGTAGTCCCTGAGGCGGATAATTGACATCCGCAGCGTACTGAGTGCTCCTGAACCTGGGGTCCGACCGACAGGTTCAAGATCACACCGATGATTTTTTTAATATATTGGATGCCCGGATATAGCGACAGAAGATCTGGAGGAGCGTGGGAAGGTGTGACCGCGATTGGAGGGACCACTGCTCTAGGTATGCATGGTCGAGCAAGGAAAGCTCATGCGGACAAGGCCGGCACCAAGATCCGGGGTATTGGCCTGGAGGGTTTTTCGAAACAGGGTAAATTAGTTCTAATTGTAATTAATCTGACGTGCATTGGCAGCGAACCCCTTCAGAAGCCAGACCTCTCTGGTTGGTTGGGTATGTTCCTGTACGTCCCAGAGAAGAGCGGCGGGTATAGGACATGAAGTTCAACCTCGTGGGTTTGCATTTAAACTTGTGGAAGATAGAAGATTGCTATGAGTACGGTCCGAAGACCATCCGACGCAGGAATATGGCAGTCGAGACTCATGCGCATAAGCGTCAGGGTAATCAAAATGGACCTGATTTAGCCTTGGCGTTGCAACTATTCGTGAGTGCACTTCGCGTGTACCACACAAAACACAAACGAGGAGTTCATCAAAAGATGGGACCCCAGCTGATGACAACAATTTCGGAAGGAGCTGCTGAAACAAACGAGTGATCGTGACAAGGTCAGAGTCGGTGACATTGGGTGGATGGCAACTGCTGGTACAAGAATTTAAGCTTCTCGTTCACGAGGAGCCTGAGAATGCCGTGTGAAATTGTCAAGCAAATCCTTCAAGATTCGCGAGCGCTGCAGCCAACTCTGGGGCGTATAATATCGGATGGGCGACATCTAGCTGGCGCCAGAGTTTAACACTTTCTTCAATCACTAGGAGCGCGTCAGAATGCCGCCCGATTTTGCCGAGTGATACAAAACGATCCCGTAGCGCTCGAGCCAATCTGGGGTGTACGTGGTCGGGTGAACAATAACCAGCTCGCGCCAGAGTTTGACACTTTCATCGATCACAGGGAGCACCTCGGAATACCGTTCGAGACTGTCGAGGGATACAGAAAGATGTCGAAGCGCCAGAGCCAAATCCTGGGTATATGAGGCCAGATGGTCGACAACTAACTTGCGCCAGAGGTTGACGCTTTCTTTGATCGCTGGGAGCGCCTCGGAACGCCGCCCAAGTTTGGAGAGTGATTCGCTGAGCTCCCAGAGCGCTTGAGCCAGGTCTGGGGTGTATGATCGGCAACTAGCCGACGCCAGAGATCAACACACTCTTCGACGACCGGGAGCGCGTCGGAATGCTGTTCAAGACTGGAGAGTGATGCTCTGAGGATCCGAAGCCCTCGAGCCAAATCTGGGCCGTGTGATGGATCAACCGCAACTAGCTCGCGTGAGAGTTTCATACTTTCCTCGATCACCGGCAGCTCCTCAGAATGTCGTCTAGATCGGTTGAGTGATATGCAATAATTCCTGAGAACGCGAGCTAACTCCAGCTTGTGTGTTGGGTGGATGGGAACTACCTCGCGACAAAGTTTGACACTTTCTTCGATCACTGGGACCGCCTCGGAATGCTGTCCGAGATGGTAGAATGACTTTTGAGCGCTCGAGCCAAATCTAAGGTGTATGTTGTCGGATGGACGGCTGCCACCTTGCGCCACAGCTTGACACTCGGAAAGCCGTCCAAGGTCGATGAGTGTTGCAACTAGACTCCCGACTGACCGGGCCAAATCTACGGTGTAGATCTCAGAGTCCGCAGACACAAGGGTGCGGCAGAGTGCAACAGAGTCATTCGCCGACTCATATGCCTCTTGCAATCTCAAAAAGAATGAAAGGTTTCTGCGCAGATTACCAAGCACTTTGATCAGGGTGAGGATAACTTCGTTCGAAGTCCGATCAATGCAAAACCGGACGAACGCCATCGATGATTCATACCTTGGCCCACTCAGGGAATGACGATATACTAATATACCCTCCTGTCCTCACACAGACTTCCACCCAGTGCACTATCTGTTGATCGAGAAATGTGTAAACTAATCGATTGAGCACCTCCAGTGGCTCCTGGACTTGGTTGAGGTGATACACGATATGCCGACATGCGTAACGGAAGTGTTCCGACACTATCCCCTGCGTAACAGGTGACAGCTCAGCCTTTTCGGATAAGTCCTTAACCAACCCTAAACTCCCGATAGAGGATACATCCTCGTTCAGGATTTCGACACAGCGTAGGGAAACTCTGGCATTCTCCCTCCTCTCATCCACTGCAAAACGACAACGTGTGGGCGATTGGGGACCGACTCGTTCCATAAGAAAATCACGGAATGATTGAGGCAGGATACGAATTGGCACATCAGGAACCCCAACTCCTGAGATAAGGGGAGAAAGTTCAGCTAGCGTATGTCGGATTGGACACTCCAGGAGCGGTGACAGAATGGAATCCCAAACCACAACAGTTAGTGGCTGTTGTGCAATCAGGATTGCTCCTATCACAATCGGGTAGTCATGCACAAAATCGTCGTTCTCCCAGTCACACTTCTGCAAAATGCTCGTATACAAGCTATCCATCTTTCCCTCAGCAGGGACCTTCGATCGGTCCACAGTATGTAGCTATCCCAATGTCCATCTGTATTAATCCTAATATAATTCTCAGTAACAGAAAGACACACCTCGAACTTGGACGGAGTTTGGGTGTGGTAGCTATATGTGGACTGTTGCGCGCACAGTGAGGGAGATACGAAGGATGGTATGTAGCACTCGGCAACGCGGATGACGCTGCAATCTGGATAAAGTAGCCAGAGACTGGTGAATCTCAATACTTGTTCCTTGGTCAGGGCTACAGATTTCAAATAAGCCGGCCACAATATCAGTGGTCGGGTAAGGCAATAGGCAGGACTCCAGCCTCTATGACAATATTATATAGAGTGAGGCAACGAAGTGACCGTTCGAGTCCATCAACTTGTTGTCATCCAGCAGCCAGAATCTAAAATTAGCCAGGTTGAGTGGAATGAGTAGTTCAACCGAAAATCACGGCTTAAAGGCATTCACGTACTCTAATCCTTTGTCGAGGTGAATGGGCGAAGAAATGGTTGTTCGCATTTATACTTCCAATTGTATGCAAATTTTCACAACAATTTCGTGTCTTAGATGCTGTCGAACAGCATTGCATTTCATAAGGATTTTAGGGGCCTTCCCTCTGATATAAAAGCACTGAGAGTCAGAATGGGGGCTGGACACAGTGGTGAGCAATCGGCGAATGACACCTCGAGGGCCAGGATAGTGATGGTAGAGCTGTAGTATCAATCCTGAGTCCTGACTGGTTGTTCACTTCATTATGATTTTCATTCTCTTGCGGGAATTGTCCATGCGGGCGCTCGGCAACGCCCGCTGGTTGCAATTAAAGGCACTCGATTTGGACAACCTCCACTGCGCGTCGATTGCCAGCAGCCGAGTCCACCGTTCCTCAAAGTTATATATGCGTCATCTTCCTTCACCATTGTCACCTGCCCCTTTGCCTCCTGTCTCTTCTCGCTAAGTTACCATGTTGTTCAAACAACTTCCCAAATTCGTCGTGTATGAGTCACTGAGAGACTTGTAAGCAGATGAAATCAGCTCAAAACAATCACTGTGACCATCCTATAGCCCGGTTTCCCGCCGCTCTTTTCATCCCCGATAGTAGAGAGGTTGCCCGTAAATTGGCCCAACTCGATGACGAAGACGATAGCTGTAGTAGCGGCATACGGATGTCTCACGCTGGCCGTCGTCTACTTGAAGCCCAAGCTACTTCTTGCCTTTTGGTTCTGGCTCTGGACAGGCTGGTGGCTGTCGGCGACGCATCAGATTGAGGCGAAGGGGCTCGAATTGGATGCAACACCTGCTACTGCGAGGGCCACCATGGACGAAACTGAAACCAGCTCCACTCGAAGAAGCGCCGCGTGTCATCGGGGCTCTTCAACGGAGTGGGGCAAGCCATTTTTTCACGCTGACTCCGCTTCATCTTTTGCGGAGCCGGAGCCGATTGCGCCATCACATTCGTCAGAATCGTCACCCCCTATCTCATTGCTGCCTCCTTTACCCAAGATTCGTTCCGCCCATTTAGGCAATCTAGTTTTTACACCCCGCCAGGCTGAACACGAGGATGGTCTACGAGACAATCAGCGTCTAGAATGGCTCGGCGATGCTGCCATTCAATTCAGCGTCACGCTGCTCTTGGAGGAGTTAGCCCCTCAATTGAAAACTGGCGAGGCATGTACCATTCGCGCTGAGCTGGTTTCGAATAAGTATCTGGGAATGTTGTCGGTAAGGTACGGGTTGTTTGTAACCTACAATGAAGTTTGTGGGCAGGATATATCTCAGGATCTAAACAAAAAAATACACGGTAAGCGCACCCTGTGTATACCGCCCCCCGACATTATTTCTTCATCGCCTTATCTGGTAACTTTTACAGCCGACTTATTTGAGGCGTATATTGGGGCCCTGACCAAAGAGCGAGGGTTCGACTTTGTCCACCAGCACCTCTCAGTCGTTCTCAAACCACCTCGGCTGACGGCTTCAACTGAATCACATCGACATGGCGGAGCCGAAAGCTCGTCAGCACCAGTGACAGTGCCAAATCCCCTACCAACTCCCCCACCGTCACCTGCACTCGTGCCCTCACGTTTGCGTGAGTTTGTGCCTCGGGTTACTGATGCAGCTCCATGGGCAATGACGCCAGTTACTGCGCAAACTCCACCATCACCACCATCACCGCCTTCACTTGGAAACCCGCTCCGTGCAAATCAGATTCCACCATCAGCTTGGCTTTACAAGTTGATGCAGGATGCCGAAGGAAAACGGTTCTGGAGGACCCAAGCTCAGGTGAACGGGAGGGTGCTCACTTCCGGACAAGGCACTTCGAAGAAAACGGCTAAAAAGGCGGCGTTGGAAGCTTATACGCGCGTCGCAGGGTGCGTCAACTAGGACCTCTCAAGCAGCTCAAAAGTCCGGTGAAGCTGCTGAGAATTCCACGGGTGCAGTACCCGGGTTCTTCGTTATGTCCTTCTGCTGCAGCAGCCACAGCTCGGAAAGGCAGACACGCTGTTCTGATTCGGTGATGAGTGTGGCATGTTGTGAAAACAGTATGCAGGGGGACAAAGCATCGATTGGATTCTCTTAGCTGCCACTTGTGATCGGGGCTGACATGTGTACATTATATAACGTGTGACAAACTGCAATGAAAGTGTATCGTCCTAAGTAAGATGGGAGAAAAGCGGGTGAGGCTACTGAGTATGTTGGCGAAACGACCGACTGAGTCATATTCGTGGAAGAGGTGTAGCTTGGTGATCGGGCATGAAAGCTGTTGGACAGACTGACAGGACCGAGGTCTCACAGAACCCAAAACTAGAAATGACTTACTATCAAATTGCAAGATACATGTCCATGTTGCATGACCCGCTCCGTACAGTTTAGCAGGAATTCAGGCAGACAAATCACGCGCACAAGGTCGACGACTTTCGTTATTGGATAACAGATGCGACAGTGTCTGTGGACATGGTGCATTATATTTGATAAATACCGCCACAGGCTATCGACGGTTGAGAATACACGTCCCGTAGTGCCGGTGCGATAGAGGTTAAACTAACTAGGCAACCCAGATGGAGATCATAAATATCAGAGCCTGGACCTTTCCTGTAAAAGGCTTCCCGCAGCCCTCAACTTTTCAACAGCCTCAGCGACCATCTCATCTACTATCTGTTTCGCGGGCTTGATGTCCTTGATCACGGCAGAGACTTCGCCCAGGAGGAATGACCTCCCCTCGCTCATCACCTTGGGGTTCTTCGCCAAATCAACCTCAAAAGGCACTTCCCCTTGTGAGGTGAGCTCTTTGATCTCCTCCTGCCGGTTCTTTTCCCTGAGAACAGGGACATTGGTTAGCGCGATGTGCGAAAGCACTAGGCAAGAGGGAGCGCACCAGTTTTCAACGTAGGGAGTTCTTCGGACTCGAAGGGGACGGCCAGTAAATATCAGCGTCCGAACAGCATCTCCGTACCCAGCTGATAGGATACTATACCATGAGATTTAGTGAAACAAACATCGAATTGAGGCGAGGGAAATGGTGACTTACGCCTCCTTGTGGGCTTTGGGTGCGCCAGCTTCTACACTGGCGACGAAACGTGTCCCCACCCAGACAGCTTGTGCACCATATGCCAAAGCGGCAGCTAAACCACGCCCGTCTGAAATCCCACCAGCTGCAATGAGGGGCACCTGGAATGAGGTATTCAGTGCCCGGGGCTTGGGTAAGATCACCATAGGGAACGAACCTGTTTGCCCGTCAACGGACTCTTTTTCCCCTTCAACTCATCCAAACATGCTGGGATCAGTATGCCAAATGGAATATCACCCGTATGGCCACCACCTTCTCCGGCCTGCGCACATATGATGTCCACGCCGCGAGCGAGGGCTTTCTGGATATGCTTCGGATGCCCAATCATATTCATGACGGGGATACCAGCTTTGTGGAGTCTTTCAACTACCTCAACTGGTGGGACACCTATGTGACGCACATGAGCAATTTTGACACTCGGAATCTAGGGCAGTCAAGCAACATACCAACGGCGCAAACAAAAAGCTTGGCTCCTTCTTCTATGATGACATCAATAAGCTCAGATAATGACCCCTTCGTGTAGTCGTAATTGGTTTTCCGAGCACCTTCCCCCACTTGAGGAATGAGTAGGTCTACTCCGAAAGGTGCATTGGGGTCTTTCAAGTCCTTCTTGATAAGCTCGATTTGCTGCCGGAGAAATTTGGGCGTGTACCCTACGCCTCCAATGACGCCGAGGCCACCTGCACTAATGATTGAAAGAAAATTAAAATAAGCACGGGGAGAGCAAAAGCTTGAATGGAAGAGCTGACTTTGTCACTGCAGCTGCCAGTTCAGGCCCCTGTAAAGCGGCGGGAACGGGTTAAGAAGGCTCATCCTGATGTAAACGCAAGTCCTAATCTCTTACAGCAGCCACCTGGCACCTCGCAAGTCACTGGCAGTTCAACGTGGCAGTGAACTAGCTACTTACATTCATTCCAGCTAACAGAATAGGGTGCTGGATACCGAAGAGCTTGGTGATTTCAGTCGTGATGGGTGCCATTTTGCACAGCTTCAAGTGAGGTGAGCGGAGTTCGGAAGGGAATGCGATTGAGACGTTTAACATCCAATGAAAACAGCAGTAAGCATCTGGTTCGATTGTGACGACAGTTACAGCTTACCTTTCCGTTGTAAATGAGAGGGTTATGGAGTTCAAGGTGAAGTTCGTCAAGAACTCAGGGATGATTTATTATAGGTAGAGGGTCCGGTAAAAGTAGAGGCCGAGCCCGGAGTACGAAAACGTCGCGACGGATCTTTCCGGCTCATTTTGTGCCTCGGCTCGTCATTTTCCTGTTTGCGTTCGTGCCTCAAACACCTTCTTTCCCACCTGTATCTTGAATAATGTGCACAACCCTGTCTGCTCAGCAAGGGCGGTTTCATTATCGATTTTAACCTCGAAAATCTGTCGGTGAGGATGAAGACAGACAGCAGGTGCACTTGAAATTGTGCATGTGCCAGTGTATAAACTTCAGGCTGGGGACCTGCCAGCGGTCGCAGTAAATGCTCGAAAGGCAACATGACACCAGTTGGTTTGATGGGATATAGGAAGCGCAAAGTGCAATGCCCATTCTTTAGATCGGATAAAGAAATACCATAGTGTAGTGGAATGGAGAGCGTTGGGAAGGCTGACAGCTTAATAAAGGTGCGCGAGGTCGAAAGGACCTTGGGAGAAAGAGGCATTACCAATTTGAGGGAAAGATCGACGATTTGGCGGAAAGTTCCGCCCCACTTGGAATATGTAGACGAATAAATTCGGCCAACCCCGCTACACTTATATTCAACATCAGGTCATGTGTCAGGTGCCACGCATGGCACATGCAAGCCATGGGCACGGCTACTCTCCCTTAGCCGGGGACGTCTTGCAATGCGGAGTCCGGCTGCACCGTCAGCACTCCTTGACAAAGTACAAGGCACCAGTTGCTGCCATGCCAGCGGTTGAAGTTTTTCTCTTATTTCTTCTCACATCCCAGCCAAAGACAATGCCCGTCCGCCATTTCTCATCTGCCGAAGAACTTCTAACAGCCGGAGGACGGCCAGTTGGGGGGTTTCGCTGCGTCTGAGCCCAACCTCTTCCTTACGCCGCCGATCGAGTGGACTTACACGCTTGATCTCTGAGTGTTGCGAGACGAAACTTCCGCAGGACAGCCGTCGTATAGCCTAGATATGTGTATGCTGCCGCCGCTTAGGGGAAGGCTCGCGACCCTTGTTTCCGTCCGTTTGCATGAACAAAAAACTTGGCACCTGTTCCCCTCATTAGGGCACGCGTCGCATTGTCTGGCCTGTTTACATTCTTCAGAGAGCCTCGTTGAATTTCCCTAGAGAGTGCGCAGGTAGCGAGGTTCGCTCATCAATTGCATTGTGTCCAGCTCGCCATGCGTATCAAATTCCGCGTCTATATGATTGCAAGCCCCCTGGGTAGACCGTTTGTTCACGTCACCCCCGCACTAGAAAGGAGGTGCCCCTGCTTCAGAACACCTTCGTGGAAGCTCCGGATTCCTTTCTCGCTCCAAGCTCGCGATTGGCAGAGACAGGGTGTGAGGCACTTCCATTGCTCGTCGTAGCTTCTGGAGAATACATATACCGCAGGTTAGAGGGGACCCCGATATTGCTTTTTGCAGCTCCGGGGAGAGCTAGTTTGTTTGCGATCATCCTGATCACTCCACTCACCCACTGCCGCTTCTGCTCTCGACATGACCAATCATCACTACTGGTACTCCTTTACCCATTCCACGATCTTTGCTTCCTCACCTCCAACCCACCTTCAGGAGGGGAGGGTTGAACAGCGTGATCCTAATTACAATCGATCCCTCCCCGCCAACTATCTTCGCATACCCACGACTAGTCCTACCATCCAGCCAGTCACTACCTTCTGATCTCCACTGGTGCCAAAACAGTAGGACGGTGCCCTCTACGCTTGGGTCTTGAGGGGTGCTACATTTACCTATACTACTCTTATATGGCTAGCATGTGCGTCGCTTACTCGCGCGCGCGCACGCATCCGGATCGAAGGATTTGTACAATCCATCGCTGTCAGTGCTTTGTCCTAAGGGTCCATCCTTCGACTGTTTTACATCCGTATACTCCGTGCGTCTTGATTTATCGAGCGCGACATTTCTATCCTGTTGATTACGTTTATTCGTTCGTGTGCGCATCTGGATTGGAATTAACCCGTCGCGTTTGCCTTGGATTGCATAGCCTCCATCTCCTGTCATGCATATCATCTTTTGTGCGGCGACAATGGAGTAGGGATAGCCAATGACCAATAGGCGTGCTGTTTCTCCCACCCCACCATCCACCCCCCCCCACTCCTGGGTCTTTGGGCCCACCATAAACGATCACTACATCCCGGGATTCTCAGTATGCGGATTAAGGAGCTAGGGCTTGCTTCTCTATGCTCAGATGGAAAGGGAAAAGGGGCGCTGGATGTTAGGGGATGGGTCCGATTTGCTACGCTGTACCATTTGACTCTTATATACCTTAAGTCGCACCCAGGTCTGACCCGTACGCGTCATGTTGTACCACGCAGGCACTTAGGTTCCTTAAGCTGACAGTAATGACCTGTGTGTACTGCACTGCGTCAAGCTGAACAATACAGGAAGTTACGGAAATGCCCTGTATGCCATGTCCCTGTCGTCTTCGTTTCTCCAAGCTCCCCATTTGTGAGGCCACTCTTTTTTTCTTCCTACACAGCGTCGCAACACGGTTGAGTGTCGTCAGCAGTCAGCAGTAGAACGGCATCATGGTGGCTTGCTCTAATGATTGGAGGAAATTGCCCGTGTGTATGGGGTCCCTGTCAGATCGGCACGGCCCAGGACCACTCCGCCACTTTAGCTTCGTCCGACTTCGTCTCGCCTTCTGCGATCCGCACACACCCCGAGCTGGAATGTCCAAGTGATTTAGTGCCGCCCCCCACCAAACCTGATGTGGTAACCACATCACGAATTGTATTTGTGCCACATGAAGTGTCACGCTGTGCCGTCACTGCGAAATCATTAAGCAATCCAGAACCTATAATGTGTCGCTAGTGACAACGCATCGGAAAGTCCGACCAGCCGCACTTCTGGCAGCTAAGCTGACGGCGTGTTCTTTCGCCAAGGTTTTGCACCGCTGATGGTGTATTCCTTCGCAGAGGCTTTATCGCCGCTGATACCATGCATGCAGCAAGGCATAGATTGGATTAACGGCAGACAGCGCACTCTGGGTTCAAATTGTGCCACTGCGGGCATCATAGGAAGTAGGTGATGGATATCGGGGCTTGCCAACACACTCAATTACTGCGTGACGGTCCGGCGGTGCAATCTCCGGAAGTACACTTCAAGTCCTTCACGTTAATGCAATCATTTCTCCGGCTGTGACCTTTGCAATATTGGCGCCACACATCAACCTTGAGCTGCGGTAGTAACCGCATCAGTGCTGCTCAAAGGCTATAAGAACTAGAAGACAGTAGTGGGTGATGGCTCAACGAAAACAGCACCACAATGTTTCTGGCTTTTCCGCCAATCAGCCTCTTCACGACCCTTCTTGCCTTGGCCCTTCCGATTGCGGCCCGTCCTAACAACAATCCCATCTTAAGGTCAAGGAGTCGAGCCCTCCCTCTGCGTGGCTTTACTAAACGTCTAGCCAAACCTGGCCTTGTCCGCAGGGATAGTATTACCCCTCAGCTTGCATGGGCTGGTGCGATTCTCAATGATGTAAGCACCGTGCTCAAGTACCCACTTGCGCACAGCTGGGATCTCACCGTTCAACTGTGCACTCATTCGCACTTGTAGACTGGCTATGACTATGTCACCTCAACTTTTGTCATTCCAACAATCCGTTCAACCGATCCCACTGGGGAGCAGAGTATTACTGCAGCAGTTGGCCTTCACTGCGAAAATGCCGCCTTAACGCTTGTCAGCTTGTCAATCAGTCCCAACGGGGCCGTTAATGTCATTGGTAACTACCCATTGAAGCTGGGTCGTGTGCAGCGTATTGATTATTGATGGATCGTCGTTGTCATACGCAGGGGCGGATTATCTGGATATACTCACTATCCAAAACATAACTTTTAGCACCGGTGACATAGCCAGGATATCTATAGAAGCGTTGCGCAACCACACGTTCGCCACAACTATTGAGAATTTGAATACGGAAGACAAGTCGGAAGGACTGGTCACCACCGTCGAAAATCCTATCTGTGATAGATATGCTGCCATATGGGCTATCGGAGGGTTCCAGGCTGGAAACTCCGAATCTTTCGCAAACTTCAGCACTGTTACTTTCTTCAACGCCTCGGCTCGTCTCGATTCCGGAGAATGGGTTGGTCCGCAGGAAGCGACCACTCGCGAAATAACCACAGCCAGCGGGATACCTCTCACTTCCACTACCGTCTCCTCTTCCAGTGTGACCATTTTGTACCTTGGAGAACAACCTGCACAGGGACCCAGCACAACGCCGTGTCCCTGGGAGCCGCCTCACGAATCCAGTGTCCCACCCGCCTCCCACACGGTAAGGCTACATGGGCTCCCCATCTTGCCCATCCCAGGTGTGGCAGAGCTAGAGAGTCCCCCCGTCACACGTGGCCCCGGAGGCCCTGGAGGTCCTGGAGGTCCTGGAGGTCCTGGAGGTCCTGGAGGCCCCGGAGGTCCCGGAGGTCCCGAAGGCCCTGAATGCCCTGAACATCCCAAACGCCCCAACCCATTCGGTCCTGGTCCCGTCTTCCCATCTGGAGCCCCCACTCCATCTGGTCTCCGAGCAACAAAACCGCCGTGCCCTCCCATGCGTACGCCAAACCCCATCCCGGACACTGAACATGTCGGGTGCCACAACTCGGATACGAAGAGACATCCCATGGATATGACGTGCCCATTGGATTAGTGATTACTCCCAGACAACGCACATGATGTGCGTAACTCAAGAGAACATTGCAGAGGGCTTAGGGAGAGCGTTTCGACTTTGGGCAAAGTTTGAATAGTTGATAGTTCATTCTAGAATCATCGCGGTGGCGTGAAGCGCCGCGTGGGCGAAATATGTATATAGATCTTCAAGCGACTTGACGGCCGAATTAGCTTTTTTCGTGTTGCCAGAAGGCCGGAAACTCAAGACTCGAGGGCGAAGCGGAACGTCCCCAAATGTACCACTATTGGTGCATGCCGAAGTCGTATTCGTTGGCTACCCTGCTCGCACAACCTAAACACTGCCGGTTGTCCCGCGGGCGGGAACACAACTTGCACAAACCTTAACATGTTCCCGATGACCTCAAGATCTAAGGCTGTATATTCTGGCATGAATATGGACGGAGGGTTGTTGCTGCCATACGATTAGCCCGACTTTGGTGGCGGCTGGCGTTGATTCGACAAGCGCAATAGACTTGGACCAAACTAAACCGTAAGGACGACTGGGTACGAGCCTATCAATAGGTAGCCACCCGTGGTCGCTCAGGGTTGAATATAAATCCAGAGCCTCATAAGAGAGAGGAAGCTTGAATACACAGCCCCCACTCTGTGTTGTCCCTATCGGGCCCGTCCTCATCGTTGCCTCGTCAAAAAACAAAAACCAGAGCCGAAGCACTCTGCACTATCTGTCTCGATCAATTTCTACAGGATGGAAGATGACAATAGGCCATTAGACGGAAAGCCATTGCTTGTACAGAGATTTTGCAAGACCGGGTGAGCCATTGGTGACAAAGATAAGTGACAAATTGTAAGCGGCTTCTCGAGCCATGCCATAATCCGTCAGCTAGCTCAGACATGAGCGCTTAATTGGATTGACTGATTATGGCTTTACGCACATTTGGATTTTGTTCTAGTCGTTTTGAAATGATCTTCAATGTTCTTTGATAGTGGTTAACGCTCAAGGAATAAAGACCTGATAAGAATATTTTGATAGGCCTTGTTGCGAGTCACTTGACATAGGATAGTCCTACCAAGTTGATGGAATGCACGACCGAAGTTGTACTCAATCTCATCTTCTCTCTGGGAAGGTCTTCGGTACTTCCTGTATTCGCTCATAAAAGCCATTGCCTAGACAATTCAGTACTAGCACATCAGCACTCGGTGGGACTCACCTCCACAACTAGGTGATGACGATTGTCTGCTTGCCGCTGCATTGCACGACCAATACATGCAACGGCCAGGCTCAAGCAGATGACTGGATCTCGAGGTTGCAAGGCGTGAGCTTGCAAGAGGTACCCTATGATGTAATCGTTGATGGATGCGTGAAGCAACGTAGGACATACAAACATTTGGCACTTTGGTAGCTCCGAGCACAAAACATGATGTAGCCATAAAATGCATAGATCAAAGGACTCATCTTCTTGGGACGCAGTGGCATAGGAAAATTCTCCTGTGAGTTGGAGCCTCTGGAGCTTTTCGCTTCCGTTGTCTTCCCCTTCTTAGAACGGGACCCATCCTCCTCCCCTGGAATTTCGTCATCGTCGAGAGCGTCATCTCCCTGTACTGCAATCCAGCGGGTCCCATTTTGTCGAAGCACCAGAGGATCCCCACGAGCATTCGCTTCCCAGAGCCTTAGTTCCCGCAATGCCATTTTCTGGAAGTTCGTGGCGATGAACGCCTCGTTCGCATCCAAACCTCCTTTCGAAAGACCAGCGAGTAAGAACCTAAACGGATCATTGTTAAATTGATGATCTCTGAGGAGCTTCTGGCAATGCTCCATAACGTTTGGATAATGTCGGGCTCGAATGGCGCATACTGGTCGGAGAATGGGGTAAGCATTTAAATGAGGCACAATAGTCGATTGGCGCACTCGCTGCAGTTATCCTGATAGTGTTCTGATTCTTGAAATCATTGTAGGCATTGGAAAGTAACATGTGACGAAGCACTTCATCCGCAAGAGCATACTGATCCTCTCGTGTAAGGAGAAAACAGTACTGCCAAGAAATTGACACAGTTTTGATATCAGTGCTAGTGCTTAGTTCCAGACGAACCTGAGTGATCATAGACAACCAGCGTGCGAATGTTACCCCCCGGAAATTGTCAACGCCTCTGGGCTGCTTTCCTCCTGCCGCGGCGTCCTGGGCTACAATAGGTCGTTAAGATTGTGCAAGATTATGCAAGTTCCCAGGTCGGGAGACACCTATTTCCATTTCCAAACGAGACGCCATTTCATTATCTCCACTTTCTGACTTATTCTTCCCCCGGTCCCTGTTTTGACGCCTCTCAATAATAATGCCACGATATGGGGATGTCTGTACAGAAGTTAGCTGCGGGGAAACCTATTTGATAGGGAAACATACCCTATCTACCATAAACAATTGGCGTGTAATGCGGAATTCCTCAACAAGATCACCGCCGTCATTCAACCAAATCTGGATTGCACTAGGGAGGTGAGACAGCATGTCCTCCTCGATCTGATCCAGTCTCTCGAACACGGCTATCGTTTGCTCTTGCTTGGCTTGCTCATATATGCGCAACTGTTCCCTAGATATCTTGTTCCTTTCTGAAGCTGATTTTGTTGTGTTCAATTTTCGTGTCTCGTCGAAGAAGCTGCCAATCATCTGGGCTGCCCCTCCGGACGATTGATCTTCCATAGAAGGCCCTTCGACTGTGGGCAGGGCAGTAGGCACGCCACGACGAAACTCGAGAACTACATCCATGGTGAGCCAACCCCAATAATTCGATGGGCGAGGAAACAGAGACGTTACCTTCATTGATGAGATCAAAAGCATCTTGAAGTCGACCAATGATTTCTAGAGCTTCGGCAAGCTTGCTTTTTGCTTCGATAAGGGAAGGATCCACTTTGAGGGCTACGAGAGAAACATTCATAAAGGTGCTCCACAGCGGCGTTATCGGGTACCTACCCCACTGATACGACTCTATAGCGTCTTCATAATTACCCAGATTGCGATCACAAGCTCCGATGCGGAGGATAATGAAGGTAGAATTGGTCTGATGATGTTGGGTGAATATAGCACCTAATTCTAAGGATGCGAAACCGGACCTCGTTTTGCGTTGCTAGTTTTATGTAGATTTCTCGAGCATCCTCATACATACCCAAATCAAAGTAGACATTCGCGAGCTCCTCAAAGAGAATGCTGAACTCAACCACATCCTCAGTGGCTAAGACAATGGATGCATGCATCTAGCCATTAGTTTGGGTGTATCAGCATTATGAAACCAATGCAGACGCAGTAGACTCATACCTGGGCTTCCCCGAAATCACCAATCTTCAATCTGGAGATTGCGAGCCGCTGTCGAAAGTTGATATCTAAGGGGTAACAACCAGGGCCAGGACCTCGACTGATTCCTTCGTCTCTGGCATAGCCGGGTAAATCGAACTCCCTATCATCTTGAACAGGATCCCACATTGGACTTTCATGAAAGCGGCCATCAAGCCATCGAGCACCCCTCCGAATGGTAAAAATCGCTTTCTCATATTCGTTGACATTATTGTAAAAGTCAGTCAAAGCAATAATCTGCCGAGTGCCGAAATCATTTTCAGAATGAGGGCCCTCCGGCTGACGTTTAGTGTGGAAGTCGAACGCGTCCTGAAATAACCTCGTCGCCCTTGGTGCGTCGTCAAGATCGATGAGAAGTAACCGAATTTCCTCAAGGACGTTCGGGTCGTAATGTTGGAACTTCATGATTTTGAGAAATCCATCGAGAGCCTGGGGCATTTTTTGGCGAACGGCACACGTCAGAAATGTATGGACGCACCTTCTTGGGTTCTCCTTGCATCTTAAGGAGATATGACCAATCCCAAAGAGCATCCAAATCTTGAGGATCGATGTAGAGAATTTTGCGAAAACAATATATGGCTTGCTGCAGATATCCCAGCTCCCTGAAAGTCGGAAGTCGCGTGAGACCCTAATAAAATGTGCGAAGGGCTTGGCAAATACTTTGACTTCTGCCCAAGCTCCCTCCAAGTGCCAACGTCAGGCTCCCGGAGATGCGTCGCAATTATGCGGAGTTGCAAGCATTCCACCTCCTGCCCAAGGTCAAGATGGCATTCCGCAAGTGTCGTCCACGCATCCACAGCTCGGGGCTCAATGCGAATGGCCTCTCTCAAGAGGGGAATTGCTTCTTCAATACTACTATTCGTATAAGCCTCAATACCCTTCGATATGAGATCTTTAACTTGTGGGGATAATTCCGGCATATTTCTGGGTCGACGCTGTTCGAAACATTGGGGATATGACACACGTAGGCTTGCTACATGGACGTACGGCTTTCCTCTTCTTGCCGATTCCGGATGTCTCACGAAGCTCTTGTTGGAAGTCCATTGTGTCATCTTCCTCCTCGAACTCGAAAGTCCATTTTCCGGTAATAGGTCCCCTGGCAGGTCCAGAAGACTGAACTTTCGATTTGACGATGCGACTGCATGAAAATCCTGGATAAGCGGGAGGCAGGAAGTATGGAGAGCAACCTGTGAAAGAAGTACTCACTCAAAATCTCCCTGCATTTGGTTTATGGCATTCTCTAAGTTGTCTACTTCGTAGTCTTGGATTCCGCCCAACTCGCCCCCGTACTGGTCATCGTCGTCATCGTCCGGTTCGTACACATCACTGCCAGAGTCGGTAACATAATCGTCAAATTCTTTGTCGGAAAGGTATTCTCCATCCATTTTAACCACGCCAGTCGAAGGATCGAAAATGTTGCTCGCCTGCAATACGAAAGACGAAGGCGCGATTGGCCGGCAACAATTAGCAATACATAAGCACCATCTATTCAATTTCCAAACAAGACAATCATTAGCGCAACCCCGACGACACCAACTATTTACATGACTCTAATCGAAGCTACGATGGGCTTACACGACACCTACCTACCGTCTGACGCAACCCGTGGCCGCTGCCCTTCTCACTTGATCACTTTCATTTGGCAAGCTGATTGCGAATCCAAATTTTCGCGAGGGGTCTTAGTATTCAAAACGTGGTGTATTACAGCTAACGTCAAAAACAAAAAGCGCATCCGATTCTAATGGATCAAAGGAAGGTCATGATTTGGGTGTTGTACCTGATGATATGAGGTAAACCTGCATGATCAGTTCACAAATCCAGCCGCATGGACGAAGTTACACCAGCGATCGCAACCAAACCCCTTCTTTCCTTCTTGAGCTCGGGGATTGGATCAGGACATGAACGTGCAAGGTAATGGGCCAACCCAGCCCAACCCGAATAGGTGATGCGCCATGGGTATACCATGGGTATACCGGGCCCCCCCGTGACCCAGCCCGGGAAAGTCCTACCATTTAGGAATACACACAAACCCCTGTATTGCGAAAGCTACTAGGGTTCCACTAAGGAAAAAAAACAAACAAGCGTCATCATCCGATGAGAGGGTTAGGGGTGCCGGAGAACCGGTTCGAACCGGGACCGAACCGAGAACCGACGGTTTTGGTTCTTAAAGTTAGGGGGAAAATGCGAACCGGTTCCGAACCAAACCATAGAACCGTAGAAATATTATCAACATATCATTCATCGCCCGGGATCTGCTCTTGGTCCCAGCATCCTCTATCCCATGTGAAAGGGCATTTTCCGCTGCTATGTGAGAACCGTCTCACTCCCGAGATCTCGGGGCTATTCAAATCGTGAAGGCTGATATTCAGCATAACTATTTCGAGGAGAGGGAGGCATTAGATATAGCAAAGTGGCAAGAAAAATCTCATGATAGAACGCGCAGAGCGGGTGGGCTTCATTATGGACTCTTAATGCTTAGAATGTTTCGTCGAAAATAGAATATTTCATTGAACTCATCACATTTCAACAAAGTTGGTACCATCCTTTGAAACGGTCCAGAACCGAACCGAGTCACCCCCAGAGAGGGTGCGCCAATCAGTGCCCGCGCTCTTGATGTACACCCACAAGCCATCAATTTGAGAACACTATTTTATCACCGTTGACGAAATTTGCGCTCATAGCTTGGAAAGAAAAGAGGCGAGGGAGAGACCAAAAAGTACAAACTGTAGCACTCAGGATTCCCATGTAGTCCCCTACCACGGTACTAACTAAGCGGCACTCGACTTAACTTCGTAGATCAAACGGGATGCGGTGCTTTCCGAGTCCTATGGCCACAGATAGTCCCGTCTGCATTCCCACCTCTGATGAATATCAATGCACGTGGGGGATGATGGACAAGTCACTTGCACAAGTGGTCGCTCATAGCTAAGGTCGTGACTGGAAACAGCTAGATCTCGTTGATCGATAAGACCAAACCCCAAATATCAAATAAATAGGCGGTTGCGTCGTCAGGCGACCGCGGGGTGACAAGATAGACCAACCATCTCAGTCAATCTTATTCGGGTGTAGAACGATCCCTCTGTTGGCACACTTCTCATCACCTGTTCACTCCGCCTCGATATCTCCACATATCTGAATGAGGAGCCCGTTTCCCATTCTCCTACTCTCCAGCCTGAAACATATTCCAAAGTGCAGCATGATAACGCGCGGCCCCCTTAGAGTCCCTCTTGTCTAGTTTGTCCTCGTCAATCAACTCCTCCAGGAATTCGTCGTACTCCACTGGCCACGACACCTCCGGAAGCAGTTCGCATCCAGGTATACCCTCATCCTGTCCCACCCCCCACATAGTCAAGAAGTTTTCGTCATCCTGGTCTTCATAGTTGCGTTTCTTGGACATGGCCATCCGATTTGGACGCCTATATTCAACCGGAACCGAGAGAGACGGACCATTGATGTCCGCACAAGAAATGAAGATATCTTTGGGGCCCTCGATACTCATTCGCGGTTGAAATTCCACTAGTCCTTCGAGATCTGAAACGTCGGCGGGCACACTCCCATCAAGAACGGTAAGGGAAAGGCGCGAAGGTAAAGTTTGAATGAAAGATTTTCTCGACAAGAAAGCTCCTGGTCGGCTAAAAATAGAGGCAGACTTCAGGACATCATATTTAGTAATCTAGTACCAAAATTATCCAAATCAGTCTCTATACCCTTGGCAGAGCGGAAGGCGCGCGCACTTGAGGTTGAGTTCTAGTATCCCGGCTATTCTCTGCAATCAGTATCGTTCGTTGGATCACGATTTCCAGGTACTGTCGAAGATCTCTCGCGATCTGTTTGATTGTAGAATAGGAAACGGCAGGATTAGCTATCCCGTTAGGAGAGGACACGATTGAGCCACCATGCGAAGGATTGCGAGACTCTGGCAAGGGAAGAAGTGATGACATATACATACTTCGAACATTAATATGATGGTGGCATAAGCAAAAAAAATCAACGACATATAAATCAAGATACACACCGAAGAAGGTTTCCGAGTCTGGAGAAATAAAAAATGTCGACATCATCCTGGATCAAATTCCCCGCCGTGAAGTTGACATACTGAGCTACCTTCTTCACCAAATCAAACTTCTCCGTGCGCTTGCGTTGATAATTCATCAGGTCACCCAGTGCAGCGTCTTCAGGGAAGGCACGAACGGTGCTGGGAGTAGAGAAAGGGTCCATCGCCGATGTCCTTCTACGCTTGCTGAGCCTCCCAGTAGACTTGTTGAAGACTACAAAGCTAGGATCAATTGCATTCATGACGAGTTTCTCCTGAGCCCTCTTCTTGCGCATCCATAGTCGCTTACGGTAGCGCTGGCGTTCGAGGGGTGACATCATTGCAAGCTTAGTGCGGCTGGTTTCAAGCGAGCCCTTTTTGTCAGTCAGCGAGTCACGGGCAGGAGACACAGACGGATTATCGTCATCTGAATGGCTATCATGTGCAGCGTCCGAGTTAGTAGCGAGAGGTGCGTGGTGGGACGAAGAGTCTAATCCATAATGAGAGTCTAGCATGTCATCCATCACCGAAAGATTATCTTTGTCGAGCTCCCTGAACAGGTCTTCTTCGATCCAGGAAAATTTCAAAGATCCCGTTGGTATGGACGATAATTTCGAAGCAGGAATGTCATGACCATTTTGAAGTTTCGTTGACCTCAACATCCTAAAAGATTCCTTAACGAATGCACCGACGCCTACATGATGCGGTACGACACCAGCATTCTTGCATGACAGACGACGGCTCGCGGCGAGTTCTGACCGGATGGTCTCATCCTCAGCTTCCAGGACATATTGAGACATCCCCTCCTCGAACTCTACCCAGGCATTTTTCATCTCTATTGCAGCTGGGAATCTGTCGCGTCTGGGTGCGGCGTGGCGGGAATAACGTTCGTGCACGACACGAGCCACGAGTCCAAGGTAAGTGCTAACTTCAACAACAGTCTTAGTTCCCATAGCCTCCGCAACCAGATCGAGACGAAAGCGCGAGAACCTCTGCAGGTGGTGATAAAGTTTATACTTCTCGTCAGAAGTCCAGTATGTGTTAGGAGGAACAAAAGTCTCTTCGAAAGGGAGTGAATCTTCTGAAGGAGAGCCGTTATAATGTCGGAGGATGTGGTCCGAATGGGACTTGAGCATTTCGAGGTACAGCCCTGCGTTTTCGGCAGCCATAGTGTGTTTGTCTTCAAAACAAGTCAGAGCGAGTTCGTTGGGCTCAATGTCTACGTCATTGACACCTTGATCGACCACACGGCTACCGGTGATCGCCGTTGAATGCTGGCCGAATGCAACCTTTCAACCTTAACGATGGCATCGGGAATAACACGTTGGATCACTTCGAATGTACGCATATTCCTTGCATTTCCTTGGCAAACTTACTCACTTGCACTTTGTCCGCCGACCAGGAACTTCGAGATATCATCAAAGGCTCAGGGAAACCCCTTATCGATTATGCCGTTGTGGATGTAAGAGATGCGGACTTTGATGTAATGCACTTTCCATCGTCATCATGGGGGTACATCAGGGCCATTCCCCGATGCACACCTTTCGACTTGATGTTTTTGTGATTTATTTTCCATTTGCTTACTATACAAGGGCGGCAATATTCCAAACTGCATCCATATCCCATCCCATCTCTTCGATGAGAGAGTTAACGGGCTTGTCGAGCGGCTAAAGTCTACACCACTTGTCGTGTTTCATTGCTATTGGTCGCAGCAAAGGTATTGAGATCCTGCGATCTTTCCGAATTTCTGAGCTAATGAATACGTTACATCTGCCCGAAGAGGACCTCAAGCAGCCCGGGTACGTTTGAGGAAGCGGCACGCGCTTGTTCAATTGTTGTGCTATATCTGATGTACTGGCTGCTAGATATTCCGCGAAGCGCGAGACGGCTTGCTGACGCCGGAGCAAATCAGTCCCCAAGAGATATGCATATTGCGTGGAGGTTTCGCTGAGTTCCAAGGATACTTTAAGGCAGGCACATTAAAAAAATTACGTTCACTGTTTGATAGCTGGTTTCCCTCCCACAACAGAAGGACCCCGAATTGGTTGAAAATTATCGAGCCAGCGTTTGGGACCCATCTGCAGTGGAATCCGGTGACGAATAAATCCAAGGTGGCACCTGTATGTTTCGTCTGCGAATAAGACACAACGATCCCATCTGGATGAAATAGAAGCCTCGGGGTCATTTCCAGGATGTTATGATGCTCCTGATTGGTCTCCATTACGCCCGCTAGATCTGCGGAACCACGAGAACCATGATGACCGTTTTGCTTCGGTAGAGCCGGGCGGATCGTTCGAGGGTATTGCTGAGTGGGACGCTGTTGAAAGAGCCACCTCTTGCCGTCTCTGCTCCGCACGTTTCTGGGCAATCTTGATGTTCCGCTCAGGAAACTTCTCGACAATCGTTTTCATTGTGTGAAGCTCCTTCTCGCGCGCAGCCCGACAAATAGCCCTGGATAAAATAGGCCACGTTAAATAACACACATAAAAAATAACAGTCACCCCTATCACATACCAGGAGGCTCCAGAGATGAATATAAATGCTCCCATGCCCCAATTGCATGAAGAGCGAATGCCTGCAAAAGTGCAGATCAGCCCCAGTGAAGTAGAGAGTAACTCAAATGCCCTCACTAGCGTTCATTGTCCGTACGGCTCCTATAGCAGCACCACTTGCTATACCATACATGAGGCTCTCTCGTGCGCATGGGTATGTCGGCAACTTTTTCAAATCATCAACGGGTTGGATGGTCTGTAGGGGTGGTCATGAATTGTATATATCCAATTAAGAAATTTGGTAGATAGATACTCTGATCGCATCTATGAGGGATGGTTTGGCTTCCGATTCCGGAGTAGAGTTGGAACTGTCGTTCGTTGACATCGGATTCCGAAGCGGCACTTACTTGCCAAGTTTGCTTCCGCTGGCTTTCCCACGGAGGGGCCACTGATAGTGCTGTCTTCATAACCACTGCTCAAGGATAAATCCTTAGCTTACCAGGCTTAATTCTAGCGGTGCCACAAAGGCCAAAAACGTCCACGGAAATCAAGAACAAATTATCTTAGGGACGTACATCTGTTTGCGGGGTTTAATAAAGGAAGGATGGCCTGACGAGGATGCCCAGACATCGACGGCTTCATAAGCTTTCTAGGGGAACTGGTGGCGAGAACTATCCTCGGTTCCATAAAATCGATCGAGCACTCTACCTACTGTATTTACTGACAAGTGCCATTACATGGAAGGGAGAGGAGCATGTGTGTCCATGCACATTCATGAAATGTCCATTACGTCATCCACCTTGACTAGCTCTTCGCTAGGAATGTCCAAGGCTGATTTAGAAGCTTTCCGTTCCTTCATGAACGCAATTATCTTCGCTTTCAATTCCGCATCTAGAAAGTCGGTGAGAAAGAGTTCCGTGTCATATCATCCCATTGACATACTCGGAATAACATCCTCAAGTTTGAGGGGCGAGCGGTTGAAAGGATCGGTGGGATCGGAGAGCAAATGCACTTTGATCGACGACCGATCGATAATCACTCTAGATTTCGGCAATATGACAGGGTCTCGCATGACAGTGAAGAGAAGTGGATCTGGAAAAGATAGCCATTGAATCCCAGAGTTTTGGAACCGATTGGGCAATTCTCACCAAGGAACTCTTCTGGTATCTCCCCTAAATCCTCCTCAATGTCAATCATGGCCTTCGCCTCTTCGACTTTGACGACGAATAGTCGCAGTTTTTCAATTTCGTCCTCTGTCTTGATCATCCGTTTTCTAGCAATCCCTGCTGCACGTTCAAAAACCTCTTTCTTATAACTCCGACCCTCAGCAGCAACCGCTTGGATGAAATCTGGCTCATCGCTGAGGTTGAGATAAATAGAGAGAATATCGCTCAGTAGCTGTTTGGGGTTAAAGCGATACTTTTCAACATTCTCGACTTTGAGGTTTTGACATTCAGGTCCAGCTAGCTTGGCTAGATTATAATCAAGCATAGCGGCTAGACGGTCAACAATTTCAGGGGACATCCAGGGTGTCTTGGCTTCCGCAGTAAACTCCTTGAGGAGGCCGATAGTCGATTTGCCTAAGGTGGTGTAACTGGTGGCCTGTCCCTCGATGGAATGAAGATGTTCCTCTCGCTCCCTTCGCTCGTTCGGATCCTTTGCTCCCCATGATTCCTGGTCACGCATCTCGAGCTGGATGGTGTGTATTTGGGCAAGTTTTGATAATGACTCATCCAGAAGGTATGTGACGTCGTTCATGAGTAAGTTCGCAAACCTCACGAAGCTGTCAATATTGCTGGAAGGAGGCAATCAGGTAGGTGAAGATGGATTTAATGGAACGCTCACGTTGCCTCCCTACTGAGAGCCTCGCGGTGGTTGGGATTGTCCCACACTGTTTTGAAAATGTAGGCAATGTTGCGGCTGGAACCATTTTCAACGCGAGACCAACAGTAGGGCGAAAAAACTCACCGCGCCTCTGAAAAGCCACTCGTCAGTTAATCGACAAACGGGACGAGCAAGGGATTCTTACCAAATTTGTCATAGAACTGGCTCGAAGCACCAGTGTTCTCGACATCTATAACGAATGAGGAATCAAAACGCAACAAACGCCCTCACTGTACTTGCCTACATAGAAGTTCATTAACGTTGGCATCAGGTGTTTCAAAGCAAGAGGGTAGGTGTTCAGCAAGGGCCCTAAAACACCTGACGTCTCCTGCGCATACGACAGAGTCCCGAAGAATAGTATCTGGAAAATGCTCAAAAAAGCGATAATTCAATATCTCATCTAACTCACTTGAATTACTTTGGCTTTCAAGAATGGATTCTTGATATACCATGGAGAAGACAGAAAGGCAAGGATGAAGTCTATCAATTCCTTGCCCACCACTCGTATGCTATCTGGTGTGTGCCTGTAAGGCCCATTGAGCCGACACAGCCGGTATTTTGATAAGACAAAGGGAACCTACTTGACCACGTAAAGATAGAACTCGATCACATCTTCGACAAAGTACTCTGGAAGATGCCTAAAAATCTCTGGAACTTCTTGTGGTAAAGGAAGTCTACAAATTGTTAATAAGCAACGGGCGCCTAGCAAAACGGACTTCGACGTAACTCGAGAGATGAATTCGGATACTTTTTCAACGGATCAACTAGACGGATGATCCAAGCCATGGAAAATGTTGTGAACGAAATCATCCTATCAATCAACTCCGGATCGAGAAGCTGGAGTTGATACGTAAAAATGTACGACGACATTTTTGCTTTTTGTTCCTAAACAATGCCAAGTGAGTCTTGGAACCCTTGAACCCTCCGCACGAATCTGTTGCTGCACCTTCATGCGCTCGATCAATTGCTCCACTTGGCGTTGCAACGGCGTCTTCATTTCAAGGTAAGCTCCGAGATCTGCGGTCCAATTCATAAACGCTCACGCCTAGATACGAAGTGTCATTCTGATATTGTTCCAACCTTCGTTGAAGGTCATCCGCATTCCGATATATTGCGTCATTCGAAGTCATCGTTCGCACAAGTCCATAATGATTGTATGCCGAGAGCAAGAAGAATACGTCCGAGATAAAATTGGGGGCGGGAGCGCCTAAAAAGCAACCATGAGATTGATAGATAAATTCGAAAGAGCGGCAAAATATACTCCGCACCGTCTGACTGATGCGCCTCACGAAACGCTTTAGCCTGGCTTGCGTCCATGAGTAGCCGAGTCTCCTCGCTTATATCAAGTCGTGAGGAATGGGCGTAATACAGCGGGTCAACGCGATCTAGCTGAGAATCGGCAACAAATATGAGAAAATGCTCAGGTCGGGTGACGATAATCTAACAAATGTACTTTTGTGAATTTCGCATCGAGGAAGGGCTCCGCAAATCTCAGCAGAGAGACTTGGAGGTTGATCATGAAGCCATCAGAAGCAACAGTATTCATATCAGTATGGGTGCCGCCTCGCTTGAGGTTTATATGTAGGACATGTGCCAAGTAATCAAGGAGATTTTCACGGGACGCCGTTCCTGCTCGCACTATGGAGTTCTCAATGTTGAAGAGAGAGGTCTAAAGGGTTGCTATTGAGGCAACTTCCTCTTATACTCACAACTAAAGAACCTACTTGGAGATGTCGTAGAGTTTGGCGAAAGTTTGTTTTGGATGCCTCGGCCTCCTCCCTGGGACGGCTCTCAAGTTTCGAGAAAGAAGTTTCTGTAAGCGCAGGCTGATGGTGCATTAAACATCAGACTGATTAGGAGAACACCTTCGACAACTGCTTACCCATTCCCTAGAAAACACGCCAAGCCGGGCAATAGGCCCCAGTAACGACATTCTCTCTATCATATGGGCGCTCGCCGAAGGTGGGCACCAACTTGGTAGCCTCGTCATCTTGTAGGGTAGTGAGACGGCACCCACACACACCTACTCATTTCACATACCATGGCTGCAATGCTCTTTACTGAGACAAGAGTTTCCATCGCGGTCACAGCGGCTCGCCAGCTGGTCGGTCCAGTCACGGTACTGCCCAACCCATTTTCATCTTTAAAGATGATAGGGATGATGCCACTCTGCACAACGCCACAGAATGTACTCTCCAGATCACTTGGATCTTCCTCAAATCTCCGGGCCAGGTCTTGGATAAAGGGCTCAACTTCATAGGACTCGAGAGTGGTGACAGATGCGTTAGAACTCAATAGAGGCCCAGACCCCCCAATAGATAGTAGTGATGCGAGGAGTTCATGATAACCTAGTGGCTTCGACGTCAATGGTTGTGGGAACATAGTCGGATCTTGGATAGTAAGGCCGGCATACGAAATCACACGATCCCTGAGCTGATCCAAAATGGTGTTGGCCCGTAAAAGTGACTGTCGGGATTCGGGAGCGAACACATTTTTGTTCAAAGCACTTCGGGATGCATTGATACGCTTCCAGCAGCCAACGAGGTACTCGAATATAGTTTGTTCCGAAGGCAGGCTTGAGATGACGGTAATGATTTCAGGGTCATCTGAAATATAACTTGGGTCTATCTCCAAGCGTGCAATCATGACCTGGTCAAGGATATCAACCGACAATGGCGACGGAAGCGTAGACCCATCGGATGTCAATTCGATACTAAGTTCTTTCAACCACACCACTTCCCAGTTTCGGGATTCGGCATATCCCCTATCGAGCGTAACGTTAAGCACGCTCGAAATAGTTTCAGGTTCCCATTTGGACATGTTGAATGCGACAGGAGTGGCGACCTTCTTTGGAGGGGGCCGTACCTTGGGATCGGGGGCTGTGTCTTGGAGAACACGCTTTGGTGTAGGTCTAGGGAGTGGTTTCTGCTTCTCTGGAGTATGCCTTGGCAGCTCGGCTGTCTTCTTGGGCTTTGGTGCGGAGGATTCAGGAAGTGGCGTCAAGGAAGGTGATGGACTGGCAGAGGGAGATGCTGAGGTTTGGAGCTTCGCTAGTCGTTTAAGCCGTATCTGAGGCAAGGGAGCAAGAAAAGCCAGTGGAGAGACAAATCGCCCAAAAGATTCATAACCGCCAGATCAGAGAACCAAGCCGAACTCCAGAGTTAGGTTGTGCTTACACGATCGGCGTCATCTTGTGGATTAGACAGTGCATTGACCGACGGTGGATTGCTTCCTGGAGCTTCCTCCATGTCAACTCTACGCTGAAACGCCTCGCTATTCAATCCTTAAGCTGTCAGATATTTGGCACGCAACCGAGGACGCGCAAGTGGACACGGGTTGGACCGGTGGCGATGCGCCGGGTTGCTATGCATAGCACTGCCATCCATCCAGACTCATTGCCTCCACTTTCATCTTCTGAATTGTCTGATCCCACCCATTGCAATCGTCACAACGCCGCAAGCATTAGATACCCTAAGTTCACTTCCTGGGCTTGCAGTAGGTGGACGTTTCCCAAACCTCAACACCCTTCGTCCTGTATCTCCGACATTGACTTTTCCTTTGCTGCCACTAACATTGTGTTGTGACGTCCTGGGACTGGATCCTCAAGGCGGTGTGATTGCCAGGCAAGGTACCATTTCAGCCACGTGGAATTCAGCACCCGGCTGATGGCAATATTGATTTTTGGGCTTGACACTGAATAATTTCACCTCTTGGCTAATTCAACCCTTTGATATCTCTTTAATCTCGATGCTCCTGGCTACTTGGCCATCTACTGCACGGCCTCCTAGCTCCCAGCATCCGAATCGACTGCCTCTCTACCTATTTGCCTGCTGTGTTTCTTCAAATGACTGTTAACCCAAAGCACTTTCATTGCATCTGAACACTACCCACATGCGTGAACAAATCCTATTCATTTCCATCTCCAGTGCCACGCGGGAACGGCTTTCAATGCTTGCACCTTTGCCAATCACATTAAGCGAATTCCGCCCTTAGCATTCACATCGTGAAATATTTTGCAAGACATCATCATTTTGGACGTGTTTATCTCACCAACCACGCCAAATCGTTGAGGGGCCAATACTTAGGCAGGGTACCGGCCTCTATTGGAATAGACAATACTGCGATTGTGGTGGTCGCTCCTGTATTCTTCCCAGCAGCTTGAATTGCACGAAATGCTGCACGTGTTTTAGAGTTGAGCGAAGATTCCGATGAGTCATTTTTGAAATCGAGAGGCGCTTTGAGGCCGAAATTTTGTCGGGATAGAACTTCATTCTCTGAGGTGTTCGGCGAGCGGTGCTCCGATACCGCTCTTGTTCTCAAATGATGCATGGTGTTGTAGTCGCGAGAAATCATCCGAGTTGTAAATAATCTTGAGGTCGGCGATTGAAATTGTCCATCTGGGATCGTCAGGGGAGCTTGGCCAAGCCATCAGCCGTCAGCCGTCACTCGATAGTCTTTAGCCATGGGCAGCACCGCTTCTTGTGAATCCAGTTGCCATCACGAAGATGGCGCTTCCGTTGCTGCGGCTGTTGTTGCATTGACTGAACTAATATCATGAATATGATATGGGGGATTTTGAATGGCTGGAGACTGCCGGCCTATCATTGCTTGCTGTTGCCCATCCCTCCGTAACCTGCTCACTCCCAAGCATTACAGGTGTACAACCCAAATTCTTGTTCTCCTTGTTGAGGGAAGATTCCCTTGTTGGATATAAAGAACCTCATTGGCCACTCCTGTGACAACTGGGTTATCGCGCTGACATATTTGTCTTGGATACAACTCGTATACTACAACCCTGAGGCGTCTGCCTCTGCTTTCAAGACTTGGCCTCTGCTCTCTTGATTTCTTCACAATGGCTATGTACCAGATACCGTCCCCGGCTCGCTCGATCAACTCCGGAAGGGATTTGGACCACGGCAATCCTCTGACAATGTTTCCTGACACTGCCCCCAAAACGGTGTCTACTTGTATGTATACTCTCAGCCCCCAAACTTCCACTTGAAAGCGGATTCATTCATTCGGTCTGCTCCCCCCCCCTTCCCCCACAGCGTTTAATTGTGTTCGCATGGAAGCCACAGCAGTTGCCCTTAAGCCTCGGAATGCCATGGCTCTCTCCCAGTATCCGTACCCTCCCAGGATGTCACACGGAAGCACTCTTGGTAAAGGGCAGGCTTGCAGGGAGTGCCGAAAACTCAAAACTGTGAGTGATATTCCAGCCTGTCCGGTCATACACCACGCCACTCAATGCTCTTGGCCCCTTCCCCCGTCTACTGCCTTACCAAATTACTGCTCCGCTTGCTGGTATCAGAAATGTACTGGCGGCCCCATATGTGCCCGTTGCGATCGCCTGCGCAGGGAGTGTGTTTTCGAGCAGATACCTGTCAGGAAGACCCGCATCCACCCCCTTGCGACTCGAATGGCCAAAGTCGAGAGTGATCTCGAGCGAACCATAACGCGGGAGATGGCCATAAACTTCCCTCGCTCCCATTCTGGAATGTCACACGCACTTGTCTGCCGTGCGAATGCGGGTGAGGTAGAGGTCGGTCTCACTCCACCGCCTGCTCCAATGTCGATGAGAACACGACTCCCTATCTATCCTTTCCTTGACCTCAATGTTCTGGATGAATACAATTTGGACCCAGATGCATTCAAGGGTGGGGTTGTGACCAAGGTGCTCAACGAGGGTTATGAATCCGTCGAGTCACGCACCTCTCTAGAAGAAAAACTGCTAAGGTGGAACCCAAAGATATGTGATGCACCTCTCGAACTCATTGATGAATTGTACGTCCCATATTCCTTTGCACCACCGTGGTGGTCCCTTGAATTTTTCATACAGGGTTCGAGTTTTCATGCCTCTGCGAGGACACTTCCATTTCAACGTCAATGTGATGGATTTCATGTCCCGCCTACATCTTCCACAAGATGATCCGCGAGCTATCCATCCTTGCCTTATCTCCGCCATTTGTCTCGCAGCATGTTCGTTCATACTGCCACTTGGGTCTGATTCCCCATCGTTCACCCTGCCTGTGCCATCTAGTTCAACAAAAGACTCTGGCCCACAGCCATATATGGCCGGTGCCTCTCCAGCAGACACCACCGGCACATCTTCCACATCCTCCTCTGCATACACTCCGTCTAGTTCGTCGACAAGCTGGACTTCTTCCCCTTCCTCCACGGCTACCACTTTTGACAGTCCTTCTCCCTGTCCCGAACCGCCCACACTTTCCGCGTATGAGCCTCACTTCCTCGACCTCACTCGCATTCACCTCACTTCATCCCTTTCACTGTGTGACCGGCTCTCGCATTTCATCTGGGCGAGCATCATCCTTGGGTGCTACTATGGTCAGGTTGGTCGTGTCGTGGAATCCTATAGCACCATGGGCGCCACCGTGCGTTTCGCTGTTGCATGTGGATTACACCGACGGCCGTACTTACCCTCTCGAACAACTATCGCGAAGACAAGGGATCCGAGTAAAATTGGCGAAGAGGAGGGCAGTGTCAATGCGATCGATTTACCGGATACGGACACGATTTTGACCGATGAGCCAAATGCTATGTGGTATGCCATTTACATGACAGATGCTGCTATCAGTGCGGGGACTGGTTTGCCATCAAGTTTGCCAGTTGACGTAAGTTTTGGTTCCTAAGCATTTTTCGTTACAGGCAGCTTATCAGATGGCTTTAGAGCCTTACGTCATTCGAAGCCCTTTACCCACCGCAGTCAATATCGGTATGGTCACACGTTCTCCCATCAGTGAGCTTGCACTCCTTTAACACTCCTGTGTAGATACGTGGCCCCTATGGCAGTGCATTGTGGTTCAACGTCAAGGTCATATGCCTGTACGCGAAGACACGCGAATTTCTATATGCATTGGGAGGTCTGTACTTTGGCCGAGTTCTGTCGATGGGTTTCTGAGCTGTGTTGATCACTCCAGACCGAAAGCCGACGGCCACCCCCGAGTTATGGAAAACATTTCAAACGCTATCAGCGGCGCTCTCTGAATGCCATCACATTCTCCCACCTCTTGACGACCCTCGAGGCATTCAGCCCTTTGAAACCGTGGGCCCCGTCAATCCCCACCTAGCCACAGCTCACTTTGGCCTCCATGTGTGCACCATGTTACTTTTTAACATCCTCATTCCAAAGTCTCGCCCAGACAGCATGGATATTGACGGTGGTGAGGCCGATGCCGAAGGGGAGTCCTATAAGACCGTGTTAGGGGCAGCATATAACCTCATCTCACTCACCCAACGGCTTCGCGGGAATGGGACACTGCCCCCTCTATACGGCTATGTGTTCTTGATTGTGAGTGAACTCTTTTCTGATTTTAGATAGGACAAGCTCACACGGCCACTTTGGACAGCCATATACTTATACTGGCGTGGAAGTCGTCTTGCGAGAGCTTTGGCGTACACGGGCGCAAGCTTCACCTTTTGAGGTGAAGCGCTTCAACGCAGCTGATCAAGGACTCAAAATCTTGCTCGATATTCTCTACGACCTCACCAATTTATACCCCGCTTGGCGTACGTTTTCCTTTAACACACTCTGACCTTTGAAAGAGATGTCTGACGTCTCCACCCCAAGTGCAATGCATGCATAAACTCAGGCCACTGCTGGAAGGTAGTCAAGCGTATGATACTATATGAGCCCGCTCGGACCCCCCTATATATTCTCCTGTGTTCATGTTCCTAATCCCTTTTTATTTGTTTGCGTTGTAGCATGTTGTGACATTCTCGCTTGATCTTGCTTAACGTAAGTTCTGCGTTTGGGACTTGCGTCATGAACGCTTCCTGTATCCTTTAATGCCGTAATTTTACTCGGACTCGATTGTATGCTACCTTTCCCCTAAGCCAACGAATATGAAGCTATAATGCTCAAGCCAGCCAAGTACATGCATCGAATCTCTTTAAAAGCATTCTGTTGGAATACTCCTGCGGATAAGGAAACACGTCTCACACACGCAGCACATGTCGCAGTAGTCCTGCTACGATCATATCCCCAGAGTGAGATCCAATGAGACTAGTGAGAAAATGGTTTCAATCATTTCCCACTTGTAGGCTTGACATCTCACGGAGATTTGATTGACCAACAAACTGCTTGAATGTCGAGCCGTCCGAAATGACACAGCAGAAAACCAATCGCGTAATGTAACCAACATGGGCGTTTCCGATCGGTTATGCCGAAGAATTTTTTCCGCGGCGGCATGGGATTATCAGGTGCGGGGGGTGAGTCGTCGTATACTGTAACATACTGTAGCCCAGAAAATGGGGAATTAGTCCCCTTTTTGGGTGTTCTGTAAGAAATCCTAGCTCATGGGATGAGCTCCAAACTACATGTTACGAAGTCATAAAGGTGGGTTCCTACTTAAACTACCGGAGCACTTGGGCGGGCCAGAACATTCGAACGAATGTTACGACATCACCCAGGATGTTGTTGAGAGCGAGGTAGAACCTTTCTGATGTCTCTTCTAGACTCCGGGATGCGAATGTGATGTGGGCGAAAAACACTTGTCACTCCTAGTTAGGCGCCGGCGGGTCGGGGTTGACGTGCGGAAGCAATTTGCAATTTATGCAACCCACACCTCGGCGCTTAATTGTCCAAGTCAAATTTTGTGCTTCATTATAGTCCATCATGCCACCCTCTCAGGGGGATATTCCTGGATTTTATTATGATGCTGAGAAGAACAGATATTTTCCACTTGACAAAAATCACCCGAAAGAACCCAAGTTTTCCCAGTCATCCTCGAGAGCATCAAAGGACATTCGTCCTTCATCAAGGTCGAGACGTCCTAATTTGCATCTGGACGATGCTCCGGTATTACCAAAACGCTCTACTGCACAGTACCTGTGTTCTTTTCGTTCTCACCATTGGCGAAGAGCGGCGCAGTGCGTCATCAGTGTAGTGACATTTCTCCTAAAACATTCATGAGCGCGTTTCGTTCCCCATAGTGATTCTTTGAAGCTACAATACGCTAGTACTTGTTACTCAAAGATAACTTGGTCATATCCCAACTACCCTTCGTGTGGACTTCGATCCTTCTCAGTAAGCAAGTATTCCATATTCGGCTTAAGCTCATGATTAAAAGCCACTCTTCGCGAGGTATCATGTACGGACGATACCAAGCAGGTAGCTGGTGATACGAATGGTTTTGTCTACATCTATTCGGATGTTGGAACGGTAGAAGATGCTACAGGTCGTCATACGTATCGATTGTGGAGCGGGCAGTGCGGTTTGATGTCCCCCGTTAGTACATAATCCCAACCACAGGACGACTTACAAATATTACACCTTAGATATCATCATGCGGCATTATTAAGGATAAATTCTTGTGGGTAAAAGATCATTCCATGGATGCATACTATCGTCGGCTTACAGGTCACAACATAGTGCATCTTCGTTCGGACCTCATCCGAAAGTCCTTGTGGGATCTTTTTCCAGCGCACAGCATAACGAAAACACTGAAGGGTACAGTCTTGAATGTTAGACCACAGTTCCGGCTGTAACTTGCGTGGATCACTTGGAATAGCATCATCATCGAGCGCCGGCAAAACGTCTGGGATGTCTGGTGTGGGACTTATGCCGAGACCTCCTTTGTACTTGGTATGTCCGTTGTTGCTAGGATCCCACGCATTCGTTGTTCAATACCTGTTTCCCCAGGTATGACAAACCATCTCTGGATTGTCTCTGACCTTGATAATCTTCAATCTGCACGGACACTCCGGATTGGGAGCGACGCACTAACCCTTGAACGAGATGAGGTACAGATGCGGAATTCCTCATTCCGCTGATGGCACTAACGGTGCTTCTAGACATGCATGTATGCTGGCCTTCGAAACGGGTCTGTGCACGTCTTGGATATGGGACGGGATGATCAATATGGGAAGAGGCTCTTACAAGCGCCCACGTCCGTAACGGGCCTTTCGCGATTAAGGGAATGGGAGCTGCTTACCGCATTGATTGATGGCTCGGTAAGGACATCTTCTGATGACCCTTTTCAGCGAGTCCAATTCATTTCCTTTAACCCATAGTTGGACATATATGATTTGAGGATGCTAAGGCGTCCGGGGTCCGCTAAATATGTCAACTCGTCAACTAAAGATTCCAGAAGAATCCCCTTGCTGTCTCTCTACGGCCATGTATCGACCGTCACCATCAGTCCGGTAAGCCACTTCTAACCCGCTGTTTCCTGTCATTCTCAGTACGCTGTTGTTTGATGATTTCAGCCGATTGCCACTACACCCTCACAGGACTTCATCTTCGCGGCTGGAGAAGACAATATAATCCGAGGGTGGAGTACACTAACTGGGGAGCGTTTAGAAGCGCCCGAGCCATGTGCTCTGGCGCAGAGTCGGCATGCACAGCGGGACCGACCCCTTCCATTATTAAGTCAGGCATTTAATGCCCGAGGATCCAGATACGTGAGTTTACGGATTACCGACCACGAAGCGGGGAGGCGAGTAGAGCCCAAGTTATGGGCCGCTACAGATGCTGGGATCACCCGCTTCGACCTTGGACGAAACTGGAACGACTACGCATGATATTAATTATTGGAGTATGGTGTGCATTACGTTGGCCGATGTGGGCCCTATACGGCTGGGGATACAGGTGAACAAATCATATTAATTGATAAAGTACTGGGTTTGAATGTCCGAGCTATCGGCCGGCATACTCGAATAATTGTCCAGGATGTTATACATTTGAAAAAGGAGTCAGTGCGGGAATGGGTGGTACAGGTGGTATCCACCCCGGCAAAGGTGAAGACCTCCAAAAATCTAACATAGCGTGGTGATTCACATCTCTCTCAGAGTCCCCATCTCCAGGAGGGAGGCTCTTGGCACTCTTGGAAGTTCTAGAACTAGTGGCAGTTGTTCTATTTGTTGATTTGTTTGAATTCTGCTGGATAGTAGGTGTTCTCCCCAAACCACTTGTTGGTGTGACGGGGAATGGAGCAGCGTAATACGCATAGAACGGGTCGTCTAATGGCGGATCCACACGCGATGGCGTGCGTAGCCAGAAAATGGGAGAGAGTGGTGCGGGCAGACCGTCCCTGATCTCGATGTCGACCTCGTCATCATCATCGTTAGACAGTGAGACATGGTGCGCGTGATAGCGCTTCTGGAGCGAGAGGAGCAGACGAGTAATGGCAATCGTGCAGAGTGCCCAAACGGAACTACGATTGGGAGGTTAGTTCACGGGAAGCTTTGTATTGGAGAGTAGTATGTCTACGCACTCGTGGGGTAGTTGAACAAGAGAGGGCTAAAGTCGAACAGATCGGTGAGGTGACGTCTCGCGGCCTGATGACTTATGCACGTACCACTTCCAGAGCCCATATCACCGTGTTGATGAGCATCAAAGAAAATACAAAAAAGAAAAATATAAATCCATCGATCAATAGAATGATCAGAAGCGGGCTTTTTTCATCCCTTGAATAACCCAGAGTGTTGTCAGCGTCACGAAGGCCCGTGATTCTAGTGCATACTAAATACCTTGGGGTGAACCAAGCCTTTGCTCCCATCAACCCAAAAATCACAAGATGGAATAACATCCCGGGCACCCACAGAGTCCACCAGTACTCTATGGACCCCATGCAGACATTGAAATAATCTGACTCGAATGAAGCTATACGCCACGAACGCCACGCACAATCTCAGTTTCATCATCGCGTGAGCAAAAGTGAGAGACTTACAGTGGGCGAGTACATTTATTGTCAAAGCAAAGGACGTGACAACGTGAACAGACCACGACCAAATCAGAATGCGCCTAATGTCTTTTCGGTCGACCCAGAGCGCACGAACACGTAATGCTATTATGACTGTCGTCAAAGGGCCAAGTTAGGCATACGGAAGTTGTATTAGAGAGATCACGCACGGGTTGTAGACCACAACGATAGCATTTCCATTAAGATCTCAAAAATCCACCACCACGGGCCAATAGATACAATCTTAGTGACAACTACAGGATCCGCGTGGCCCAAAAAAGTCAGGTCGAGAAATATTCAAAACCCAATAAACGAACTTACGTGCAGTATCAACCGCGATGACGACCGGGACGGCGTAACGGTTAAAAATGAACAACAATTTCACCAAGTTGACACTTCTTGTTTGCCATACAAGGTTCACTTCGTCGGAAAAGGTGAGAACTAGAGAAAGGGGGAATGCGTACTCGTCAACAGCTGCGCTTTAAGTTCCAACGCTTTGAGGACGAACCATGATCGTAAATGAGCAGACAGAAAGTGGCCACGGTTACGTGTTGTGAAGCTGACCAGTTCTCCAATTCTGCAGCATCCATCACCAGCTTGCTCATTATAGCGGGTTCTCTGTCGAACTACTTGAGCACGAGGGGTGAAGGACTCAAGGCAGACGACGATAAAACGAGGGGCATTCGCAATCAATTGCCGGCTGCGTGGGTGGCTTTCGGCCACTTATAATGGATTTTGTGTGAAATGATGGGCGTCTATCCCCCATTCTGATGCGAAATCGCATTCGAACCGTGATGAAACAGTTAGCACTGAATGGACCTGATGTGCAGACGCCTGCTGATGGGAAGGGCGGTGGATGTCACGGTTGAATGGTAGTGATGCCTGTCACAAGTCACCATTCGCCCACAACCTGTGCAACGAGTCACACCGGGGGAAAGCCACACCCTATCAAATCAATCCTGACATCCCCGAGAGCAAAGTGTATCGCTGTGGTGATGACTGTGGCTATGTACAATGACTGGCAACTCAAACCAGGCACTTTGTCCGAGTCCATTCCGTTGCACCGCAGCCGCCTCGATGATCATCTCTACCAATCCAAATCCCCAACCCAGCCCATCTGGTCAAAATTTCCCCATCTAGCCCGCAGATTAGAAGTGCAAAAAAAATTAACAGCCGGGGCGACATTATGGACGATTTGACATTACCAACTAATTTTCCGCGTAGTGACCGTGTCCAAGTATGCCTCCAAGTAAGGCGGGTGCAAACATACCGATGATGATAATCAACAGACGAGTGGTGGGTTTTATATCTATATCCGATAGTTCATGATTGTGGGACTTTGGAAATGAACGAGTGGAGAGTGGTGTAAGAAGAGTTGCGACGTAGAGGAAACTCCCGCCCTGCAGCAACCAAAATTAGATCCGTTAGGTATGGATGAATAGGGGAAGAAGCGGAGCGGCCAATCACCGAAAACAGCAGAGCTGGGCCGATCCAGGACCCACTGGCGACTGTTGAGTTCTTGTCACGCAAAGCATTCAGTACCAGATAACTGACAATAGCACCAGCTGGAGCGGCTGCGGAGAATGCCAGTATATGACTGCGGATTGCTCGAGCGGACAACGCATACGACGAGAGTGTTGTACTCAATGCCAGAGAAGCGGGAGCTAAAGCCGTGACCGAGATGGCGTTCAGTGTTAATAATGATGCCGTGAGTGGACAATCCAGATATAAGCATTGGATCAAATCAATATATAGAACGAAGACACGCGTACCTTTGTGAATGACGATTCCAGCAAACACTACCAGAGAAATCGAAGTTTGACGGGACGACGTTTGGCTGGTGATACTCGCATTCCTTGAAACACAAGCCGAACCAAATGCAAGCCCATCCGACACAGAGTGGACAATGAGACCAAGGGTCATCAATCTCGGATCGGGGCGAGAGGCCATGGGTGAAACGTCCAGAGGTGCAGATGCATTGCTTTCGTAAGGCCCTCGCGTTCCTTCAAGCAATGCAATCTCTGCATCCAGATCATCTTCCAAAGCATCACCAGAAATAGGGATTGCTATTTGCGACTCGTCGCTGCCGTCTTGAGACTTCGTCGTCAGCGGGATGTATTCTTCAGCACGGTCAATGTAGTGGGAGGACGCCTGCTCAATGACCAGCATCGCTGTGAAGCCAGAGAGCAGCGACAACGCAATCGTCAGCACCGGGGGTTTAGTAATAACGTAGTCGGAGCCCGCTCCTCTAATTTTAGCGAAGTACTCGTCATATATTGTCTCTATCCCTCTAGCGCGCGAAAACTTAGTGGCATTACTTTTGTATGGAGATGGTCAATGCCGGGTTGCTCACTCAGGAATAATAACGCCCATAGATGTTCCAAGTAGTATCCCCATCCCCAGCACTGAAAGGAGCGCGATGACGTGTCCTAGTAATATAGACAGCGAGCAAAGGTTAAGCGCGGGCGCTTCGGTTTCGAGGAAAATGGCTAACGTGGGGGTGAGAATATAAGTGGGAGAAGGCCAACAAAGAAAGAGGCAGCCCATAGAACCGAGGAGAGAACTAGGACGTCAACCAGTGGCATTCTGAACAAAGCTGTACGTGCTTCAGGTTTTTGGCAGAGGTAGGAAACAGGCGCTTGATTCGGTATGTAATTGATTTGCGACACGTTCACACGCTTTCTGCGCCCATCTGGACTCTAGCCAATCTCACCATTATCCCGGAAGGTCTCTGTGCAGGAAAGTAAAACAATTAGACTAGACGCCTAGACTATAACATGAAAATACACGCGGACGTGGTAAAAAGAGAATGGCATCACCTCAGTCTCGATGTGGAGAACCGAGGGAGGGGAAAAATTACGGCGCAACAGCGTATCTTATACGAGTGGCACCAATATCGCTTATGGCGATGGTCTGTGATAGCCGACTATGAAAAAGAATCAAGACAAAAATTATCGAGATCGCGTGGTGTCGGTGAAAGCACGCGTCTCTGGAACCAATTGGGTATAAGCGTCGTTAGCCACAATGATGTCAAGATCAAATAATCACAACTCCCCAACCGTCCATCATATTCCGTAGCCATTCGGTAGTCGTCGATATTCTAACAGAAAACGTATAACATCTGTCCACCTGTCCATTATCACTCTCTCGGTGACATTCGCTAGGAACGAGAAAGCGAAACACATCTAGCGCACGATCGGTAATTAACTCCAGAGACTGGACGAGAGCTTGAGTAAGGATGTGTTGTCCGACTTCACTTCGATGGTGCAACACCTAGCATCGCAATCTGAGGATGCACATGGTGTTGGATGCCATGTACCTCGTTTTACCCGAGGTCGTCATGGGGATGACCCAATCTAGACACCACTTCACACGTTTTTTTGTGACCAATGCGCGACTCCGGGCTCGGCGGACTACAACATATGGCCCCATCGATTGTAGGGTCGAGGATACGCTGGGCAACATGGATATCGATCATAGCATACGTCCTGCCCCCGCAAGCTTCTAGTACTGTGTTTTCCCATCTGAATTTACACCAACAAATGGTTTCAATCGAAGTGCTGGTCTTTAGTTCTGAATTGCAAATGACCTCGACTGCTGGGTAAAAAATCAACCCGCCTCCGATACGGAAAACCATTCTCTGTTGGACACTTGTACCATTGAGTAACACCCCACGAATGCCTATGGCGCCTGAGCCGGTTCCAGCCTCATCGCAACAAGGAGGCTCGATGGCGCGGGTTCGAATGTGATCGGAACACCAGCTGATGTTGCTCACGAGGAGTGGCAAGGCGAGTCGGTGGCTTAAATAAATGTATAGCCTAATTATTTGTACATCGTACAGGGTCGTGGCAATATTCTTTCCATGTGCCGCAGCGCGGCATATAACGAAGAGGCGCTGAGGCTCTGGAAGAACGCATCGAGAAACAAGATCCTTCGGGAATATTGATTAGCCAGAATTTAGTTCTGCTTTGCAGTTACTGTCACCAATCACCCGCGCCAGCCGCCACCGAACCAAGCGAAGAGAATCCAACTGGGAAAACAACGGACAGAATTCGTTGTGGGGAACGATTGAGGGAGTTGCGGTAAAATATTGCAGTTGATGGTGGCAACCGCGCGAAGTTGCCGCTACTCCGATTAGGCGCGTTCCGCGTATAATAACGCTAGAGGCATGAGACAGCTAGGAAAGATCCCAATGGCTATATTGATCCGACGAAGCACAATGCTTCAGCAGCACAGCGAGGGTCTGCACTCCTAAGGAACTAGCGAAGATTGTGCATTGGGGTTGATCTGAATGGCCGAACAAACGAAGTTTGTTCCGTACTTGGAGGGGGACGCCGCTCGGGAAAGTCAAATGCCGAATGAGTCCCAGGTATCCATTGAACGTAAGGGAGATTTTCTTGTAGGCTACCACGCCTGAAAGCAAGAAGTCCTACCATACAGAGCAGATACCAAATTCAGAGACTTGCATCCTGTCAACACATTCCTCGTCACACATGACAACTACCCAGTTGGTGGTACGTTCTCTTAAAAACGAACAAATCCCGTCGAGAAATAGTACACAGGATGAGCAGGGGGCGACGTTGATAGTGATAGAAATGAGCACAGCGCCTAGCTAACAACGGGGATGATCCCCGGGATTGATCGTGTAAGGCGTTGTCGAGGAAGATTGAGCCGGATATTCTGACACCTGGGGATAGCGCTTGGTGGCGTGGAAGTTCACAAGAATTAGATGATCGAATCAAACTTCCCCGCATTCCAGTTCTGCTTCTAATAGAGGCTGGTGACCTGCTTACAGTTCTGCCCCGGCCCCTACTCGAACTTTGGACACGCCGGATCTGCGTTGGATGCTACCATGTCATATAGGAGCATCCGACATTGGCACAGTACTTTTTAAAAACTCCCATACTATACCTTCCGCTTCTGTTAATTAATTCCGGGTCAACGATTTTGAATTTTGTTGCTTTAGTAGTGTCATTTTTGAGCAACTATGCGGACTACGCTTTCCACCTCCGAAGGCGCGTCGACTGGTTAATAGTAAGAAACGCATTTGGGCTTTCCAGCACCTCTGCCTATCTACCAAACATGGCTGAAAGATGAGGATCAGCCCTGACTCCGCGATGTATTTAGTACGTGAGGTAGGATGAAGAATTTTGCAGCGGCTGGTGATCTATCATGTGGCTTTCTTGTAACTGCCTCGAATCGAGTTATTTGGCTAGCATTTCCCGCGTAAGCCCTTAGGCCCAGACTAAACCTACAAAGCTTACAGGCTGCTGCATTTACATCCCCACTGCATGTGTGAAATTTCCCAACCAAGACCTCGAGGTCCCCCAAGTCATGTCAGCGCAGTTCAAAAGCACCAGGGAAGTGGCGCCCACACCACAGAAACCAGCCCCAATCGTCTTAATCCTGAGGAGATTAAGCCGTGAGTATTTCTGTCTTGTTGTTTGATGCCAGGATATCGATAATGCTTCAAGATGCTGTCCCCTCCCAAACACCAAGGCTGTGGGAAACAAATACTTTATAAAGCACAATCCAAACACAGCAATAGAGGCTTGCAAGGACCTCCAGAAGCACTTCATCGCCTGTGCGGGTGGGTATGGGTTGTGAAATTAAATCCGAGTACAGAGTCGTCTGAACAACCGGCTGTACTTGTTTGCAACACGATTATGTTTCTGTGTTAGTTTCAGAATCAGACTCTCAGCATGATTTGATGTGGCGTTGTAAAACAAAGTCCTCAAGACACATTCGCCATGTAATTGCTCCCGGATCCCGCAGTACTCGTGCAGCATTCCAGACATCAGAGAAGTGTACCAAGAAGCCGTGGGAAAAGAGCATTTCCCAGCCAATGAGCATGCGAGCAGGAGGGGTAATTAATGAGCGTCTGGCGTAACTCCGGCCAGCATTGAAGAATAAGGGTGAAGTTGGCCATCGTTTCATGATAATGATCCTATCTATTCCCTTCCTTGCTTTCTGCAGAGGACAAAGCCCAAGGTCTTGCACGTTTCCAGTGCACCATGGGAAATCAATTATTCGGTTTGAGCTCTCCTACAGAGCGAAGCGCTACAAGTATGTACCTTAGCGACTAGGCCCAATCGTAGACCTATCGCCGGCTTTTCCGCCATGGCAGCGAGTGCCAACTGGGGGCCATATCAGATTTGAACTGTTTAGCCTCAGTAATCATCAACAAACACCCGCCCACGGTTTGCAATCTGCAACAGGATGCAAGAAGCCGACGGCCAGAGCTTATCATCCAGTTGAATGTAACGTTTTCTGCATTGCAGGGCATGCTTCGGGCAGGGCTCCAGCCAGAATGACGGTCAGGGGGAGAGACTTTCTTGTGTCCCCGAATCTGGACTGGTACTTAGGCTGACCTACTTGTACCACGGGGGCAGAATTCTTGGTATCAGGCGGAGCGTGTTGAGACAACATCCGCATTGAGTGGCGGAAGCGTCAACACTGTCGCCAGTGGAGGATGATTTGAGACTCACTTGAACGAGTGCGAATAAGTTCAGACCATTTCTGACTCTGTGCTCCGCACTGACGCTGGAAATTCCTCTACCACGCGCTCCCACAAGCAGCCTGAGGGTCCCAGGTTGAACTCGCGTGGACTCACGGTCCTCAGCTTAGCGCTTGCGACATACACCCCCTGCGGTGCATAGTCGGCTCGAAACGTTTAGCAGTCACAAAAGCTGCGAAGTCACAGATGGAGCACACCACATTGTTGATCTACGTTGGCATAGTGAGAGAGAAATGATAATAAAATATCCACATTCTCGCGTGAAGGATATTTTTGAGGAAGTCGATTCCCTTGGTCTACTCTTTCTTTCTATAGTCCTGACACAGAGTTAGGATGTCTGTTAACGGAATGAGCAACTGGATTTGCGGTGGCACCAGTTCAAAATAGACCTCACCAGCAAACATGCCCTCAGCTTCAGCCGTGAATCGCTCCGACTTGATACGCTCTGTCACACAATACGCGCACTTCCCAAGTTCTTTCACGAGCCCTTCGTCACACAGGCAATGTGAAGTTGTGCAGCGCTGTCAATAGTCATGCGTTAGTGCATGAGCAGGGTGTTTGAAGACTAATGCGCTTACAGATATCTCATTTCGGTGAGAACATATCTCGTCGCAACTCCCTCCCACCAGATTCGCGCGTCTTGCCCGTTTAGACGCGTATAATGACTGTAATTTTGCCACCTGCGCACTAACATCGGGATCTGAGAAGTCCACAACAACCTTGAAGTCCAGATTAGGCTCTTCATCCTCGGCTACAAATGCTTCAAGATCAAGGAGAGAGATGAGGGCTCTAATACGAAGCGAAGGAAGAAGTCGATCCATTGCATCCTCAATAAGGCCTTGACTTAGGGTGTTACTTTCATTTGGCGTAGGGTTGTATTTCGAGCGAGACTGATCATGCTCAGCAATAAGAAAATTGAGATCCCTGAACATCCCGGAAAAGAGACTATCTGGGGGTGCGTTGGGAGAGAATGTAGCAAGTGGGGGGTCGGAGTGGGCTGATGTACTTATTTGCTGTGACGCGGGCTGATCAAGGGGGACATCGGCTCCGGCGGCGACTGTAAAGCCAAAGAAGACGCACAAATGAACCTGTCTAAAGAGTAATAGAACGTGATTTTACTCACCAAAAGTGAACAGCAGGCCATGCCACAGGAGAACGTGCAACCAGTTCCGCAGGACTCGCATTACACCGAGTGAAAATATAAGCTAAGAATCCAGAAGCGTAAAGCTATGGGAGTAGCGGCGGTCACCCAAAGCTAGGGTCGCATTCAAAGATATAGTCACCACAGAGACATGTGTTCTCGGAAAGACAATTCCCACGCAACCTGCTCAAACTTTCTAGCTGGGATACATACGGGATTTTCCGACATCGGATGTACCGGTCGCACGTGGGCAAGTTGGGCGACTCTTACATAATCATCGAGCTGACTCTCTACAAACCAGCTTGAAACTGCCACTAGTTCTCCAGCAATGCCTCGTGCAGCACCCGGGACTCCGTAGGTAGCTGCAGTCAGGGACATTCCGAACTTTGCTGACTTTACCACTCCCAGGAAAGCAATCGCAAATGCCATGAAGGCGAAGGGGCTTCAGCGGCTCCGCTGGTACTGTCAAGTGTGCCAGAAACAATGCCGAGATGCGAACGGGTTCAAGTGCCATCTTTCCACTGAATCACACTTGCGCCAGATGCTTGTCGTTGGCGAGAACGCTGGGAAACACATTGCCGATTTTTCCGCGGAATTCCAGCACGCATTCGTCCAGTTGCTCTCAACACGGTTAGATTAGTAAACCCTTTTGCCGAGGGACTTCTTATCATTTCCGGCTATTTTGGTTAGATTCGGCACGAACAGAGTGAAGGCTAATCGTGTGTACCAAGAGTACATTCAGGATCGCCACCACCTCCACATGAACTCAACAAGATGGGTCTCTCTCACGGAGTTCGCGAAACATCTTGGACGCACTGGTGTTGCTCGTGTGGATGAAACCGATGAAGGCTGGTTCATAGCATGGATTGACAATAGTCCAAAGGCACTGGCGAAAGCGGTAATTGTCCCATCGTCTGGTTAGGAACTCACTGTCAGTACTCAACAATTTTTACTTCTCATTCTCCCAGGAAGCGAATATGAAGAAGGAACGTCAAACGACTTCTGATGAGCAGCGTGAACGAATGCTCATTGCAGAGCAGATCGCCCGTGCTAAAGCAGAGGTCGAAGCTGGAGGGCCTGACCCCGCCTCGGATCCTGATGGTCAAATTGGCCTTCAACGTGAGGAGGGTGGAGCTCCACTCAAACTCAGTTTTGGCCCCAAGAAAGTTGGCTCCTCTCCGTCTCCAGAAGCCACGCCTAGTTGGGAACCACCATCGAGCGGTTCGCCCCCTAGCGATGGCCCTTCCTCAGGCGTTACTGTCCCAACTGCACCCACATCCGACATTGCTGCTTCATCTTCCCCCACTCCCTCTGTTACCCCCGTTGTCCAAGCCCCACTGAAGATGAACGTTTTCAAAACCAAACCCGCCACTGCGTCTCTCAAGCCAACAGCTCCACTCAGAATGAACGTGTTCAAGATGGCAGCCAAACAGCAGCCGTCTTCGTCTACGCCTGCTTCGAGTAGCACACCATTGGGCGGTGAGATGACGGCGGGTGGGGTGAAGCGGGGGAGAGATGATCAGCCCATGTCAACTACGCAGAGATTGATTTTGGAGGATCAGGAGAGAAAGAAGAGAAGGATGAATGCTGCTGTTGTTTGATTAGTTGAGGCAGAATTTCGTTGACATTTGGGCATTGCGAGCAGTTCTTTACATTTCTTTGTAATTTGTTACATTCAATAGGTAGATGTGATGATCGATGGCCGCGACTTCCTGTACAGAACTCGTCGCAAGCACTCCCTGCAGCGAGTTCCCATCATCGGCCCCTTTAACCAGGGGTGTTCTAGGTAGCCTATGCGTCATTTGATTTGGAATGGAGGGCTGGTCATGGTGTTATTAATTTCCCAAGCAGGCACACCCCCCACTCGCATTGCCTTTTCAACCGCTTCGAGGCACTTCCCACAACGTCCTCTCACTCCGTACATTGCAACCATCTCATTCATTTTTACATGCATCGTCCCGCGCCTGCGGACCAAGCATGCCGTAGGCACACTGCTTCTGGGTACCCTAGTTCTTACGCACTGTGTCGCGCGATGGATGGTCTTTCATCAGCTGGTCCTACTTTCTCGGGACCAACTACGCCTAGTATGACACCAACCGTGTCTCTGCGCTCCAGCCCAGTCCCAATTCAACGCTCCGATTGACACTATCTTTCCTTCACTCGCCATGATCACTTCTTGCTGGATAACGATCTCTTCTCTTCATCACCTCGTTTTGGTGTCCTTGTTACCCTCCACGCGAAAACTCGAACTGATGACATCCCCATCTGGTAATTCCATTACCAAGTAGGTCGGCCACTGCTCCGGCTAGTAAAGTGTTGCCGTGATTGTCTAGAACTTGACTCTCCCCTGGTCAATCCAGTTGTAATTACGCTTATCCCGTGGAACTACTCCCTGCCGCTGGAAATGTTCGCTTCTACGAGTGAGCCTAAGAAGTACAATGCGTACCTTCGGAATTATTTTACTTGTTTTGCATGACACATCCCACTTGGTACTCGAATGACATGTTTGGCTAGTCTCTAAATTCGTAGGGCTAGACTACAGTTTGCTACAGCAAATAGTGATCTCTTGACAGATGCAACAAGTGTAGAGCGTTGGCAACACTCACAATGCGTAGCGTCGTTTCATGGAAGAGGTGCGCCCATACTTGCATCCTATCGCTTCTCTTGATCACATCGTTGCAGAATTTCATGTCTGCATCTAGCATTTGAGATATCACCTCATTACGACAGGACTTCCTCTTAGCACTCTCGGATTTTGGGTTCCGCGACGTCTCCCTATCTAAATGTGAACAGTGATAACATGGATCTTGTGAAAGCGGTCGTATTGGGTGCTCTTTGGCCTCGCGCCACACGTATCTCCATGCCGAAAGCAACGTTCGACCAAAGGAGATCACCATTTTCGATAAGAATGAAGGTCAGGTGTCCTTGCATCGTGGTTCGGTACTGTTTGGAAACGCATCGTACAAATCACCATATCTTGCCTATGACGGCTACGACAAAGACATTTCTCCGGGATGCCACCGAAGTAAATTTTTCGGTACGACAGATCCCCTTCTAAAAATTCATTTCCCCAATTAAGTACCACTCTAGCTTCTTGGAGGGCAAGTCACCATATATCACACCAAAGGAGGAATAACGGTAGGAAAGCAAGGCTGGATTAAGATGCGAGCATGGTCACGCATTGGAGTGTTGGTCAACCAATTGCGCCTTCTGCTCGATGCTCAACTTCAGGAATCGATCCGTTATTCAAGCGATGGTTGATTTAATTACGAATGACGGCTTGGTTGGAGACTGAAACCTTGTACCTTACAGCCCTTTTGAGAGAATCTGTGAGTTCAACTTAGCGAAGGCACGGTTCACCGTATCCAATTTGGCGGAAACGGAACGTTCAAATAGGCAGGTTACCAACCTCTATTAGAGTGTTCGGAGAGGGTAAGTTGTGCTGGTTGAGGGATCAAGGACTCTGATCGAGTGATCCGGCAAGAATAAGGCATCGGTGCTGAGTGGTGTTTTTAGGAGTGGTAACCCCATGAAGTGATCATAGTTCCAGCCGTGCAGCGCGCTTGTCTCTATTGAGTACGTAGTAGTTGAGATCGTACGGCATAGAAGAACTGAGAACACCGCTTTCAGAGCAGAATCCAGCCAACGAGAGCTTGATGAGGACTTCTGCTTTCGCCAGAGCCTGTATTTTATGCCTCCTGGACACCTTTTCCATGACAAACCCACCATACAGACGGCTCTGTGCTTGCAGTCAAGCTTTCTAGAAAGACATGTTGGGTGTTATTGTCAAATAGCTTCTCATGGCCAATGTAGTTGATTTCGGACGGTCGAATAGGGTCATACACGGCGACTTTGCCTTCGATCGTCAACACTGTTAGAATTCTTGGTACTATGGTGTACGCTGTGACCAACTCACGTTTGGTGATGTTGAGTCGTGTGGCGTCTAGATTTCCACCTTTTGCCTTTCTTGGTCACATCGGTGCCAAATTAAAGTCAGTGCGCATTCATGGCGCCTGAATATAAAAACCTAATCTTTGGACAACCCAACCTTCCCTCAGTTCACGTACAACGGGACTGAGCGACAACATCGCTAGTCCTCCATTTCGTCTTATAAACATTACGTAAAATCCGACGCTTTGGCTTGCGGTCGCGCGTCAGTGGATCTCTTTTTCATCTCTCTTCATACATGCATGTTGGTTATCTCAACAATTCACCTCTCATTGTTTCTTCCCATTTCGTTTTCGTCTCCATATGCATCTCCATCAATCGCCGGTCTTCTGTTTCCAACACCTCATACGGTAACAGTGGTATTGTCGAAGTCTCGGATTAAGCGCACATTGTTTCGTCCTCGCAGTCGGGACAAAGTGATGTACGCGTCATGTTGTCCGCCCTGTTCGATAGTAGTCGGTAAAAGCGTAAGCACTGTCCAACGTCACTTGTCGACGCTGAACTTTTCGTGTGATTGGAAACAAGGGAAAGGGCTGGCCTGCTCACATGTATGAAATGTGTGAAATGAGTTACACAAGATCTGCCCCTGCACCGCTCTCGATCTCCCTCCCTACCTCAATTAGAATCTCCGCTCGAAGTTCAACTCTCCCTCATCTCAGCTGAACCGAAGACCATGTCCATGACCCATATATATACATGTACTCTGCTCACTGTCCGTCAGCCCTGAGCTGTAAAGATATTCATCAGAGGTGGGAATGTGGGTACGAATATCTGCGGCCACAGGACTCGGGAAGCACCGCATCCCGTCCGATCTGCGAAGTTAAGCCGAGTACCGCTCAGTTAGTACCATGGTAGGGGACTACATGGGAATCCTGAGTGCTGCAGTTTTTATTTCATCTTTTTGGTCCTCCTTGGCTTTCTACCACCTCATCGAGACCAAATTACGTTCTATCTTTCTCTGTCTCTCAGTCAATTGATTATTTATCGTTTGTCCTACAGTACATTATTTATTATCCTTCGATCTTTTCCCTTGTTACCCTATAATCCACACAGTTTCTTCAGAATGTGTTTTCACCTGGTGCAGGTTGCCGCGATGCAGCGCGAGCACTCTAGTAAGAGAAGGTAGGTCGTTGTCTGGAACTGCACATCCGAGAGGCGATATATGAGTTCCCGCATTCAATCCGCCGTGTTCATGTCGTCAAGGGATATAGAACGACTCGTCATAGCACAACAATCCAGGAATAAGTCGGCCCGCGAGGCAAGCCGTGCGGGAGCCTGGACATGTAGCGTGGGGAGTTATTTCCTTCGCTTGTCATCCGGGGGAAACCCTCAGCATGGATAGAGGTGCAGTCAAATCATGTTCCCATCCGCTCCGCAATTCATAGAATCATGTCTGGAACACGTAATTGGGGGGCCATCCTGGACGTTTCGGACAGGAGTTGTTAAGTTGTGTAAGTGCTAACGAATATGAGGTGACATTGTCTTGACACTCATCCTCATGCTTCCAATTGATCATTTGGGCAGCCGTACACACCATAGCTCGACGCACTTGCATGTAATGGCGTACAGGAATTTTTCTTTTGACCCATGCTTCCGCAGTGCTGGACTCCTAAGCTTCGTCCCGCCCTCTCTCATCCCCAGTTAATTGTTCGGGTGGCCATAACTACCCGACACCATCTTATGGTCACATAAAGGGGACATATAGGGAAGAGAATTGGGGAGGGACCATGATGAGATGTGCAACAGGCGATTCAGCTAATAAAAAATCTGCGAATTATTAATCTCACTCGGCGGTTCCTTCATGTGACTGCAGACGGGAACTGTCTCAGAGAGTGTGCATGTGGAGATGATAAAGAAATTCACTTTATATCAAGAATGAGATCTAGCTAGGAGGGTATTTATTGAAACGGTGGTAACGTTAGGCAGGATCGATTCCAGCCTCTACTGAAGTAGATGATAACGTCACGAATAACCTCAAACAAGCAAGAATGAGAACGTCTCAAATACTCAGGGCCACCGATATGCCAGATAACCAATGCAGCTAACGTTTATATATATAGTGATGCATATGAATTTCTTTCTTTTTTTTTTCCCTCCCCACAGCCTAGCTTTCGCTATCGGCGGTAACAGCCCGACAGGCACTTGATTTATTGTCGATGTGGCGACCTCAACTTACTACACGGCGCCAGTGGCGTTACCGCTCACAAGATAATTCGCGAGGAGGCACGATATATCATATAATTAGGACGGGAATGATAACATTCGCTGTATTATGCATAATTGAACTCCAAGTCCACCACGGGGGAATGCGTTTAGGCACGTCCCTCATGTGGGGCGCGCTAAATGGGTGGGTCAGGTGCATATCAGGCAGTATCCCAGCCTCTAGGTGCATATGTATTTCGTTCTGCAACAAGCCATCAGGTCGCGTCTAGAGCTGATGCAATCATATCAGTTGGCACATAGGTTCCAACTCTCCCCTCGGAAGTGCCTCGATGGGAAACCAATGAGAAGATTGCATGAAAACAACTGCACCCGTGCATTCATGTGACAGTACAATGGCATTCCCGATGCACTTCAGCCCTGCCACCACCTTCGACAGTTGGAACGTCTCCACCCCATCCTACAGCTCCACCGGAGTTGTGTTTCTGGGATCCCTCCAGTGTCCTTGGTCGTAAGCCTTCCGCTCTGGATTGGGATTTGTGAGTAGCAATGCACAGTGTTATCACTGCAACTCACGCCTTGGTGAGTTGAATGTTTTAACATTGTATATAATAAGTGAACATTACCGAATTTTGAAATGCAAACACGAGCAATTAAATAGGAAATGAGTGTAGTTTTCAGTGATGTTGCGAGCAGGGTGGTCAGACCCTGTTAGCAGCGGGGCACAAGTGCGAAAAAAGTTATGTTATGGGTTAGCTCCGCAACTGATCAAGGGGGAGGAAGGGAACTGTCTATTATCAAGGCTGGAGTCCTGCCTAAATTAAAACGGAGCTCCTGCAAGTGGGTGCATAATGGGTACAGCGATGGAGTCATCAAATCCATAGCGGTCATTCTAGCTTTTCAATAAATAAAAATTATTTACATGACGTACAATGTGGCCAGTGGATGGATGTCGAAGAGTTAGGACAAGCGATCCTCTAGTATTGGACAGACTACTTCACAAGCGGTCTCACGCCTATGCCCTGATCCTTCAGGAGACGGCTTTGATAGCCTTGGACTTCCTTTTCGTATTGACCTGTTTGATTATTGCAACTCGTCAGCAAATAATGGCCTTGCCTTGCCATCACACTTACTTAACGGTTCGGACGTTTTGGCTTTCTTAGCCGGCCCGGCAGGTTCATCAGTTTCACCAGAAGAGCCAGAGTCAGGTGTATCTGCAGAAGGTGCGGGACGCTTGCCTCTCTTTTTCTGTGAAATAAAATGACACAAATGAACGACGGGCCTGGAGCGCCACGATGTATCAGGACTTACAAAGCGGTCATCAAAACCGCGTTTCCTGAGAGATTAAGAGCTATGAGTCAGGCACATCTTGCAGGAACAGGGGTGCAGCCAAAACTTACTTCTGAGCCACGACGTCAGCCTGCTTCCTCTCCTCCTCTTCCTGGAAAGACGATCAATGATGGGATTTCTGCATTCACACAAAGGTGAGACGTACCCTCTTACTGCGTTGAAGTCGTTCTAGAAAGGAGCCATCGTTAGAGAAGACGTTAATTGGTTTCACTTTAGAAGACGGAGACGGCTGCTTAGACGGATGTGCAGGGGATGGTGAATGCGCAGCGGAGTGTGGCGCGACCGGTGAGGGTTGAGACAAAGCCATGAGAGGAGTTTGGAGAAGCCACTTGGATCTGAAGCCAAAAGGGCCGAAGATTGCTGATCGTTCAAGAACCAGTCACGTGGAATAATGTCACGTTGTCGGGGTTTGTGCCGTGACCTAGATCAGCCTGTCGCGACCTCCGAAGAAGTTGTCGAGGTCCACGCACGAATTACTGACAGAGTCACCAGTATGAGCGAGAACTCAGGATCCAAGCCGAAGCCTGTTTCGCTCAAGGACAGGATTGCTGCGTTTAATCAGCAGGCTGCAGCCCAGGCAGCTCCTTCGCCGCCACGTCCTGCACCGAGCGGGAAGCCAGTCCAATGGGCTTGGAAGCAGAAGCAAGCTGAATTAGCTGCAAATACTCCCCCATCACTCCCACCGGCTGACTTGTCGCCGAGGGCGAAGCCCGAGGCCACTCATGAAGTCGACGAACGCGGGGACAAGAAGTTTAGAATGTCCGCTAGCGATGCTAAGGAGAGTATTAAAGGCACTTCTTTGAAGGAGAGAATGGCTGCATTACAGAATCAGGGCGGGTTCGGTGCTTCAGCGCCGAAACCCATTATCCCGGAGAAGCCCAAGCCACTCAAGAACCCCCCCGTCGTATCTACTATCATATCGCCTCAGCCTGTTAGTAGCATTGCCGAGGGCGGAGGAATCTCTACGCCATCACTTCCTGCTGAGGAAAGTGCGACGTTCGCGGTTGATGATGCTGTGAAAGAAGCTGGAGTTGAAGAAGATGACGAGGAAGATGACGAGGAAGAAAAGGAGCGTCAGCGTCGAGCAGCCATCGCTGCTCGCATGGCAAAGCTTGGAGGCGCTCGCTTTGGAATGGGCCCTTCAGCATTTGGCCGTCCTGCAGTGAAAACGCCTCCAGCGCAATCTACTCCTGCAGACTTGACTGGTAACCACTCGTCTTCCCAAATTCTCCAGTCAGAAGGTTAGTTTCTTGTTTAAAGCAGGTCGCCTATGATGCCATCCACTGCCTTAGATACTCCTGAATTTGTTCCCAAATTGCCTCTCCCAGGCATCGCTCCTTTGACCTCTCATAAAGAAGCTCCCACTTCAGAAGACGCGTCCTCAAATCCTCCTCCCGAGCGCAAGTCATCGTCCTCTTCAGAATCCAAATCGCCCCCGCTGTCAGTTCCCCGTCGTGCGCTTCCACCGAGAAAAAAGGCACAACCTAAGGCCCCAGAGACTGATCCAGTCCCAGTCGCCTCAGGGCCTGGTCCTGAGCCTGAAAGCACACCTGCGAACGTGGAGGATGAAACTGATCCATCTTCGAACCTCATTCATGATGTAGGATTACAGGGGGTCTCAGATGACGTTGGCTTGATTTCCAAACTTTCCGCCCAAGCTGAGGCAACAGAACTAAGTTCCGAACCTAGCCGCCCGACAAGTTCTTCTGCTCCGGAGCTGGGGTTGCCGCCACATGTTCTTCCGCCAGGAAATATTATCCTTTCTGCAGCCTTAGGTGGTGCGATATCATCTGTTTCCCTTGACGAGGCTGAGTCTGCTGAAGATCCGGTCCAGGAGGATGAGCATAGTACCCAGGAAACAGTTAGCCAACGAATTGCGTCACCTGTACCCGGCGAAGCGGATAATGCTAATGAGTTAAAGCCTCCAGTTCCTCCTGCACCGGCCCGACGTTCCCTTCCTCCTGTACCGCCTCCGACTAAGGCTGATGGCGTTCCCCCTGATTCTCCGGCAAGTATTCGCCCACCCAGTCTGCGGCAGAACAATGATGGTGAGGCCCAAGAAGACGAATGGGACATTGGCCCTTCACCGGGCCTTCGTGCTGTTTCCCCGCCTCCACAGCCCGCTCCAAACGCAATTCCTGCAAATGAAGAAACTGAAGAACAGTCGAACGCTGAACTGCACGTGGAAGAAATTTCACCGCAATCTCCTGCGGTCAACCGTTCCACTCGTCCACCTTCTATACCATTGGCAACCCGTCCCACAGTGTCAAGTCCACAATCTCCAGCCTCACCCACGTCCATCCTTTCCAACACCAAGCGCAGCAGCGTACAATCTATCCCATCCCGTTCCACTTCATTGGATGCTCCACTTCCTCCAGTATCCACGAAACCTGCGCGGCGCACCACGCTCCCTCCGCCGCAACCTACCATTACTCAGGATCCTGAGAGCTTGGGGGCAGACAGAGAATACATGAATGAGGGCGATACGGGTACGCGACGATAGTTGTTATTGTTGTAATGAACAAGTTGTACTGAAATGAATTCCAATCCATTTTCTTGACGTATTTTCAGATCCTATCGACCCTCATTTTTTCTCTCCGGGTCGCCCTAACATTCCAGCGCCTAGCCATCCTCAGCCCCCGCCAGCGCGTTTGTCTTCTGAGGCTTTGCCAAGCGGGGCTGCCAAACGAAATGAAGATCCTGCAGAGGATGACGGGTCCCAGCACCGTAAGAACATTGCGGAGCGGATGGCTCGATTGGGTGGTCTGAACTTTGGCCCTCCCGCGCCTCCCCCTGTACGGCGAGAACCGCCTGAGGTCGCGCGAACCGCCAGTAACGACGGGAGTCTGGAGGAACATGAAGAGACTGAAGAGGAAGCCCGAGCAAGACGTGCTGCCATTGCTGCCCGCCTTGCGAGTCAGGGAGGATTGCGGTTTGGGATGCTGACAGGTGCAGAGCCAAGTGGGGATCCAGCCGAGAGAGGGGATGGCAAGCTGGGGGAGGGAGTAGCGTTCGTTCCTGAGGGCTCTCTTACTTCAGACGATGGTGTCAAGGCCGAGGTTCCTGAGGGAAGTGAGACGGAAGAGCTCGATGATGAAGTACCCAATCCTCCAAATGAGTCGGCGCTCTCCCTGCCCTCCGAGAGTGGGGATCCCCTATCTAAACCACAAGCCCCACCACCCCTGCCACCCGGACGGCCAGGGCGACATTCTTCTATCTTAGGCACCGCGCGGCAGCGCAGGGCTAGTTATCAGTGGCCCGCTCCGTCACCGCCACCTCATTCATCCACTCCGATACAGGATCCAGGAGAGTATGTTATTGTGGATGGGCCTCAAACAGCCCCTAGCCCTCCGCCACGTCCCACGCGAGCTCCGTCAAATCGTCGCTCGCTCCCACCTCCACCTCCCCCAGCCACCACACTATCAGCTCCCACTGGTCTTAGATCATCTGATTTAACCTCATCTCAATGGGAGCTGCCTACGATACCCACATCTTCCCTCGGATTAGATGGGGACCACAACGACGACGACACCGTGTACCCTAGTGCGTCTGTGCCCTCGCCACCGCCGGAGCAGAGCCCAGCTTCTGCAAAGTCGCAAAGAAGGCAGACGTTGAATGGGGACGAGCTTATGGCAGTTTGGGGAAGGGTTGGAACACAAGTCCTTGTATACGCCGAAAGTTTAGTTGAGAAGTCCAAAAAAGTGGTCATAGGCGATGGAAGTGCCGAAGGGTTCGTTCACGAGGTGCTCGCTGGCGTACCCCAGGCAGCCAAAAGTGATTCATTCGGTCACTTGGTGTTCGTTCAGGTTGCATCTACGATACAGAAACGGTCGAGCGATATCATGCCAGGTGATGTGATCGTCTTGGAAGATGCCAAGTTCAAAGGTCACAAAGGTCTTTCTGGCTACTCCAATCACGTTGGAGTAGGTGGAACCCCTTTAGTTGGGATTATCCACGAGTTCGAGCCGAAAAAGAGCAAGGTCCGCGTGTATCGGGCCGTCTTGGCTCCAAACCAGTACCCTGTAAGTTCTGCTTCTCATTCCTAAGCAGGTTTTGAATTTGGTCGACGGGATTACAGAGCGTCGAGTCAGTTAGCTATAAACTCGAGGATCTAAAGAGCGGTTCAGTCCAGGTATCAAGTCTCGTTTTTGTGATTTGAGTTCGTCGCTGACACCTGTCAAGGTCTACCGAGTTGCAAGCTTATGATATTCAATGGAACGGGACGAATGGGGTTCATTCCATATCCAGCATTTACTTCTGCTGCTGTGCAGTACTATCTTTGGACCTTAGCTCCTACTGATATTAATGGAACATGTTCCCTTGTGTCAAAATTCATAGGCAGGTAATGCACATCTACGTTTGTGGACCCGCCTACCAAAGACGATCAGGTCTTTCGTGAGAATCTGTGACATAGAGCCTTGGCTAACTCGCTAGGGGGTCCCGAAACTGAATAGTTTTACCAAAACACCTTTTCCTCCCACTAACTTCTGAAGATCTGGGTGATGAGATCCCACTTTGACTGTACTAACCTAACACGCTTATTTGAGACCCATGAAATTTCCCTTGATCCGAGACTGCTGGCAGCTGCAGAACGATCTAGGCGGAGGCGGTACTTCTCACCACGTAGCAGTGTGTGCTCAGGGATTATGAGGCAGTTCGAATGAAACTATCGGCGTATCGGAGTAATTCCTGCTACTCTGTAGCGGGTCCTGTAAATTCTTCGACCCTGATTGAATTGGTTGTCCTCAATTCTCCGTAACCTAGGGTCCTCCAATCACTAAGCAATATTTTCACTTACACCGGACCACTCTCCTCTGCTTCCCGCCCTCCTCTAACTCAACAGCCTTCTCACTGCAATCAACATGGATCCAGCTACCCTCACACATATGCTATCTCATGCTCAGAATTTTGAGGCAAACAAAGCGTGGATTGCATTCATTGATGAGGAAAGTGGCCTCATATTCATGTTTGCCTCCGAGTGAGCACCTGCAAAATTAGCGTTCAAGGATGGGTCGGCCCTTGCGTTAGCGTGCAGCACCAATGGATCTGGCCACAGAGATCCATATGCCCAATTCAGCCATGTGCATTACGTTGCATTTCGGATCGGAATGCCTGTGCCAGAAATATGCGTGTGTCCAAGGCAAGACTCTGTGCACTCGTTTCTGAAATTAGGCCTGTGGATTTCTGTGGCTAGATCCATTGGTGATGCGCTAACGCAGGGCCGACCATCAATGGAAGTGCTCGAACACTAATTGTGTAGGGTGCTCACTTGAAGGCAAATATGATTATGAGGCACCCCACTCTCCTCATGATTGATGAATGTGATCCACACGTTGTTCACCTCAAAGTTCTGAGCGTGAGATAAGCTGGATCCATGTTAATTGCGAAACCCAAGTAAGGACCACAATGGAGAGCAAGAGGACCGTTGAGCCAGGGGAGGGATTCCTGGACTGGACCCAACGTGATACGTTATAAGCCAGTACATAGGAGGTTCAAAACAACACTACTGGGTTCAGATTGGTGCAGAAGAGTACTGTCGAAGCGGACGAACGGACCGGAGGCCGGCCCATGCTACAATGCATTGAAGACGTCGACACTTTCAGTGCGTCGATTCTTTGAATTCAAGCGTTCACAGTCAGTCAAATGGAGCAGCAAATGATCATCATCTGCCTGGTCTGTATGTACAGCTAAGTCTGAGTCTCGTACTTTCGGCATATTGTCATTGAGCAAAGTAGGAGCCCATCGCGATCTTCGATTGGCGTCTCGGCTATCCTTACACATGCAATACTTGAATGTTGACGATGACACACGAAAACGGTTCATCTTGTTCGAAAGATGGACACACGCGGAGAAGGGGTCAGCGCAACTGGTGAGAAGCCAATTCGGCGGGTGATAAAAGCTAGGGATATTCAGTTGGGAGACGTGGGAAGAATTAGTTACACACCTGTGACGTCGGCGAAGGAACTGGAGGCTAGTGGTGGTTCGGAAAGCACAAGAGAAGTAGCAGAGGGGAACGATAGTACAAGGAGGAGGGGAAAAGGCAGCGGGAGGAGAGTACAGAGAATTGGCAATAATAGAGGACCTTGTCACCAAACCCATTCAATCAGGGTCGAAAAATTTGCAGGACCCGCTACAGAGTTAGCGGGAATTATTTGTCTTCTACAAAGTTGCCTTGTATGCAACAGCTCGCCGAAGCCGACCACATAGTAGGGGCAAGAATGTTATTGCATGACCAACCTGAATTGAGGCGAAATTTTTCGTCTAATGATTACCCAATTCATTTCTGGTGCTTCTTTTGTTGTCGCCTTGCATCGCTTGCCCACTTGAAGAAATCACATCGATATCGGGGATTCACCTCTTCGCGCAGTCGCTGCATTTTGCCTGCATCATAACCTGGTCCAACAGGTCTACGAAATAAAGCGTTAGCCCGATAGCAGACAATTTTGATGAGAAACTGTACCGTGAACATATGTAGAATTGTCTGTCCTTGTTCGGTCCAGGCTTGTTGACTCTCAATAGTTTAGCCGGTTCATTGTGTACCGTGCAGCAAGGAGGTTCAATGGGCGCCATCAGTTGTCTCCACGCCACAATCCCATTATCATTAAATCTTGGGCTGGATGAGCCTGAGAGAGCACTCTCCGATCCTTGAGACAATAAAAGCGTATATGCACAGTCAGATTCAATCTGAGGATGGCTTTCGGATTCGTCTGGCATAGAACCTAATGCCACAGATACAGATTCTGGTTGTAGAAGAATCTCATCGTCTGATGCAACGCGATACGTGACCCGAGAATTTACATCTTGAGACTCCTCGTGGGATTCGGAGCGCTCGCCCCAACCCTGAGATTTATAACCAGGAATGCTCGGCCGATCTGATGCCCTTGCCAGACCTCGAGGCTTCGAAAAGTATGAAGATATAGAGGCTTGCCCAGACCTTGGCTTCTTAGCCCTTGGCCCGGAAGTCGAGCTCACAAGATCCGTGGACCCCCTCTTTCTGGCATTGGTGGTCCTTGCTGATCCTCGTTGGGATTGGGATCGAAACCCTCCGGCCCCAGCGGTCTGCGCATCGTCTCCCGAAGGAAGCGTCGAGAAAGGATCGGTATTCATAGTGGGAATATTCGTGATAAAAGTTTCGGGACCCTCGACGAACCCGGTGGACTTGCCCTCCTCCCCCTCAAAGAAAGTGATGCCACCACCAGAAGCCGAGAGCGTGCGTCTAAGGGGAGGCTCTGGGAGTACACTACTCTCCTTCCCAAAGAAACTGGACAGGAGTGTTTGCTTCCCTGACCATTCATCCCAGAACTTCGCAGCAAGGCGAGATGTGGTATTTGGCGGATCGCGACCGCGTGCACCTAGCTCATTGAGCAAAACCCGTCTTTCCCCCGAAGGAAGGCTTATTTCATCGTGCAGATCCACGTAAATGGGGCAATGGTCGGAACCTCGAATGGTAGCTTGAATGTCAGCACCTTTTATCCAAGGAAGGAGGTTCGAGGTCATGAGAATGTAATCGATTCGCGTGCCATAATTGGTTTCTCGCGCTTGAATCTTCGTATTCCAGCCTGCTGTACATTAGATTAGAGCAAAAACAGCAGGGCAAACGTACGGACACGTATACATTCCCACCCGGTCGGGCCAGGCCTCCCTGATGACATCATGCATAGGTCCAATGGGAGCGAGCCACTTTCGGAACCATTCTCTTGCGGGATTATCATACCATTCCTGCTTTTTGCTCTCCAGTCCACCTTCACAATGATCAAACGGGGTAGCAGCAACGTTTATATCTCCAACGACGATCACATTTCGCCCTTCCTCTATCAATGCGTGCACCCGACTCTCGAGCATAAGAAGGTAATTAATTTTGAAGACTAGCCGTTCGTCGGAGGCATCATTAGGACAGTAAACGTTGATAAGCACGAAAAGTCCAAAATCAAGGACAAGAGCTCTTCCTTCGGTGTCAAGAGCGATGAGATCAGAAGGAGTGTTCCCCTGCTCACTCTCAAATAGCGGCAGTTCCGACACAGATGGGTAAGACTTGGATATGAGTTCGGCAGGCGCATAAGGAGGACGAGGTTGTATATGAAGTGATAACCCCTCCTCAGCTTTTGCAGCGATGGCAGAATCAGGGTTGTAGTAGACAGCCACACCACTATAACCACCCCTATGTTGCGGAAAGGAAAAAAAGGAATCGTAGCCCTCAGGAACGGCAGTCTTCCGATCCAAGTCTTTTCTAGAAATCTTCATCTCTATGCTCGCATAAATGGCTGCAAGTAAATCTGGCGGAAGCGAAACGACATTCACCTTGGAAACAAATGATGTCCGAATGCAGCTCAGGAAGAATGGCTTCGCAAGTTTTGAGGGCATTCCAACTGGGAGAGGCCGGCTATTAAATAATTGAAGAGGCTGCAGGGCCGCACGTACGGGTGATAATGTGGCAAGGTTCTGATTCCATTCTGCAGTAGAACGACCGTCATATCATTGCAAACTGCAAGTGCGGGCAGCTTACGATGTTCCAGCTCAGTATACGCATAAAAAATTCCCAGAATAATGCGCTAGTGAGTGGAAACTATGCAGGCTCGTCGCAGCAAGACTAGGGAAGGAGAAGAGGTAGAAAGTGGCGCCTGATTTGAATACAAGAGCTTGATTAAACCCAACAAGGCCAGGGAGCCTTTGGCTGTGTCCTCCGTCTATCTTGCCTGAATCAATTGCACTCTCGTGTGTTTCAATTTGTGCGACTACTTACTTATGTGGGTCTCGTGATTGTCTTCGTATTTCATGCAGAGACTTCACGGTCTTACTGGTTATCTCAATTCTTTTTCTATTTCAGGTTGTGAGTCAGATGGTGAAGGAGGGAATTCGAACGCAGATTGATATTTTGAGCAGAGAGAGTGTCACTTGGGGTTAAGGTTAAAACTTTGAAGAGCGAGAAACGGTCATCCGGCTGGACCCACGCCATTAAAAATGAACGTCTTAGTCTACTCTGGGCCAGGTGTCTCCGAAACATCTCTTAGGCACACCATATATACCCTCAAGTCTTTGCTTGAGCCTGCATATTCTGTCCAAACCATCACACCAATCGCTCTGACGTCACAACCTTGGACTGCCAACTGTGCTCTGCTGGTGATTCCAGGGGGAAGAGATGTGCCTTACGTGAGCAGCCTGTCCCCTGCTGTTCAGCAGATTAGATCCTATGTGGAGAGAGGGGGCTCGTTTCTGGGGCTGTGTGCTGGTGCATACTTTGGTTCGGGTCGTGTCGAATGGGAGGTAGGAACGGAGTTCGAGGTAGTAGGGGATAGGCCATTGCGATTCTTCCCTGGGACGTGCAAAGGATGCGTGTTCAAGGGATTCGAATATGATTCAGAGGCCGGTGCTGGTGCCGTCGAACTGAAACTGTCAAAAGAACTGGGAATCAATCATGACAACTTCCTTCGATATATTTACTACAATGGAGGAGGCCACTTTGTGGGAGCCGATGATCTGGCTTCGAGGGGTGTCGTCCCTTTGCTCAGATACACTACTCCGGCTGCGGAGAAGCTGGTGGCTGCAGTTTCGTGCAGCGTGAATCAAGGAGTTGCGCTGCTATCCAGTGTACACATTGAATTTCCCCTTACATCAGAACCTGCCAAATCATGCATAAGCAAGGAGTATCCATCACTTTCAACAAGGGACATTCATGCTGCGGATAACTCCAGGAAGGAAACTGTGCGAAATATGTTGCGCATTCTCCGACTTTGGGTTCCGGAGGAGGCACACCGACGTGCCGATCGTCCTTACCCACAATTGCTCATCAATGGGAGTTCTTTTGATCACTTGGGCGAGTCATTTCTTACGGCTTTGAAAAACGACTTGTTTGCTCCAAATGCAAATGGGGCACAGAGATATCATGTTCTTCAAGATCACAATGACACTTTTCATATCTATCGACAACCCGATATATCTGGCCTCATCGAAGATGCCCGTCACCCAGCTCTATTGGAGAGCGAACAACCTACTTCCTTTCCTAAAACCATCGCGATCTGTCCTGCAAAGACGTTCCCATCACTGAGCGACACACCTCTCTTTGATATACCAACATACTTCTCGCATTTATCTGAGGCTCAAAAGACCCTCCCGAAAAAGTCAACATCAACCCACCGACTGGGCGAATTGCTTTTATATGGTGAAGTCGTCACTTCTACACAGACCTTACTTGACAAGTGAGCACATTCGTCTCGCGATTCCCTATATACTTATAAGAAATTTTCATTAGAAACCCAATTCTCCTTCGCTCGCTGCCGATTCCGCTGGTTTCATTAGCGTCCTATCAGCTAGCTGGCAAAGGTCGAGGGGGAAACACGTGGGTTGGACCCAAGGGATCTTTGGCATTATCCATCGTTCTGCGCCCCCCAAAGGGTACAATATCCTTTCCGTCCTTGGTTTTTATTCAATATCTCGCGGGATTGGCGGTGACAGAGACATGCAGGGAGATCATGGGCCCTTTGGGGGAACAGGTCAGGCTTAAGTGGCCCAATGATATTTACGCCCACGAGTCCGGCAATCATGGCGTCGAGGGCCGCCGTGCGCTTAAGCTGGGAGGGGTACTCGTGAGCAACGATATTTCAGGTGGAGAAGTGACCATCGTGGTTGGTGCGATGTCGTCTTCTTCTTCCGAGAGTGCAGGTTCCCCAGAACGCTGATTTCCCCCGTCCAGGTATCGGCCTGAACGTGCTCAATGATCGACCCACCACTTCGCTAGCTCAGCTGATCCCAAGCCCACCTAATTCCCTCACTCTTGAGAGAACTACAGCAGTTTTGATAGCAAAGTTTGAGCAATTTTGGGAAGAGTTCTTGAACAACAAGGGGTCGTTTTCCACTTTCATGGATCTTTATCTTGAACGCTGGCTACACTCGTGAGCGTGCTCTGCTCTGTGGGAAGTCTAACCGGTGGGGTACTCATATATGGTGCAACAACAACTTACACACATAGGGATCAACTCGTGACTCTGGCTAGTGCAACTCCCCCCATAAAAGTGCGCCTGGTCGGTATAACTGCTGATCACGGACTCCTCCGAGCAGTTCCTGAAGATCGGGGCGTCGCGCGCGTCCAGCCATACATCGATTTACAACCTGATGGGAATAGCTTTGATATGTTGAAGGGATTGATTCAGGTCAAGCAGTCAAGGATTTAACTAGTTTGAGCCTCGATGCGAAGTCTTTGGTGTTTGTCGTGCCAGCCCAGAGTGCCTTCACTACTGTCATTCTTGCTACATACGTCGCATAGAACTTCTCATACTGCACCTTGTGTGGCTGTTTTTTTGCGCAATGTACTTGACGATCTGGATCTTCTCATTCTCATGTCCTACGAAACGACACTTCGCGCTCGCGCTCGCGCTCGACATGGCTCGTATCTTGTTCTGGGTCAAAGTAATACATGTTTGCCCTCGGTTTCTGCTTGCTCTACAAGTCTTGTTCGTCTGGCCTTAATCTCCTTCCCTCAACCCTTTTTCATCTCGTAATCCTGTCAAGACTTCCGTTCTGTTGTTCTGCAGTTGTTTTGCTCGGATTCCTTTTGGTTTTTTTTTTTTTTTTTTTTTTTTTAACAATGTAACATGTGTGTCTCGATCTCTCCGTCAAAAAGTCGCTGCGCATGCATGCACCCCGTCTGCACAATTATATCTTGTAATTGGAAAAATCCCGCAACTGCTTGTTCACTTCTCCTCGGACTGGGTGTAAGCTAGCGGTCGAAAGTTAAAGTTTTGACTCTGCTCTGCTCTTGCACTTGTTCATCGCACTTGGGCCCCAATGCAGGGATCGTCACTTCCATTCTCGCGTTCGGTGACCATTCACCAACCGCCCGCCCGCCCGCCCGCGCAAAGGATAATATCCATCACTCAATTTCCCCTCTACCATTCGATCCCCTTCACGTTTGTAAGCTAGGACCATCCCAAGCTCATGGCCTACTCGCACAAGATTCTATGTAACTAGCATCCAACTCTTCCACTCCTTGCCTCCCGGGACCAAAGACGGTGATTAGAGAAAAGCGGACAATAATCGATGTAGACGTGTCATACTAGCAGCGCCCCGAATCCCTTGGTTGCCAAACAGAGAGGGAGGGGTAGAGATTTTCCGCGGTGCTGTGATCCTTCGTTACAAATATTTGATGGTGAAGGTTGTAGGGATCGATATTCATGCATCGTTGATTTTGATTCCGTCCATTCCTTTGGTGATTCCCATTTCTCTAGTCCTCAAGTTCGTTTGACAACCCATTGTGTGTGTGTGTGTAGGGGCGGCTGCTCAAATGTCTAGGTCATGGACAGGGAGGAACACATTCTTTGCTGCTTATTTCTTGAAGCCTAGCTCGGTACAATATTAGCAGTTCCACCTCGTATCGGTCTTTTCGAGTTTTATGTGAGTGGCGCCGGCAGTAAGTAATACAAGCCGTACATATATATACATGAGGGATGCCTTCCTAGGTATGGAAGCGCTCGGTTTATTTTTGTGCCTTTGCTTATGTACCTTGAGAGAGTTAACTTTTTTACGGTCGTCTGCCAAAGGCCGGTCGGTGCTTTACACTAAAGTTACGTATGCTTCATTATTGAGAACCTCGTGGCATCCATGCATGCATGATTCACTGCATGGCAAACCGGTGCATGCATGCGAGGCGCGACCTCGGCAGCGGACGCGCAGTGACTGCGATTGTGGTGGGGCATCAGGAAACAGGACGATTAGTTGATCTGAGGTTGCATGATGATCTGAGCAATGCCTGAGCTGATCGAACATGGCCGCGGTTTCCACGCGGAAGAACAAACGAGAGTTTGATTCCAATATTGCGCCCAAACCAATAATATGTGCCGATGGCGTGCGTGGCCCTATATGTGATGAGTGCATGCAAGTGGGTATGAAATATCGTGACCGGCTACGTTGTTGCTGATTCATGAAAAAACGGTTGGTGTATATATATATATATATATCCGCAGTCCTAATATAATCATTCCGTCTCTGAAATATGAGTGCGGAGTGAAGGAAGGAAGACGTAGTCTTCGATTCATGATTCGAATGAATATGCACCCCGGGTGATTTCTTGTCCAGCAACCCAGACCCCTTGACAGTACTATAGGAGTGAAGTCGAAGATCCACTTGGAGACGTATATAGCAGTGTTTGCACACACCCCCTAACATGATGGGATGATGACTGGAAAAAAAAAAGGGCTTGCGCGGCTCGCGGCAGGAGGACGGCCGGAGGGGACATTGCCGAAGAGACGCGCAGGTAAACCCGAGTTGACGAAATGATCTTGTTGCCGCGTATGCATGGCTATCACCAATCTTTGAGAGGTGCTTTGTGTTGGATCTCGGGTTTGACGAGGAACCCACGCGTCGCCGCTTCTGGTTTCGGCTCTATATATATATGTTCCTTAGCGAGCTAAAACCTAAACAAGTAAGCCAAAAAATCTATTTATTTAACCCTAATTGATTACATTATACTGGCACTCAGAGTTCCACTAGTGCCATAAAGCGCGCACACAATATTCATATTTTGCTTGCTGAGGGATCGACCCATAGTATGGTATGACTACTGCACGATGATCGACTTACGTCTGTCTGTGCCTGGCGGCGCAAAGTCGAGGGGCTTCTTTTATGATTCCCGCGTTGTCATCGGGAACTGAATATACCTGACCCAATTCAAACAACTACTTTACTTCGGGAGTCCCAATAATTTTAATATAGACTCCCGAGCCGCGCATGTTATAAGATACAGGCACCCCTCCCCACAATACGGTCATTTTTTTTCCCCACCTCTCTTCCATGGCCACCTCCACCTCCGTTGACAGTCGCGAGACCGTAACTTCCGCCGCCCCTCAACCCGTCGATTCCGTAGTAGCCCAAGAGAGACATTCCGAATCCTTTCAAGGAGAGAAGAAACCTTTACAATTTTGGTTGGTATTCCTCGCCGTATGCCTCACAGTCTTCCTTTCTGCATTGGATGTGGTACGTGCCACCCCCACCCAACGCGCGCGGGCTCACACACCACTTTTTTCATAACACTTTTTTTTTTAAAAATTCCTGCATTGGCTGCGATCGATCGATCGACCCGGCGCCCATGCCTTACTAGACATCAGTTGGAACGGCGCTCCCGACCATCATTGCAGCTTTGCGTGGAACGGATTACATTTGGGTCGGGACGGCTTATGCACTTAGTTCGACTGCTTTTTTGCCCGCGTCTGGTTCGCTCAGCGACATCTTTGGACGACGGCCGATCATGTTGGGTGCGGTCGTGATGTTTGCTGCCGGGAGCGCTGTTTGTGGAGCGGCGAATACGATGAACATGTTGATCGTTGGACGATGTATGTTGTCATATCAAGTAAATCTAGAAGGAAATTTAACCCCGATCGCTTTTTCCCCCCCCCCCCACTTTTTTACAGCTATCCAAGGTGTCGGTGGCGGAGGGATTCTCGCATTGTACGTCCTTATTATTTAATCACCGTCTACCCCTCTAGTTTTTTTTTGTAATAGTGGATCAGAAGAGATATACTGACAGTGGAACTCATACATATTTTGCCAGAACCGAAATTATCGTAGCTGATATCGTCTCCCTCCGCGAACGAGGCAAATACATTGGTATCATCGGTGCCGTATGGGCTATCGCATCCGTCCTAGGTCCTCTCATTGGCGGCGCACTCGCATCGAGCGGGAACTGGCGCTGGCTTTTCTGTAAGTACCTTGCCTTCATTCATCATTCATCATCATAAAGAGAAAAATGGGAATTGAAAAAAAAAAAAACACACACGCTTATTAGACTTGAACCTCCCCCTCTCCGCCATATCTTTCACACTCGTCTTCTTTTTCCTTCGTCTCAAAACTCCTCAAGGTAACCTTCGTTCCAAACTCCGCCGAATGGATTGGACGGGCAACTTCATCATCGCCGGTTCCACCACCGCAATCCTCATAGCCCTCGCATGGGGTGGAGTCGTTTATTCATGGTCATCTTGGCATGTATTGGTTCCTTTACTCGTTGGATTCGTTGGGATGGGTATCTTTGGAATTTTCGAATGGTTGTTAGCTGGAGAGACGGCTATCGTTCCTATACGATTGATGAATAACTGGACGAGCGTTAGTGGTTATTTCACTACGATGGTCCATGGAGCTATCGTCACGCTTGTCACATGTGAGTCCTTGGGCTTCACTTTGTCCATGACCCTTACCTCTTCTTTGAAGAAGAAATTTTGACGGTCTTTTCTCGAACAGATTATCTTCCTAGTTACTTCCAAGGTGTGAAAGGTGCCAACGCAATCATTTCGGGTCTGGAGCTCTTTGGAACAGCGCTCACTATCGGTGAGTGTATTGTGTGTCTATAGGTTATATTTGTTGTTGTTGTAATTTACTAAAACCATTTTATCTTCGGCTGCGACTGCGATATATATAACTCCACAATTCCATTCCATTCCATTTCCATTCCCCAGCTCCCTGCGCCATCGTAACAGGTATCTGGACCGAAAAAACCGGGAAATACGTCATCCAAAACGTTCTCGCTTGGGTATTCATCATCGTTGGGGAAGGCGTTTACACGACCGTCGACGCTCGTTCGAGTATCGTCAAGGCTATAGCGCTTCAAGTCGTTCCCGCCGTGGGTTTCGGTATGTTATATGCTGCTACTACGTTTGCGACTCTTGCCCCGTTGCGAGTGGAGGATAATGCGAGAGCTTTAGGGTTCTTTACGTTTGCGAGACAGTTTGGGCAGTAAGTGGCCAGGTCGTCGTCCTCCATTTTCGCTATGGCTTCTAATCAAAAAAAAATACCTTTCTCTAAATATATATATATATATAGGACGATAGGCGTCACGATCGGAACGACCATCCTCCAAAATTCCCTAAAAACCAAACTTCCCGCCTCTTTCCTCTCTCAATTCTCCTCGGGAGTCGAAATCTCCTATTCCATCATCCCTTCCATCAAGTTCCTCCCCGAACCTCTCCGTTCCCAAGTGAAAGATGCGTATGCGAAATCGACCAAGAACATTTGGGTGGCGAACATCATTTTGGGAGGGATAGGTTTGTTGCTCGCGTTGTTGATGAGGGACGTGGCGCTTCGTGTGGAGACGGATGAGAATTGGGATTTGAGCTCTGCACAGAGGGTGGCGGTGGGTGATGAGGGGGAGGGGGAGAAGAAGAAGAGTGGTGGTGGTGAGGATGTAGAAGCTGGGATAGGGGAGAAGACTGCTCGTTCGGCCACCGCTCCCACCCCCGCAACAAGTTGAATCGGTTGGCCCTAACATGATCGAGTTACATAACCTTTAACGCCTATGATACCTCCGATTTTTTTTTTCGTGTTTCCCACCTTCATTGCACCTTTGACGTTCTTCACGTTGTTACAAACAGCAGCGCAACCTAGTACATATGTATCCTTCACGATATAAACAATTATCTAATACCAATTGGTTAATAATTCGATGAACCAAGTTGGCTCGGGCCCTCGATTAAAGTCGCCACGAGGAGTTTTGTCGTGAATATAACTCGGTCGACTTGGGGGAGCCTGACTGCGTGGAATTGGTGTCTATCAAGGATATACTATATATCGATCATGGAGCCATTTGGCCACATTCAGACTCTACCAGGATGGCAGGAATCCTTTTTTCTGTTAGGTGCATGGGCTGCATGCGTGCATGCAGTTCCCGAGTCTCTTCATCATGATTGGAACTTGTCTCCAACTCATGCAATGCAATGACGCCGCGACGGAGAGGGAGGAATTAATTATCAAGGAATGTCTCAACACCACCAGCTATAACCGATCGGGACCTGTTCGCTATCAAGGCGAACTTTGGATTCACACGAACCATACCGCACGCCGATTGATGGTCAACGACAGAGTTAATTAACCCCTCCCTAAAAAAATAATCCGAGTCCGATATCATCATAGTCTCATTCTTGGCCACATCCATTGACAGTCATGATGAGATTATGGCGGAGAAAGCATATATGATAGAAATCACAACGAATCGAATGGCGCGCGATGAGTCCGTGCTAGTCACAACAGATAGAAGCTCCCCCCCCCCGATGCCATCAAAATAGAGGTGTCTCTCGTATCAGGTAGAAGGGTTCATCGCGAAGTAACGAGCTAGGACTTCAAGAAGCGATGCAGAGTTACCAAAAATCGATGACCTGGTCACCCGATCCCTGCGCGAATCATCCAGAAGGGCCGCCCAGACTGTACAGTGTATTCGTTAAAAGGGAAACAAATCTCAATCAAAAAATCGGAAGGCAAAAAAGCACCAAAGAAAAATCCAGAGTGATAGCATGAGCCCAGTGCATAAACAGACGTCCGGCCAGGTTTTGTTCCGAGAGATATGAAGAACCACGACACCTAAGATTCCCATGTAGTCCCCTACCACGACGCTAGCTAGCTAGCCGACACTTGGCTTCGCAGAGCGGAGGGGGTACGGTGCTTTCCGGGTTCGTGGATAGCTGCGCCCCATCACGAGTTATAAGATTTGTCACTACCTGAATTTAAATCAATGTTGGCGACACGCATCACGTATGGGCAATCCGCGCAATGCGCATTCCTGCTTGGGCCTGAGCCAGATGTGTAGGTGCACAAGAAAATAGGGCCGTTCCAATCACGGGAAATAAATAAAAATAAAAGCAAACCACAGCACTCAAGATTCTCATGTAGTCCCCCACCATGATACTAACTGAGCAGTACTTGACTTAACTTCGCAGATCAGACGGGATACGGTGCTTTCCAAGTCCTATGACTGTGGATAGCTACCCTTGTCTGATGATTGATTCCAGGATCTATCCACTATATCTAGACTCAGACAACGACGTTTGTGAGTGTGATGAAATCACTGCTCGGAGACCCTCTACCTCAACGTGAATGGTATTCCGACTGATATCGCGTTAGATGAGGCAGTCAAGCATGCTGTCGAACAGACGCGCGACATTGTGAAAGGAGTTGTGACTGAGGCAAGATCTCACTTAGGGGAAGCAGATAGCATCATCGCAGCACTCCTGTTGGGATCCTTAGACTTGAACCATCTGGCGTAGGTCCGCCGATGGGCTGCTTCTGTCGTGTTCCTGGAGGTACCGTTACAGCCCCACCCAGCGATGTAAGCAAACCGGCATCACCGTTGCGGATGAGAGACACAATCCCGGTGGATGCCCGGGGGCATATAGGTATGTTACAGTGTAACACACGACAAAGTCTGCCTGGGGAATCTGGAATCTGGACGGCTTATAGATATGGGAGCTGGTACCGTGTTTTGTAACAGCAGTGCAATTTTGATAGCGTACGATTACAACGTCACGACACGCGGCAACATGCTCTTGGCCTAGAAGGGCTCAGAGAAAGTCATTGTGCGTATTGGTAAAAATACTAACCTTCTGAAGCAACTCTTCCCCGCCAACTTCCCAGCCCGTATTTGCCACGGGAACGATAAGGTCGTTAATGAGTCGCCGAATAGCGTCATCCACCCCCAATTCCGGGACATCTGGCACCAGTTTCCGCCAAGCAAGGAGATTTGTGAGGAGCTTTATTCGACGAATAATGAATCGGCGCCTGGCAGGAATAGATTGAGGGTCGAACCCAGCCTTCGTGTTGCTTCCTTGCAAGGCTGGGCTAAGGAGTTTACTCGTGACATCAATCGCCTCACGGAATGGGTTGTTAATCGATTTGAGCAATGCCTAAATGATGATTGGCACGACGTGCCCGACAATGTTCTGGCGAGCACTCACAAGGAACTTCTTATCTGTTTTCTCAAAACTGAGTTCAATCTGCTCTATCAGGTCAGCCAGTCGCTTCATATGACGTGATGAATATGGATCGAATCCACCGCTGGAAAAATTTTGGCATAGGCGAGGAATAATAGCCGTTGTTATCATCGAGTTGGCCAGGTCTCCATCGGGGCCAAGGGCTTCCGCGTGATCGTCGTCGTCACCATCGGCATCTGTTCTTGGCAATCGTGAGTATTCGTACAACCCGGTGTACCAACGGAAAGAGTCGAGACTTCGGGGATCCTAACGTAAGTGGTTATTGCCTGTGTCATGAGCGCCAAGATGATGACTGACATCTAGTGGATTCCAATCAACAATCTCTGCTCGCGCCCACCACTCCCACGCCCCTACTAAGCCGAGTCCACCCCATGCACCGGTGTACGAATCCTCAAACGACGCACGCCATCCGGCGAATCTCCTGCCTAGACCTTTCATAGGATCTAGAAACTCTTCTGATTCGATGTCTGCAACAAGGGAGGAAACTTTCCGAGAAAGATCTTCTCTTGCTGCATCGTAATCTCCTTGCGTCGATACAGAAAGGTCAGCATCTGTTGAGTATCCCAATAAGTCGTCGGGTGAGGCAAATGAAGCGGGATTCTTCGAAGGGGTCCGTGATCTTGAGTTAGTGATGCGAGCCTGCCGAGCAGCTCGCCTGGCTTCGCGCTGCGGAGCATGAGGCGCAGATGAAATCGTCCGACCCATATCATCTACCTCCCCATCGTTTGATGATGCAGGGACATTCAAGAATAAGGAAAGATCATCTTCGTCATCCTCGTTCCTTCGTTGCGCCACCATATCGTAGCGTTCGGTAAGCAGAGAGATATGTTCTTTTTCCAGTGCTTCGAGTTTGGGAAACTGCCAAACATTAAGTACAATGAGACTCACTGTGAGGGCTGAGAATACCTTTTCATCTAAAAACACAGCAATGGTGTCCATCCATTCTTTCATATCGTTAAACCACACCCTCTTGTGTTCCGCTGCCTCCACCATGCGCCTCATGTCAATTTCTTTCTGCAAGAGCTGTGTCCTTTCCGCTTCAACAGCCTCTAGACCGATTTCATGGCGGGTGTGTGCAGATTCAAGGTTTGAAAGAGTCCCAGACAGTCGAGACATAGCTGTAACAAGCGATGGGAGGTTGGTTGGTGTGGGAACTAAGGAAAAATGGTAGTAAGCGTCTGAACGATACCCAACGGAGTAAAACTTGCTTGGTCTCGGTTTGTAAATGGGGGCTTCCTATAGCAAGAGAAGTTAGGGTAGCATGCATATCGCATTTGGTAGCTGTGCTAACTTTGGTATCATCCGTTTCCGGCACCCCTGCGCCTCGACGTTCTTGAGCTACTTCCCATTCCTTGGTTTCTTCGTCGACATCCTCGTCACTGAGGCACAAATCAAGACTACGCTCGGTGTATGTGCGAATATGTGAACGTACGCAATATGAATCATTTCCGCAATGGCGGCCCTGCGTTCATTGGCCTCCCTCTTTCGTGCCGATTTTCCTAATGCTATTCGTTCAAGTGCACCAGTGTATTGGGCCATGTCTGCAAATGAATTTATTCAACTATCACACAAAACATCAGATCGTAAAAACCTGCCTTCTTCCCCTTCTCCGATCTCGTCTTCCTCACGAACAAACCGAGTTTCTTGCGACCGAGAACTATCGCTTTTTCCAACTTCCAATGATATAAAATCCTCCGAGTCTCCTGCTGGAGCCGTTCTCCTTATTCGAAGTCGTTCTCGTTTCTCCTTAGCAGCACGAATTTCAGACTCTGCTGGTATCGATGAGTAACGCGCATCGGCGGATACGACGTCTGTATTCTCATCAGGCCAACCATCAGGAAACGAGGTGATGATTGTGTACCTGCAAATGAGTCGTTAAACTCGTCATAGCTCATGTCTATGGACGCGTCATCATCCATAACGTCCGATACACGGACTCGAGATGAGGATGAAGGGGTGCTGGCTTTAAGCTCGGAGAGATACTCTTGATTGTACACCGGCGTCTGAGAGGCAAAATTTGGCCGTGCTTGATTGAGATTCGTGGGGGTGGGTGAGCTGGGTGATTTCTCAATTGAAACTGATTCTCTACAAGGATTGGAACTACGTACCCTGGCGTAGAGGGCGGATCGCGCAACTTGAGCTTGTTGCTGAGGGCACTCTTCTTTACTTTAAATTCCTCGGTTTCATCCTGGTGCAGAGAAATTCAACAAAATGAGATGGAACCGCTCTCTTTCCACGTAGATAAGCGACAAAGGCATCATTGTCGTGACGCTCAAGCTTACCTGTTCGTTATCTCCACCGAAACTCAGGTTAGTAGCACCTTGGCGCTTGGCACGGGAGCGTTGCTTGGCCTTGAGTTTAGCTACTTGGGACATAGGGCCATCCTCCATAGATGACTGAGAAGGAGCAGGTTTTTGTTGCAGTGGAGCTGTTGACACTTCATCATTTGCTGTCTGCTCTCGACGTGATCGAGATTTGTTCTTTACACTGCGTTTAAAGACGTGGGTTGGTGATGCTTCAGACATTGGATCAAGCGTGACACGCAATCAACAGCACAGTGGCAAACTGTAGTAGCCCAAAGAGTAATAACTATGATGGAGGGCTTGTTTATTGTTTGCTGTTGAGGTCAAGGATGCCGTGTGAAACTTTCTCAACGACTTCGTTCTAGATTGATTCGCTAGGACCTCAACCAATGAAACGCCATGACCGGTCTGACGATGGCGCGATCGGAAAGTCAGACCTATGTGCTCTCACTGCTAGCCCATTCAGATCATGAGAGTCCCTCCTGTCGATGTTTGCCACCTCTTCGCGTCTAACACCGGAAGCCAGTGAACCTCGCATTATCCGGCAGCCTTCCTCTCGCACTCTTTTGGACTAACCATCATCATGTCTTCAAAAGGTCAGTCTTTGCGACGTTGTGATGTTGTGCCTTGCGTTCATCATTCCTCATACGGCTTGGTTTCTCCGATGATAAGGACAAATGACCCACACTGAATGCGTTCTGTGGCGTACTTGGAGCTGTAGAGACTCTTTACAGGAAAAGATTATTTGTGATGTTCTTCCCTCTGACGTGGTGGATCTCATTGTAAGCGGCTTCGAACTACGGATTATGCAATCAGCGTAATCCAGGACATGCGACATTCATCCAAGGCTGTTTCCAGCTATGCATGACCATTCTGAATAGTTCGAGATAATAATCCTGGAGCAATTCTGACCCGCTTTCCTCACTCCAGGGCCAAAAGCCTTCGAGTCTACGTGGATTGTCGTGGCTCGTTCCGCTGCCAGACATCCAAGTTAATTAGAATGTCAACATTCCTTCACGTCTGCCGAGTGGCAAATGGATATGGCGGGCGCTTTGGAAGTTACGTGGATGTTTAAGTTTCACTCGTTCTTCGCCTTGTACTATTGTCCCGCTTTATCCGATGGTCTTGCCACTGAGCAATGATCGCGTATAAGGGGACGGATTATTTCTTTGGAAGACCTCACCCTCAGTTCTCTAGGTCGAGACTGAGGTGAGAGTAGATATCTTACTCGATAACTCATGTATTACTCGTGTCATAGCCTGCATTCTATTACAAATGCAATCGACAATGGAACCCTTCACCTCTAACTCTAATCCTCATGTCTCATTCTATTATTGGGAATGAGACCGCTCGCCCTGCAATGACAACCACTCTCGTTACCAGCCTCTACAGTATAGTCCACTATCGCGCGTTGCTTCGTCAACTTTGTATCCTGATGGTGTCGCAGGAGTTGATGGATTAAGCCAATGAAGTGGCATGCGATCAGAGTAGACCTAATAACAGGCGCTGGAAGAGGTAAGCCCTGAGGAGTCATTATCTCGGACCAAAAACATGAACAATTCGCGAGAATCGGAGTTTATGTATCATGTGATGGTCACTTCTACCGGCTTCTGCCGTTCGTGAGGCCTCTGATTCGTGCTCCCACATTCTCTTACAAACGAGAAACGACTCGAAAACAAAGAACGCTGAGGGAATAGACTCCCAATTGTTTTTGGATATTTGGAGCAGCAGTTCTCTTTCGTGTCTTGGTGCTGGTGACACAAGATGGCTCAATCTTATGTCCAGCCAGTGACTGACTCGTCGGAACTTGCTTTCGCTGAGCCAGCCAAAGCTTTCAACACGAGAGCTAATTCTGCCGATGCAAAGGAGGCATACTTATCCCAAAAGAATCGGTTCGTGAGCTTTCATTAATCCCTTGCACCTCTCAACCTGATTGTCTTCCAGCCTTCTCGACGCTATTGACGAGACCCGATCGATCCTGACAGCCCTCCGACAGTTCAGCAAAGACTCTTGGATTGTACGCTACCCTCACGTCACTCCGAACGTGGCAGATGCTTCGGCGGGGTCTGGAACAGTCAGCATGCGTCGGTCGCTTTCATTTGCAGACGATCCGGCCACCATCGCTGACGTTGTTGTCGCCCCCAAACGCGAGGGTTTACAACGCGCTGCTACGGTCTCTGACGTGTCAAATATTTCCTCATCCCCAGGCTCACATTCTATGTCCGAGGCAGAGGCGCTCCTCGGAGACTCTGCTGCCGAGGACTTCCATGTTCTCCGCTTGGATCTCAAACTAGGCGGTCCCGGCTCCTCCACTTCCCCCGATGCACTTGTCTCTCAACTCGAAAAGGCGTCCATTGCCAAGTTACTGGACGAACGTATTATCGCGTCCCTCAATCACATCGACAAACTCCAAACACGCGTGTTGGACACTTCTAGCAAAGTCCTTGTCACTGGCGACCTCAACGCCGGAAAGTCTACCTTCGTCAATGCACTGTTGCACCGTGATATCATGCCGGTTGATCAGCAGCCATGCACCACCCTATTCTGCGAGGTTCATGACAAATTGGAAAACGACGGAGTCGAAGAAGCTCATATCGTTAACGAAGGCAAAGTCTACGATCGGTTGGACGGATCTACTTTCACCCGCTTCCCACTCTCTAGCCTAGAAAGCGTCATCACCGAATCAGATGCGCAGCATGTTCTCAAACTCTATGTTTCCGACCGCCGCGAGCCCCCTGAATCTCTCCTTAACAACAGCGTTGTTGATATTTGCTTGATTGATGCTCCTGGTCTGAATCGTGACAGCTTGAAGACCACCGCACTATTTGCACGTCAGGAGGAGATTGACGTCATCGTGTTCGTTGTCAGCGCGGAAAATCACTTCACCTTGTCGGCCAAGGAATTCCTTTGGAACGCGAGTAACGAAAAGGCCTACCTCTTCATTGTTGTCAACCGGTTCGACCAAATCAAGGATAAGTCTCGGTGCCGGCGCTTGGTGCTGGAACAAATCAAGCATCTTAGCCCCAGAACCTGGGACGACGCTGAGGACCTCGTGCATTTCGTCGACTCAAACTCCGCGCTCTCTCAAGGCCTTCAAGCCGCCACCTCAAGCTTAAACACCACAGCTTCATCGGAAGCGTTCACCAAGCTCGAAACTTCCTTACGCTCATTCGTCCTCGTCAAGCGTGCCAAGTCCAAGCTTATGCCTGCGTCCACATACCTCACTCATATCCTCTCCGATGTTGGTCTCCTTGCTTCGGCCAATGCGATTGTTGCGCAAAATGAAGCAAGTCAGGCGAGATCGGACCTCGAGCGTGTTCGTCCCATTCTCCACAAGCTGCAGAAAGGCCGCGACAGTCTGGAAGATAGCCTGGAGACGGAGGAAGAAGACACCACGCAGCATGCTCAAACTGCAGCGACGGCACGTCTTGCGAACGCCCTTGAACGTGTGTCGCGAGGTGAAATTGCTGTCGTGGAGTCCGAGCTTGCTATCTCCAAGCAGCCGCGTTCAATTCCTTCGATACCTAAATATCCTGGTATCCTTGGGATCTGGGATTATGCGAGGAGCGTTCGTACTACTCTTCTCGCATCATTGGACCTCGCTGTTGCACTGGCCGAGGATGAAGCGCGTCGTATGACTTTGGATGGCGTCCACCACGTAGCAGATCTTGGCGAACAATACCTACCAGCGCACGTCCCTCGTTCAAAGCGAGTTTTCATTCCTGAGGCGATGTTTGTTCCCCGTCTTGCCCGGGGTCGTCGTCCCAGCGCCATCGTTGCTGGTGGGGTCATGGGCCTTGGTTTGGGTCTCCTCGCTCAGCGTGAGGATCTCACTCAGGTTACGTTCGTTGATATCATCGATATCAATCATCACATCATGTCCCATTTCAACGGGGGGAAGACTGAAGACGAAGACGACGAGGCTAGCGCTAGTGCCCTGGGCACTCTTGGACTTGGAATTGGTGCCTTGACGATGGTCGGTGGGAAAACCATTGGCGCAAGAGGTCTCATTGAGGGTATCGTGAGAATAAGTGATCTTTTTGGCAACGAGTCCTCCAGGAAATGGATTGCTCCAGTGTTAGGAGCGGCAACGCTCGGGTTAACGATTTATTTCGTTCTTGAGCTCCCGAACACCATCCCTAAAACCGTTGGCCGGCGAATCAAGGCTTCACTTAATAACCCTCCATCAACAACCCCATCGGGCGCCCCTGTGTCAACACTCACACGGGCTGAATCAATCGCTCAACTTCCCTTCGCTGAGGCTCATGCGCATCGCATCTCACGCGAGACCAGAAAAGTCCTCCGCCTCGCCTCGTGGGACCTTCGTGAGCGCTTCCGTGGTGCAATGGAGGAAAGCGGAAGGGAGGTGAAGAATGCAGAGGAAAGCGAACGACGAGCCTTGACGGCACTCGAGTGGTTCATCGGTGTTGGAAAAAGGACAGAAGCAGTGCGCGTCAATGCTCAACTTGTTTCTTAGACGACTGTTATTATATGATGGATATCAGCTAACGCTACTTTATTATTTCTTTGATCTCCCCTCTTCACATGCACGTATGTTCCTTGCTTTCTATGTTTACTTCTCTCCCCTTTATTCTCTCGACCTCTCTTCCGTACCTCTCTTCCTTTGCATAATGAAACCGTCCCCGATGTCTGTAGCCTGAGATGAATCGACTGGTTCATTGGATGTTGATGACTGACTGAGGTACATCGTTCTTCTAGCCGATGGAAGGCGGTTCACAACTGCGGCAATGTCGTTTCCATGGAGGGCATAGGCTTAGCATGTGGATTGTGTAAATCGGAACTTCCGCGCCCTTCACATTGCCCGGCGTCACGGTGACCCGCTGTCACTCGATGTGCTCGCTTACCATCCGTACTGAACATCAACGGAGATATAGGAGACGTGGCGGAGGAACGTGGCGTTTCCGCCGGGTCCCCACACTCCCTAACTAGCACGTCGGCACCGTGAAGCATGCACTCATGAACCTTTGTACCTAATGTGGGATACTTCGGTTTACCACCTCTATATGATAGAGGCTGGTCACCTGCCGCTTTACCGGGTGGCTGGCCGAGGTCTGGGCCGAGGACAGAAGAAGCAAGCCGCTTCTACTCAATCAGAAACAGCCTCTAGCCAATACTACAGTGAGGTGATAACAAGGTGATCAGGAAGCCAAAGTCAGTGGTGGCCGTACGAATTGGAAGCAGGGATTCTTGTTCGCCGGGCCAACTGTGAAAAATAGATACCGCGAACAGATTATTCAAATAAGACCGAGCGAGGGTGCAGCTATCCCCCGCCGAATTGGAGTGTCGTAATCATAGGAGCTGCGACCGGCCTGGTTCTCATACCCTCTAGCTTAGAGTGCATAAAATGCGCGTTGACAACAATTCAACTGATCACGAGCAAATAAGCCTATTCGACCAGACCTGCAAGCGACACGCCCAGGGTGCCAATTAATCTGCGTGTGTAAGCTCGTAGTAATGAATCTACACAACACAGAGATCTAGCGACTCATAGGCCTTCCAGCCCATCTACGGAGGTTTAGTAGAGGCTGGGATCCTGCCTATTACGGAGGTGTAAGCGGTAAGTTTGGTCACCGGCCAGGGTCTGGATCTTGAAGACCGGTATGTGGCGATGCTCTGTCAAGCACCATCAATTCCGGACCTTTGGGATCTGATTGGTACGCCGCCATTAATATCGCCAAGCTAGATTCTAACTGGTAGCCTCCCACCACTGGTTCCCGGTGAGTATCCAAGGCCTCGTTAGCAAGTTTTCTTTTGGTGCAACCTGATCCAGATGTCTCCCTTGAGCACACACTCCCTCAAAATGAGCCCGATCTCCGATTTCGGCTCCCCCGAAGCCACAATTCTTTCTCGCGTTCATTCCCTCGAGAACCTGATGGATGAACTGGCCACTCTTATGCCAAGGATCGAGGTGCCTGTATTCAAGAATTTTAGAGATGTCAGGGCATGGGGCAACGATGCCCAGATCCAACTCAGGAATCAGTCTATACGGGACACCCGCCAGAGAATCCTGGGACTCCAGCGAAAACTCAGCCGATTAGAACAATGGACTTCGAGTTATTTACTGGACGTCGCATCCTTGAACACTCCAATCAGCATCTTGCCCCCCGACATTCTCTCGCACATCTTCCTCATCGGGTTGCCTCGATACCGGTACTGGGACCGGAAATACTTACTCGCTATTTCTCAGGTCAGCAAGTCATGGCGGGATCTCTCCATCAATACGCCGTTATTATGGACACGTATCGATGCCAGTTGGAAGTATGACCTGGCAAGTGTTTGGCTGGCGCGCGCCAATCACCGCAATATCGAGCTTTATATCGACATGAATCCATATGGTCGATACGATATACCAAACATCCTGAACTTTCTTGAGCGCCTATTCCACAGCGACGTTTCTCACATAACTTGGAAGGGCTTACACATATTGATGGACCACTTCACCGACTGGGAATGTATCACTCTAGAGATTCTGGATCGAATGGGTGATGCTTTTGGCTCTTCAACGTCATTGGAGACACTCACCCTGATTGGGCATCCACGGGGTAACTATTACGACGTCTTCAACTGGCTGCCGAATCTCCGGCGTGTTACTCTCGGGTGGGGCGCCCAGATCTTCATCGGAGGGATTCCAGGACCCACTATCACTTCCCTTGTTTCCCTCAGACTGCATCGGCTATATATTCAAACGGGACACTGGATACCAATGCTCAAAAACGTGTCTCAATCGCTGCAGACTCTTGAAATCCATGAGTGTGAAGGTATCCTTGACCATTGCGCCCCAGTGTCTTTGCCCGCCTTGAGGAATGTAGCCCTCGGCGCAGCACATTCTAGCCCCGCAATTCCGTCATTTTCAATATCCGATATGATGAGCATCTTCGATGCTCCTGGTATCGTGAACCTCACGATACTGTTAAACCATCCCAATTTCCAGATGGAGGATGAGTTCAAGATCGCTTCCCTGGTGAGCTCCACCACGCCCCCATAGGCACTCATTTTTCTATGAATGAATTTTCAGATCGGTTCCTCCAGAAACCTCAGCCGCTTGCACATCGGGGGCACCAACGTCGAACTCTTCAAGCTCGTGAACCTGATGCGTCTGCCTCAATTCATGCCACGCTCACTCCGCGTACTTATCGCTAAATTGGAACCGGACCCCATGCAAGAAACGGTCCATTGTTTCCTTCAGCGACGTAGGGAAATTCAAGGTCATGTCGCAGATATAGAAGAATTGCGATTATATATATGTCGGCTAGATAGTAAGGAAGAGCAGGTGGCGAGATTTCACCTGATTCGTGAACGGTTCCGGTCCCAGGCTCCGAGTGTAACCATCACTCAAGTTGATCACTGGGATTCTGTCATTCAGACGGAGGTAGATTATGTGAGTAAAAATCTTTCATGCTTGATCCCCAGTCTCTGACATGATCGGTTCATAGGATGACATTTTTAATTGAGGTTGGTCATGGTTTATCTATTCCGGTACATAGATGCTTGGATTTGTGAGATTTGGGCCTATTTTGAATCCTCAATCCCAGGTTCCATGCACATAAACAAGTCATCATGTATGTCTGCATCAGTGGAATCACTCCACTATGTACATAGATATCCTTTCCCATTTTCATGCATGTAGCCTTGTGCTGCCGACTTAGTGCATTTCTATTTGTTTGTTTGTTCTGAGGACTTGTAAATATGTATACGTACAACTCAGCCTCTTCCCCATAAAGAGAGGCTGGTTACCTATCCTTGATCATCACACCGCAGTGTTCCAGCCCACCATAAGCCCCCTCGGTCGCCCGGCATAGCTCCTCCCCCCAGCCCAACAAATTTTTAAACCCGAGACGATGAGCACCTTCGATGTACATGGCATTGTGAAACCTCACGATATCGATACTGTTAAAAATCCCAATCTCCACACTGAAGACGAGCACCGGATCGCTTCACTGGAGGCACTGAATTGAATGAATATAAACCTTCTTCCAGGGGACTCAACTGCTGGCACACGAGTGGCACCAACGTTAAATTCAAGCTCATCAATGGATGCCACGCTCACTAAATCGAAACCCAAGTGCTAATGCAAGAACAGTTCATCGTCCCCCTTGGGCAACATAAGGGGCTCCAAGACCAAAGGAATTGCGACTATGTGTCGCCCGAGTGCCGGCAGGCGACGAAATCGAACGAGATTCGCGAAAGGTTCGGATCCGAGGCTACGAGTGTAACCGTCACTCGAGTTGTTCTCCCAAACATGAAGGGTTTTTAGGGACGACATTTCTAATTGATGTTGACTTAGCACACGTATTTTATGCGCTGAGATCACAGGTATCTTGATGCCTCTCTTGAATCCCCAATCGTATATTCCGCGTGTAGTTTTGTACAAGGGTGTGTCCACTGAGTATGTTTGACGACAAGCTTCAGCCAAGAGTGCCGAGTGAGCTGGATCGAAGGTTGATTTGCATCACGTAAGCCAGTCTCTTTTTTATTTGTTCTGTTTTGTTGTTTTGCTCCAGAATTGCGGCCCAGGTCTATCGACATCGCGGTCGGATAGGTTGACATTTTTCAGTTGATGGCATGTGAATCCATCAGAATATCTCTATCGTTTAGCCACAGGTTCCCTCCGTGAATAGGGATTTCATTGCCAGAACGAGGTACATGAGGGGAAAAACCCTGAAATGGCATAGAAGGCAAGGAAGACAAAAATGTATTCACTGATTACGTGAGGGCTCTCATCACCGTCCACAGATCAAACCTCAGGCCCATCCTATAGAGAGAGACGGACATTGTACGCGGTTTCCATGAATAAATTACCGCAGATATTGAGATCTGATTCAAACTCACTACAAACGCCCATATAGGAGCTGTCAAACGGCTTCCGGAGAAGATACCGGGAGTGTACAATAACTGGTTATTGAATTTGAGGTTGGCGGTTGAGTCTGTCTCGACGGTCCTGTGTCGGGGTGAACATGGAAGGTTAGAATGAGCGATCAAGAAACTCCAGAGCCCGACCATACACGATAACTTTATTGGACACCCCGGCTTTTCCCAGGCCACTCAGCCGCACGTGGCCGTATTTGTTGTCGCTCACGAACTGCAAGACGTATCGAACATCTATGCGTTCGACATTGAGGGTCACGTTTAAGCCATTGGGATAGGGGAACTCCGGGCATAAACGGACCTATATGCAATACGTCTGTGGCATCAATATACCCTTGCTCTCCTCCTATGTTAGGAATAATCTTGGCAAGCAGCGATCCGTCTGGATTCGTCCAGTTCCCTCTGTTTGGCCGAAAACATTCGGGATCCCCATTCAATGTCGTTTTTCCGAGACTTACCCGACTATATTGACGTTGACTCTGTGCCCTTTGAGAATGGAGATAGAACGAAATTGGCTGACGTCTGCGATGAGGTTCACGTAGCCTTCAAGTTGAAGCCAGGGGATTGGGCTCGAAGCATCACCTCTCAAGTTATCCCCCAGGACAGAGGGTTGTATTACTAGCGCCGGTTCAAGCTCTGGTGATGCATGACCGCAGGAGATGCCGCCAATGCTAAGGAGAGCTTGCAAAACTATTACAGCAAACAACATCTGGAGGCTTAGCGCGGGGGGAGAGAGGCATCGATTGGCGAAGGCGCCTGCCCTGGCTTAAGTGTGTTCGCGATGCATGGTTCTCACAGACCCTTCTCGCCGGCTACCTAGGAAAAAAGTACCATGTCGAAGACCAGTTGCATCTTCCGCCAGCTGTTCTGCCGTATTCCAGGAGATGTCACCGGCGGGCATCTGCTTGTGCTGTTCCCGGAAAATGCTATCTCCATTTTATTCTCTCCCTATCCCATCGTCCGCAATTGACAGTGGCTCATGCAATAGGGCCAAAGCCCGTGGCGTGAGCTTCTTCGAGTCGCTCGTGTAAATATCCAACTTATCGTCCTTCCAGACAACTTTACCTCCCTGCAATCTCACCGTTCAGCATACTACGACTTCCACGAGCTAGTGCTGCTGAAAGTATGGCCGAGGTATTTGCATGACCGCGAACGGACGTTTGCCCCAAGATCCTCACTGTATTCTTTTCTTGTTGATCGACACAGACGCTGTGGAGGCTTAAAAGCTACCTTGTGCTCGATGCTCGACTCAGAAGTCCTGGCCAACTCACGCTAGCGCTGAACTGTTCGCATAAACAAGGAAACCCCCTCCCGTAAGCCGCGATCTTTAGGCAGATGATCGACCTGCCCCACCTACCCTTTCGCAAACGGCTTGTATAGAAACTTTCATATGTAGGACATAATCCCTATATCGCTGAAGGAAGCGATCGATGGCCCCGTTTCTTGTTCAATGATTCAATGATGAACGCCTGTGCATACGCAAGGAATTGAGGGCTAACGTAATACGTTGAATAACTGAGCTTCGATAATGATAGTTGCCACCTTTCATGTACAAGCTAGCGATCGATTGTTCTCCAGAAGAAGCAATCTGAAGATTTATCCATTCACGGTAAAATGCGTGCTTGTGAGACGCGCGCGACCGATGGGGCGAAATTAGGATGGTTTTCACAGTATGAAGCGTGAGGTCTACAATGTTATATAGGCCCATAGGGCGTTGGAAATGAATGCTCATCATCTCGGGCGTAGGGGTGGTTGGGCTGGAAGCCTGCGCGCGCGCCGAGGGCAGCATTCCTTGAAGCGGGCAAGGATACCTTCGCATTCATAGTACAGTATTAGGATCTAGCGGTATGTAAGCACTGGATACAAGATCCTTCAGTCTACAATTAAAGACTATTATGCGTCGGAAAATCGCAATCGTAGTGGTTAGGTTGGCCTTAAAATCTAATATGCAGTAATTGGGTTAAGTGCAAAATTCAATCCCTGAAGGGTTAGGTCGATGTTGGCATGAATTTAACCTCCGGTGAATATTTGTAGAATCTGCGCAATCTTGAATCCTCGATTGTTCATGGAGCCACAGGTCCCTTCCGATGACCAGGTGGTTTATGGGGCTCTCGATTAGTAGGGATTAAATAATTTGTCGTCTGCTTTTTTTGGCGAAAGGGTCGAAATGAATATGTACCGAAAAAAAAGGATTTTTTTTTGGATCGAGTTACGCGAAGGAACTGCCCCCCGAAAATGGTACAGGCAAGGTAAACGATGAAAGGATTCACTGGGAGCTTTCGTCGTCGTTCACAAAATCGAGCCTTGGGTCGGAGAGACGGATGTGTGCATGGTTTCCAGCAACAAAGTGCAGATCTGATTCGAACTCACTACAACGCCCATATAGGAGCAGTCAAACAGTTTCCGGAGAAGATACCAGGGGAGTACAACAGCCGATTATTGAATGTAAGGTTGGCAGTTGAGTCCGTCTCCACGGTCCTGTGCGTCGGGTTGGAAATGGGAGGTAGAATGAGCGATGAAGAACAGCAAGTGTAGAATATACTTAGGCGACCTACTGGATAACTTTGTTAGACGCCCCAATTTTTCCCGGGCCTTTTGCCTGCACGTAACCGTATTTGTTGTCGCTCACGAACTGCACCACGTATCGAACATCTATACAGTCGACATGTTGAAGTTCATTGGGATGGTCTGGGGGACTCCGAGCATAAACGAACCTAGATGGAATACATTTGTGGCATCGATGTATCCCTGTTCTCCTCCAATGTTAGGGATGATTTTGGCAAGCAGCGATCCGTCTGGATTCGTCCAATTCCCTCTGTTTGGCCGAAAACACTCAGAATTTCCAATAAAGATCGCTTTCCTGAGACTTACCCGAGTATATTGATGTTGAGTCTTTTCCCTTCGGGAATGGAGATAGAACGAAACTGGCTGAGGTCCACGATGATGTTTACGTAGCCTTTGAGTTGAAGCGAGGGGGTTGGGCTCGAAGCACGACCTAGCAAGTTATTCTCCGGGACAGGTGATTTTGGAGATAGAGGATTAAGCTCTGGCAATGTATTACGAGTACAGGAGATGCTGCCAATGTGAAGAAGGATTTGCAAAAGTAAAGCAAAGAGCATCTCGAAGTGTAAGAGGTTATGATTGGTGGGGGGGGCCGCCTGGCCTGGCTTAAGTATGTTTGCGACGCATGGGCTTTCGTAGTGAGTCTGAATCAGAACTCAGTAAACCTGCACGTTCATGGGAACCGATTACACATCTGCTAGTGAGGGCTCGCGTTGTTCGGCAGCTGCACAGCCCCGCCTTATTCATAAGATCCGATGGTTTGTGATCACGGATCTGTTTAGTCTTTCTAAAACCAATGCATCGATTATCAAGCACAAGCACAAGATCAAACCATCAAACATTTGTGGGTCGCCATCGGGTCGCCATTGAAGGGATGGCTCACTCTCAATCAACCCCTACTAACATGACGCGGGCTCCACCGACCGGGCGAGGTTGCTTGAGATTCTTGCTCACCGATTGACTGGCGTTGGTTTTCTCACGTTGTCTCTGGCTACCATTAGTTCGTACTTTATGGCTTTGTTTTTAACGCTGAACTTCTACGTGATGGAACGTGGTATGATGTCACAGATGTTGCCGTTTCTAATGTCGACGCTGTCAACGACAGACTGAGAAGTAGCGCTCACTCATGATGGATTCTTTCTCAACACTTTCGCTCCCTCGACAATCTTTCACACCTCGCATTCGAGGGTTCACGAATGAACGAGCCTCTATGATGGTTGCTCTGGAAACACCCATCGCAGAAGTTGAGGCCGAAAATTAAGATTAAGGGAGCGAGCGTATTGAGAAAGAATCCATCATGAATAAACCCTTGAATGCGAGGTATGATAGCATTGAAGCAGCCAAGTTAGTTTGGATGGAGTATTCGGAGAGACGGCAAGCAATGCAATGGAGTTTCTTTCAAACGCGGCACGCAACGTTCTACCGCATGTTTACGGAGTGAACTCCCTCAACTGCGGACCCATCGGAGGAAGAGTGAACATGGGAAAGCGAAAGTAGCGATGTCCCCTTTGCTGTGCATTCGAAAACAGTTCAGATGCTTCCGCCTCTACAGGGGAGCTTATTGCAATACTTGCCGTTCACTGGTTTCTGTGTTACTCGGGCGGTCAGGATGGCTAAAATGCGTCATTAAGGCATTCACAGGGAGTCCAGAGCTACATGTTACGTTGTCGGGGGATGACGATGGGTTGCTACTGTTGTGTTGACTAAAATACATGAGCGTTTCCACGCTGCAAACCAAACCCCAGTCGTAATGCATGTTTCCTGGTTGTTGTAAGCAGAATGATAACATTTAACGCGACACCGTTCTCTCTGTCCTCCCTCATAGCTTGAATCCAATCCCGCAGCGGACACCCACAATATCGGGGAATACTACTAAACCAAATGTGGAAAGGAAAGTCATGGGCAACTTACTCTCAGCGCACCTCAGCGCACCAGATCGGTCTGGTTCAGTTTATAGTTGTACCATCACTTTATGTGCGATGACATCGACGCTTCGACTGCTCATGCTGACATATTTGTAGTGACATAGGATTGTTCGCATCTTCTCTTGTGGACAAGTGAGATATGACGTGTGTTCAGTGCGCGTCATTTTGGCACCGCTCCCACACCGCACCCCTTAATGCACGCTAACAGGGGCTGAAAGCCATTACTCATCCGCCAGATCGGTACCTATCAAGCGTCAGGCATGAGCGAATGTGGTAAGAGAAATCTGGTTTTTAGCTTAAATATTAAATATCACTGACGAATTTTCAGCCAGGGGGAACTGTGTTCACTCCCGTTGATAAGGCTGCAGCTGCAAGATGTTCAATAGGTTGTGACATGGGAATCGTAAGCGATATTAACCGGGATATTTCTCCAGGAAGGGACGGTGAAGTTCTATTCAGAGGACCCTCCGTTATGACTTATGAGGTTATGCGATGGAAAAGACCAAGTGCCTCAGCCGACATACACAAATTGTGCACACGGATCCTGCGGCTACAGGCCAGGATTATTATTGGCAGAACTTGTGAGGGGCATTTGTCACACGTGTGGAACTGCCTATCTCCCCAGAAATTTTGTGCGCTTAATGTACAACTTCGAGGCCGTTACTTGATCGTTGCCACTGCATGGCAATTGTCATGGGTGACTTTATACGATACGTCCCCCGACCGTGGGTAGGAACTCCGAACTACTGGGGAGCGACAATGGTCGACGGCTTCGTGTCCGTCAGCTCACATACATATTGTATTCGCGATGCGGTTGCCCTGACACACACACACGCACACACTAGTTACGGCCCAAGCCCCAGCCAGACCTCGGGCTATCGGTTAGAAGATGAGTTGGTTTTGCAAAGCGAAGGCCCCAAATTGGCTCGCTGCACCACAATTTACAAAAGGAATAACACAGTCAACCACAGAGAAATTCACGGACGTTGATAGGCGAATATCGTTCAGTGAATGTAATGTCTGATCCACAAGGAACACAAACGACGCCGCCAACAAATTGTCGCGAGGAAAAAAAAGTCAGGAAGAGTTTGCTTAGTCATCACTCAGTCACATATCATCATCATCATTCACGCGTGTGCCCCTAGGCGGTCCCTATACGGAGAGAAAGAGTTTTCGATGAGCAGGGGTCGCGTCGGTTTTAGGATCCGGTCCCAAAAACTCACCAACGCCCATAAAGGAGCTGACACGGAGGTAGCGGAGAAAGTTCCAGGGGCCCACAATGGCTGGTTATTGAATTTGAGACTATCGGCAGAGTCTGTCTCGACGTTTCTGAATATTCGGGTGTTGTAAGCTTCAGTAAGTGAACTAGGGGTGGGACGAAAACCGGCCAGGAAGATTGGGTGAACTAACATGATGACGTTGGCGGCACCACCAACTTTTCCGAAGCCATGCAGTTTCACGAAACCGAACCTTTTATCACTCACAAACTCTATGACTTGTCGGACATCTAATGGATTTCACATTTTAAGTTCATTGGGAGTTTAAGATACGAAAAAAAAAAAAAAAAAATTAAGGAGTATGACTGACTTAGATGGAATACCCCATCGGGATCAATGTACCCTTGTTCTCCTCCGATGTCAGGAAGGACTTTGGCACGCACCGATCCATCCGGATTCGTCCAATTTCCTCTAATTGGGCCAAGACAATTCAGCAAATCTAGCGCATCGGTAAGGTGTTTTCGCTCTCCTAAGACATACCCGAGTAATTTGACGTTGACTCTCTGCCCTATGGTAACGTCGGCAATATGGAGTTGATCCAACTCGTACTGGAAGGTCACGTAGCCCCAATGTTCGAGCCGGGGGATTGGAACCAAAGGATCCGAGTCATATACGATGGTGATCAGGGGAGAGAGTGGCAAGACTGGGTTTTGGCCAAGCTCCAATGGCGTGGGGGTGGTGGAGATGACCCCGATATAGGCAAGAACGTGTATGATTGCGGAGAAGACCATACTTGAGAGAGCGGGGGAACTTCTGGTGGACACATCTCGATCTCGAACGCTGGCTTAAGTACCGTGCAAACGCAAACTATTCTCCGCTCTGGAGCTGGTGAACCCTTCAGAATAACTGCATTCCTTTCACTCCGAAGCTATGTGCGGCGTTACATACCTGCACACTCTCCCACTTGTGCTTACGTGTTCAACTCTTCTTTGACATCACGTGTACTTATAATACAATCAAGTTGGTGTGATTATGTAATTCTGCGTCCAATTCGTTCCATGTGTTCGAACTGCATGACCAATACCGCTTCCCACCAGGGAGGTTCTTCTGCATGGGTTTGGGGGCAGTTTGGCGTTCCTAACACGATGGCATCTTGTACCATAACTTGCATCTACATAGCGTCCCTCTCCCCCCCTCGTGTACCATACTTAATTTCATTGTACATAACTTCCGATGCTGATTCCTCTGATGTACCCTGTACATATCATTCAATGCACTTCCGCGTATCCGCACTCTAGTTTAGTTACTTAAGTTTGTGTGTTGAAGGGTCCAAGACGATATTCTTGTCACGATCCTTTGGGCAAAATCTGGGGGAATCACATTCTTGATTCCACTGTAGAACCATCGACATCGACTCTCTGTGGATATAACTGAGTACGTTTGGTATTTGTAATTGTAAAAGTACATTCAATTCCCCAGACGAATTCACGCTCATCCTTGTCCTTGGGAAGGTGATTCCGCAATGATCTCGAAAAAAGTAAATTTGCGAGGTCGCCTTTAAATATACTACACCCATGCTAGTTCTGTTATTGGCTGGAGGTTTTGGAAATGCTTGAATATGACAATCAGGTGCTTTGGGAGTTAACAGGCAGAAACCCTAGTAAGTATAGCTGCATGAGACTCCAACCTCCAGACAACACGTTAATAATATACAGCAACGGGAAGAACGCAAAGTTGATCTTCATGCAGCAGTTGAATGGCTCTACAAACTGGAGTTATGCTGTGTGCACAGCACTGAATGATTATTAGGGGGTAAAGCACTATTACAAACCCGTGACAAGAGAATATCCCGCTATCAGACAAAATTTAAAAGGTCTAACCCTCGCCATACGACCCGTCTCTTCCCATACAATCGTTATCATACCTCCGAGGAGAGGCCCGATGACGATCGCGAGACCTCCGTTCAAGATCATTCCTGGAATGACAGCGAAGGATTATGCTGCCATGTGCTGCCACCTCTGGCCTTAATCGAGTCGGAGGTAACACTGAACCCCCCCCTCTTTTTGGCAAGATTGGGTGCAGCTCAATAAGCTTTCAGACACTATACTCAACGCGACTGAGAGCTGCACTCCCTCTTTTTCGAACTGCAAGGCCGTCCTGAACTCCGGAACAGTCATCGGAGCAGTGATCGTTTTACGTGACCTCCTCCAATTCCACCCCCTTCTTTCTTTGCATTTCAGTCATGATTGACCTGGTGGCCTCGGCGAATATAAGGCGCGCCACAGCGGGGCGGGGGGGAAGTGTTGGGATCACCCAACTGAAACTCAAGTAGGAGGCGCTGGAGGACGGATCCCAGTTCCAATCGCCGCTCCCGAATTCAATACTGCCTGGGCCTCGAGGAAAGGAGAGTGCAGGGCGTGCGTGACTTTCGATTGCGCTTAGGATTGCATCGGACAAGCCATCGAGTTCGACCTCAAGACTTCCAGAAGCAAGGTGGTGACATAACTGCAGCAGTAAGTCGTTCCAGGTGTGATTTTGAACCTAGGTCCAATCAGACGGTATGAGCACTTAGTGTAAACGGCCGGAACCCGAGCTGGTCCCGGCCTATGCGCGGGCATCGTGCGACCCGCCAAAAGGAAAAGATTGGTCAACAAGGACAAATCGAGAAAACAGATACAGATACATAGTATCGGGGGGGGGAGGTGGTGGGTGGACGCAACAAACAGAAGAGTAAACGCTAGAAGCAGAACTGAGGCAGCACAAGTGCTGCAGTGAGACTCCGCAAGGAGTACTAGGATGCACAGCGCGACAAAAAGTTGAGGGGAAACTTCAATGCAGACAACTTGTCTGAAGCGCACATGTAAGTTTCCGGCCCCGTTGCAACCAAGTGGGGACTCACCAGTCCCGATGGAGCAAACGCGAAGGCAGCGCTGAGGGACTCCCGCGGGGAGAAGGGACAACACACGTGAAAATCACGTGAAGACAATAAACGCGAGGACTAGTGAACACCCGCAAGGTCCCATCAGCGCTGCAAAAACGCAGGACCATGCGGCACCATTCAGCGCTAGATACCATCGTGATTAGTCGTGTGAAATAAGGATATTAAAGATACCATCGTGATTAGTCATGTGAAATAAGGATATTAATCATGGTTTAATATCCTTATTTCACACGACTAATCACGATGGTATCTAGCGCTGAATGGTGCCGCATGGTCCTGCGTTTTTGCAGCGCTGATGGGACCTTGCGGGTGTTCACTAGTCTTCGCGTTTATTGTCTTCACGTGATTTTCACGTGTGTTGTCCCTTCTCCCCGCTCCCTCAGCGCTGCCTTCGCGTTTGCTCCATCGGGACTGGTAAGTCCTCACTTGGTTGCAACGGGGCCGGAAACTTACATGTGCGCTTCAGACAAGTTGTCTGCATTGAAGTTTCCCCTCAATCTTTTGTCGCGCTGTGCATCCTAGTGAGTTCATCTCACTTGTGCTTACTCCTTGCGGAGTCTTACTGCAGCACTCGTGCTGCCTCGTTTCTGCTTCTAGCGTTTATTCTTCTGTTTATTGCGTCCACCCACCTCCTCCCCTTTTTCACCACCCCGATACTATGTATCTGTTTTTGTATCTGTTTTCTCGATTTGTCATTGTTGACCAATCCTTTTGGCATCGTCGTATCTCTTTGTATATTACCAAGACAGGTCGCACGATGCCCGCGCGCGTCAATCCATAGGCCGGGACCAGCTCGGTTTCCGGCCGTTTTCACTAAGTGCTCATACCGTCTGATTAGACCATAATTTATCGCGTCTCTCGGGCCTCTCCTGGGCGGTCATCCGCAGCTGGGATTGTTTAGGTACAATCACTGGTGGGGAAGTGGACGTGGTAGGATTAACGGCACAGAGCCTAGGCCCTATCATGCATGAAGCTTGCAGTGAAGCGGCCGCTGGCACGGCGAGCCTATTCCACACCCATTTGGTAGCCCAGGCAAAATGATTGCAAAATGATTACTAAACAGCGCCGGCTCCTTGCACTATGAACTAAGGATAAAGGATCTTCACACTCGCGTAAATTGAACTTACCTGGTTCAGCGACTTCTCTAACCACTTCATGTACTTGTCGGCTTGAGCCGAGATATCCCTCCACACTTGTTCCCGATCAGACGCGTTCTCGGTTCCGAGGCTCAGAAAGTCAATTCCATCATTCGTGCAGCGTAAGAATATGTTACCTAAATCATCTAGGTTAGTCTGGCGTCCCTAGACTGTTCCCCCCCCCTCTCCCCATACTAGATACAGTGCGGGGGAAACTAGATGCACACCTCTGTAAGGCTCAAACAAACGAAAAACGGGCAAAAAAAATTGACATCTACAAGGGCTAGGTATTTCTATAAATCTAGGAAGACGACGATGCCTTTGGGGGAGACCACCACATCCAAAATAACGATTTTAAGATAAACGAAGGAGTCAGCAAATCAATACCGGGACTGAATCCGCCAAACACATGAACAAAGACCTCGTATCTACTTGGATCCTACAGACAACACGTACCCCGGACCCAATTCGTTAAGTGTGTTTCTTATAACACAGGAGAGAGAGAGAGAGAGAAAAGCACTTACATAAGCAAGAGAATGTAATACCGCCTCAAAATATCTCCTAAAGCCTTTACCAGCTTCCAACGTCTCTCCAGGCTGAGGAACGGTAGACTCGTAGGCATAATCGAGAGTACGATTCGTATCGAACATGCCCTTGTCAATGCGAAGAATACGTTCAAAGTACGAACGAGAGAAGCGTTTGGGCAATTCCACCACTCGCTTTGTCGTCGTGGCCTTGTGTAAGATGGAATTGAGAACGGTTGCGTTGTACAAGAGTTTGGCTACGCCCTGCCCGAAAATCGGGTTTACTCCTTTTAGTAATAATAATGTTTAACAAGTGTTATGAAAAAGCCATGCAAGAGAGTTTTATTTAATGTTGTTCGGGTATATATGTAAGGGTTTGAGGAACTTACCCATCACAGAATCACCAATGGCGATGAAGTTGTTCGGGACGGTTTTAGACCCATAATCGATCCAAAAGGAGGAAGTCTGAGCAAAAAAAGAAAAAGAAAAAGGCATATGTAAGGTTCTTGTTCATTTTATCTCCAATGTCGCACGCGCGACGCGAAGAACTCCTTTTTTTAAAAATCTTACCATGGTGTGACCATTCCACTGGATAGGTTCGTCGAGGATGTCAGCATCTTCTCCAAGGAGTCGTAATACGTCGAAAAGCCATTCATCTTGATGGTGGCGCTCCTTTGAGGTATTCTTGTTGTGCAATTGTCTCGTTGTTTCGATGTACTGAGCCAAGGTCTTAGGGCATCTGTCAACGTTCCACCCAGAGTACCCAATAAGCACTGCCGCAAAAAGAAGCATAGTAAGCCAATGTACTAAGTAAGCCTGGCTGGGGCGGGGGGAGGGGGCTCACATCTGTTCCCTTCGATTCGCTGATAAGAGAAAAGCTCTGGACTCGTGTCGAGCGTTGGGGAAAAAGCACAGATGACAGCGCACTTATCCCACCTCCCAAAAGATCGATCATCTTTGGGCAACGCCCTCGATACCTTTTCTTGCGTTTCGGGAGTAAGAAGAAAAGACGCAGCATAGTGTTTCGCATTGGGATTGTACGAAGTACGGGTGTAAGGACCCCATTTCTCGCTAGCGGCTGGTAATAATTTGGAACCGATAGTAGATGGGCCTGCGCAATCGACGAAGAGTACGCATGGTATGGTATTGGAAGTCGCGGTGGTGGTGGTGGGTGCTTCTGAGGAGGGGGAGGCAGAACGGTAAGAAACCGATTGGATGGTTGTTTTGTCGGGTGAAGCTTTGAGGCCGGTGACGGTTCCTTGAATGACTTGAAGACGTTTGCCGCAGTATGCAATGGACAAGCGTCGACAGAGACGTTCAATGCTGGAAAGAGAACGTAATGCCGACGACAGTCGTCTCAGTTTTGGCAGGAAACAGAAGGAGGGAAAA